GACAATACACTAGATTCATCCCCATCTCAAAAAACTCATACTGTCAGGATGGGGATGCCCAACATAATTCTCATAATGCTCATCATTTCCTGGATGAACACACAATCAGTTCTCATGTTAGCAAATTACACACAAATTTACTGATCCTGATTTTCCCTTCTGTGCATACCTACAGACACGCAGTTTGATAGACACTATTACTGCCACAGCTCAGTTTGGAAACCTGGGATCATTCTCTAGATTACCAACTTATGCAGCCCAGTATTTCATGTTACTCAATAGGCTCACTTTATTCCCAAATTAAACCTCGTTTGGACCACACAGTTCCACAATCGGGCTTGTGACAGTGGGTACAGTGGGTAACACAATTTCTAACATTATCTTACAAGGTGCTCATAGCAACAATAGTCAAGCTGCTTTAACCACTTCCTTAAGATTCCTGGCTGGAAATGTATTTGAATATTGCGTATTATGCGTATTATTACCCTCAAAAAATATTTTCCTAAAATTAAGGTACTCTGCCAACTGCTTGAAGTGTAAACAGATGCAGCATTGAGACATTCTGGAGACAAGTCGAAAACTATATAATGAGACTAACAAGTAAATCATTTCAAATTTCCGCATTACTAGCAACAAGTCAGATTTCTAAATTGGCCCATATGATCCTGGCTGTGGCTGTCAGGATTGGCCTGATCCCAACACACAAACCTAGGTACATGAAAGGAAGGGATACGTACCGGTCCTTAGAGTGCTAGCAGTGAGATTATAGTCAGAAAGTCTGCAAGCAGACACAGAATAAGTGTTAACAAGCCAAGATCAGGGTTAAAGAGATCAAGATTGGACAGACAAGCCAAGGTCAGAAATTGAATAATATGTAATATATAATGCACTCTCGGGTAAACAGAAACCATGACAGGGCAAGGAAACAAGGATAACCAGGAAGTATATATACCTTGTACTGGGTTGTAAGTGATTACAGAGGGCTATGATGTCACAAGTGTGTACACATCATCAAAAAGTGCCATAAAGACTGATTTCACGAAAGAAGACCAATGGGAGTGTTCCATGTCATATATGATGTCATAGTGAGGTACCATGAAGCTAGGGATGAGTGGGTGTGCATCAGAACACAGAAGAGACATCATTTCCATGATCGCACAGCGCCATGAGGGATAGGTATTGTGACAATGGCATGTAACAGTATATAGCATCATTAGATTAGTCCCTCCCCCTTCACTATTCTTGCTACAAATGAAAAGTTTCTTCCTATTCCATATTGGATAAAAGCCTCATTAAAAGTTCTCTCTCACCTGGAAATCTTATATTAACTCACTAGGTCTCTGTCCAAGTGCAAAATTAAATCCACTTTTGACTTAACAGATTGGTACCTAACCAGGGTTTAGTGGGCCAGCCCCTTATAGTCTCATAATACAAACTAAGGCTGCAGATCTAGTTTATTGTGCCTCCATACACGATTTTTCATACACGTTTTAAACTAAATAGGGATAGTTGGGAGGAACGCATTAACCCTAACGACTCCACTCCTAACTAGGCACAGCTGAATTCCGCTATGGCAAGTGTGGATTGCATATCATTTACAAGGTAATGGGGGAGCAACAATAGGTTCCCAATATGGATATTTAGCAGAGTTGAATTATATATAATATTTGATAGGCAAAACAGCTTCACAGCAAGAGAAAGAGAGAAAGTGGGGAAAGACAGGAATTTCCTTCCTCTCCAACACCACCAGGGCCGTCTTTAACGCGGGGCAAACGGGGCAGCTGCCCCGGGCCCAGTTTCTCTTGGGGGGCCCGAGGCACCTGCCCCGTGGGCCCCGCTGACCCCGGCGGGCGGGTGGCCGGTCGGGCAGGAAGCAGTGAGTGCTCCCTCGCGCGCCCGCCTTCCTGCCCGACCGGCCACCCGCCCAGGAGCCCAGCAGCACCACTGGACCCCAGGGAATCCCCCCAGCACTCCAAAAGGTAAGGAGGCTGGGGGGATTACATTTTAAAAAAAATGTGTGTTTGTGTGTTAGTGTATATATGTGTGTATTAGTGTATGTGTGTTAGTGTGTGTTAGTGTATGTGTTTGTGTGTTAGTGTATGTGTGTGTAAGTGTATGTATGTGTTAGTGTATGTATGTGTGTGTGTGTGTGTTTGTGTGTTAGTGTATCTGTGTTAGTGTATGTATGTGTGTGTTAGTGTTTGTATGTGTGTGTTAGTGTATGTGTGTTAGTGTGTGTTAGTGTATGTGTTTGTGTGTTAGTGTATGTGTGTGTTAGTGTATGTATGTGTGTGTGTGTGTTTGTGTGTTAGTGTATGTGTGTTAGTGTATGTATGTGTGTGTTGGTGTGTGTTGGTGTGTGTTAGTGTATAATGTGTTTGTGTGTTAGTGTATGTGTGTGTTGAGTGTGTGTATGTGTTAGTGTATGTATGTGTGTGTGTGTGTGTGTTAGTGTGTGTGTGTTAGTGTGTGTGTTTGTGTGTGTGTATGTGTGTTAGTGTATGTGTGTGTTGGGTATTGTGTGTGTTAGTGTGTGTTAGTGTATGTGTTTGTGTGTTAGTGTGTGTGTGTCTGTGTGTTAATTGTATGTGTGTGTTGGTGTCTGTCTGTGTGTCAGTATATATGTGTGTATATCTGTGTGTGTCAGTATGTGTATGTGTCAGTATGTCTGTCAGTGCGTCAGTATGTCTGTTGGTGCATGTGTATGCATGTGTCAGTATATCTGTCTGTGTGCCAGTATGTCTGTGTGTGTGTGTCAGTATATCAGTCTGTGTGTGTCAGTGTATGTGCCTGTGTGTGTGTGTCAGTATTTCTCAGTGTATGTGGGTGTCAGTATATCTGTCAGTGTGTGGGTGTCAGTATTTCTGTCAGTGTATGTGTGTCAGTATGTTGATCAGTGTATGTGTCTGTGTGTGTGTGTCAGTATGTCGGTATATGTGTCTGTGTGTCAGTATGTCTGTATATGTGCCTGTGTCAGTATGTCTGTCAGTACGTCTACCAGTGTATGTGTCTGTGTGTGTGTCAATATATGTACCTGTGTCAGTGTGTCTGTCAGTGTATGTGCCTGTTTATCTGTATGTAGTCAGTGTATGTATCTGTGTATCTGCTTGTGCGTCAGAGTGTGTACCTGTGCATCTGAGCCGCAACTTTAAATACAAATACACCCCTCCATTCAAACTTCAACACTACATATAAAACACACTCCTGCATTGAAACGTCAACACTACATACAAGCACACTCCTACATTCAAAAACAAACACTACACATAAATGCACACTTGCATTCAAACTCCAGTACCACATACAAACACATTCACACAAACATACTCCATACAAACACATGCTTACATTCAAACATACTAACATGGCTCAGTGCTAAATACAACCCTGCAAGCATGGGAAATTGGTAGAGTCCCAGCTGTCAAAGCATTGTTGGAGTTGCACGACAGATGGGGTTCTACCTTTAGTCCAACCTTGCAATTGGGGGTCCCAATAAAATTCATTCTACTTTAGTACCGCCACTGCGTTGGGATGGATGCCGTGATTGCATACCAGGGAGTGAGGGGCGAGAGCGGCAGGGCACAGGGGGCCCCAGCAAACACTTGCCCAGGGTCCATTCGTTATTAAAGACGGCCCTGAACACCACATAGACCATAGAGGACAGACAGTCTAATGTCACCAACAACATTATGTCTTCCAACACATCCAGACCAAGCACCAGCAATCATTACCAACAAACCATGGGTTACCATAAAAGAAAACAACAAAAAAACGCAGGGATCAACAAACATTAGGGGGCCGGGGAACGGCCTCTCCATAGTCTCCTCATCATGCAGAGTTGCCTCAGTCTTTGGCTTGTGGGGTTGAGGATAATAATTAATTGTTGGCTAGGGCAACAGAATTAGGCAACTCTGCATGATGCTGGATAAAGAGTAATACATATCAACAGGATGCCCTGTTCACTGGTTATAAATAACTATTACTATGTGGGGGACTATGGGTAACAGCCTCCTACAACAAAAATGTTGTTTGTTTATCACTATATGTATTATATTCATCTTATATCTTAATCTTCATCTTTGACCCAATAAAGCATACCAGAAAAAAATAAAACTCTTACCTTCAACCCAATCTTTGACAGGCTTCAAATTGAGTCAGGAGGAGCATGTATTTGCCTTTGCTTAGTGAGTAGTCTTCACTAAGTAGTCCTAGGTTGGTCTCAAAGATGTTTTTGCTCTTAATATTCCTTATAATACATAATATAGCCTTTTTGACTCTGCTCCTCATTTTTCTGGCTTCTAATGTACCGTACTTCTATTCCACTGAAAAGTGATATCTATTTTCATGAAAATAAATTTAATCTTCTGAAGTGCATTTGAATCGTTATTTATACCTCACTATACCTGCATCAAAAGAACACTACACTGAAAATCTTTTTTTTTTTAGTTAGTAGATATACACACAAAGAAAAGAAATTACTTGTTTTCTTGAAGGGTAAATAAGAAAACAGCTTGCAAAATCTGACACAGATTCCTGAGCATTAGGAATACACCCATCAGAGGCTTCTTGCACAGAAGGCCCGTCGTTGGAGCTGTGGTTGCGCATGCACATGCAATCACAGCTTTCATGTGCTTCTCAAAGAGCTGTTGTACTGTTTATTAAGAAGGGGATAAGGCAGGCAAACCTATCACTTCCATTAGCTCTGTTGAGCTAACAGCAGTGAAAGAATACCTTCCTTGCTGTCTGAGTCACAGCCAGGGAGTTGTTTCTGCCACAATTTTAAAACTGCTATTTCTATTCAAATCAGACTTTTTTTTTATACTGTCACTAATATAACAGACTCAAGGTGCAAGCTGAAGTGCATTATGTCTGGAGTGTTCCTTTAAACTTCTCTCATTTCATTTATGTACCTTTTTATCCTTTATATGTATATTAAAGCCAGTAGAATGTTATTCTCAGAAAAAAAAAGATAAGAGAAAAAGCAGAACATAACACATTTCTGGAGAGTATTTATTGTGAGCTCTTGAAAATATAAAGAAGATATCTAAAGAAAAAGTACTTGAAATGCAAGCCTCCACTTGTGTTCTCGTGTGAGTAGAATGTCCAGCATTATCAAGAATTAACAATCTTACAAAGGAGGCAGTCAGATAAACACAATTTTATTTCATAAAAGGTATTTTTACACATAAAAGATGACATAAGCCTTGTTGTTTACTTTTGTCTTGGAGTATAAATAATGAATTTGGCAGAGGTGAGAATGAGTGTAAAAATGTGCACTAGCAGGAGTTAACGGATCAATAAACTGGAAATACATAAAAATAAATTGATTTTTGAGTAAAAAAATAACAAACTCAGTTTTTTATTTTTTTTTATGGGTCCAGAAGACAAAAAGCACAAGGGTCAGAAGAACACAAAGGAAAACAATTGCATTAAATAAACCTATGCAAATAATGTATTTTATCTATTAACTAATGCATGTTGGCCTTGTAAGTGGGATCACTGACTGCACTAAACTGTGTGAAGGTTAATAACTAATTTATTATCAACAATGCAGCACAAAAAACAAGGACGTTTCATTCCTCCATTAAGTCTGACAGCTGGTCTCTAATAAGGGTCATATTATCAGTGAAATGCCTTTGCAGGCCAGCATCTCCTTTCAAAAAAAAAAAACCTGAGGCGCAATGTGGGGCAGTGTAAGCCACTAAGAATTGTGCAGGCATACATTAAGAACCCACTAGCAAGTAAGACATTACCCCTATAAACCTCTCAAGTACACACATCTCTTATAGCCTTCTCATTTTTCTCATTAATTGTTTTTCTTTCCATCTTCCGGAGAGTGGGATGTTATTCGCAAGAAGTAGGCAGGTTTCCTCAGGCATCGGTACGCCAGAAGTTGGGGCCCCAAGGTGTACAAGATGTTGGAAATTATAAATACCCACCAGGAATCTTGGGGTACACGGTAGGTGTACGGGGTACGGTGATAAAGTGAAGATCCCACATGCGCAAATTGGGCCTAGGTAAAGATTTTTAAAAATGTTATGTAAACATAGAAACATAGAATGTGACGGCAGATACGAACCATTCAGCCCATCTACTCTGCCCTAAATCTAATTTTCTAAATACTTTCATTAGTCCCTGGCCTTATCTTAAAGCTATGATAGTCTTATGCCTATCCCACGCATGCTTAAACTCCTTTACTGTGTTAACCTCTACCGCTTCAGCTGGAAGGCTATTCCATGCTTCCACTACCGCCTCAGTAAAGTAATACTTCCTGATATTATTTTGAAACCTTTTCCCCTCTAATTTAAGACTATGTCCTCTTATTGTGGTAGTTTTTCTTCTTTTAAATAGGTAAAATCAGGTACATTTTATAATAGTCCCATTGTTTTCTTGTTTTTTTGGACTGACAATTACTCAGACTTTAATAGTATCAATGCATTAGCAAAAGTGAATCTAACCAACTGAAAAAACATGTTTAGCTGACACATTGACATACTATCTCAAACAGTTATTTTTTTTTTTTTTATAGACATTTCTATTTTCTGTGTTTGTTTTCAATGCATGTATAAATCAAATTAATGTGCCATGATGTAGTTGTGTTTTGCACAGGTGGTTTTGGCTGTTCAGCTATCTCTTTGGTTTATGTGTTACAGTAAAGAATTGTGACTTGCTCAATTCCAAAGGTAGGGTTGGACTCAGAAAACCCAAAAAAGTCTGAAATCACACCTGGACCATCATGGAAGGGATCTGCAGTCCCTTAGGAGTATTCAAAATCAAATTCCAGAGGCTTCACAAAGTAGTGCAAGTAGGAAGGGGTTTTATTCAGGATCAGGACAAAAAAATCATAAACAATGTTTCTGTATATACAGAGTAAAAGATTGAATCAATAATATGAAAATAAATCTGAGAAACTGTATGTCTCTGTCTAGTGAGCATATGCTCCCTTCACAGGCTTTTATTTATTTTTATTTTTACTTCTTTTTTATTTATTTTTTACACACTATTTCCTATTTTGGCTAGTTGCTATGGCAGCCAGGTCTGTGCATCTGATTACACTTTTTTGATCCTACTACTGGTGTTTTGTTGTTTGTTTTCCATGACAACCACTTGTGTCATGAGCATCCTCCCCCAGGTGTAACTCATTCTAGTCAGATGACCTCATTGTGAAAGATGTTTGGGCGTGATTTACTTGTAGCACAGGTATAAATAGTGTGTTTTTGTCTATTGCTCTGTATACATGATGAAGGCTTGATACCGAAACGTGGTATATGATTTTGTTGTCCTGATCCGGAATAAAACTCCTTCCTATTCCTTCCTATTTGCCCTACTCTGTGAGCACTGAGACAAGTATCATGCTTTAGTATATGTGAGTAGATTCACTTTACCTGTTCTTTTAGGGTGGACATTTTTATGGGTTAAACTTTATATTTCTGCCCTCATCCTCCCCCCCCCCCCCCTTTATATATATGAGAGACAGCCCAGAGAAACAAAATGTTTAGCACCATCTATACAAGGTTATAGGTAATAGAGGTTCTCTAGATCATGAGTGTAAATTGTATCATTTACAATTACTGGTCATTTTTACAGGGTTATTCGTTAAAGGACCACTATAGTGCCAGGAAAACATATTCGCTTTCAGTGTCCCCAGGGTCCTCAGGGTCCCCCTCCCGCCGGGCTCTAGGGTAAGGAAGGGGTTAAACTTACCTCTTTCTCCAGCGCCGGGCGAGGAGCTCTCCTCTCCTCCTCCTCGGCTGAATGCGCATGTGCGGCAAGAGCCGCGCGCATTCAGCCATTCTCATAGGAAAGCATGAAAATCACAGTGAGAAGCACGCAAGCGCCTCTAGCAGCTGTCAATGAGACAGCCACTAGAGGCTGGATTAACCCTAATGTAAACCTAGCAGTTTCTCTGAAACTGCTGTTTATAGAACAAAGGGTTAATCCTAGCTGGACCTGGCACCCAGACCACTTCATTAAGCTGAAGTGGTCTGGGTGCCTATAGTGGTCCTTTAACCCCTTAACATGTCATGTCATGATTCTCTTTTATTCCAGAAGTTTGGTCCTTAAGGGGTTAAAGACAGGATTTTCTCTACATGGACAAAATAAAGTGAAAATTAACTAATTCTGATGGCAATTGTCATATTTACTAAAGCCAATATGGAATTCAGTCAACCTAAATCTGCAGCAATCACCCAGATGCATTTGGTGTCCATATTAAAATCGGTGCATTCGCATCCAAATCCTATATAAAGTGGGGTATGTGATTACGTTCCTCCCCCCTGTTATTTCACATGGGGATGGGGCATTTCTAGCAACTGGGCATTTTTAATGATGCCATAGGTTTATTTCTTTTTTTATTATTTAATGTGGTGGCTGTCTAGCAAGTGCTAGCAGCCACCACAAAGTTAACACTTACACTGTCAAAGTTGTTTTACCTATTTGCCAGTTGGCTGCTAACTCTGCCAGCGGGCAAATAGTTTGGATTTTTAAAATTTGGATTTGAAGCATTTTGTCTGGATTTCAGTCATTTGGCAGCATTCAGTCCTGCTGAAATCCAGACCAAGATCGGGCTGTTTGGGACCTGAGCTGCCTAATCCAGACATTGTTAAATAATGTGAACAATGACTGGATTTTACAGCCCGAATGGCCCTGTACACAACCGAATGGTTTTCCTTAGTTCAGTACGGGGCTGTTTGAATAACCCCCTTAGTGTGTTTCCTTATTTTTTTGCAAGAGAAACATACTGGAGAAGCATTCTATTGGTTGGAAGCCTCCTAATAGAGCTTCTAAAACCTTTTGACTTTAGAACCAAAAGTGGAGGCTCTGATAATATGTAAGGACTCAATTTCCTAATTATTCAATACTGTTAGAAATTATTTTCCAAATGATTTATCTACAAAAATTCCCTTAGCGTTTAATGGTGACTTTAGTAGATAAATTCTCTGGAAAGTCTTTCTAACGGTATTAAGTCATTCGATGAGCTTATTAAATTAAGGCTTAAGTGTTCAATGCATCCTTTTCACATATTGTAATTGATTAATTGCTAATTTCTTCCCTCTTCTGAATCACACACTATTTGAGACCATCTGTCTTTAGCCCTAAAGGCCTTAAAAACGTCTCTCTTGGTCTTTAAGTCTTTAGGTCTTTGGTTGTATACACTGCTCATATCACCCCCATCTTTTCTCCCTTCATACACCAGGTCATGGTCATGTAAATTTGGCTGCGGTCGCCACCCGCAGGTTGGGAACAAAATTCACATGACCATGACCACAATCTTTAGGATGGTACATTGTTCCTTTAAAAACTTGTCTATCTCCCCCAGATCAGAGGCAGAGCCAGCACAAGTCAACACACAGCCATGGCCAATCAACATCTCCTCATAGAGGTGCATTCAATCAATGCATCTCTATGAGCAAAGTTCAGTGTCTTCATGCAGAGGGTGGAAACACTGACTATTAGTTCGATGCAATGTGCAGCACTGCCCCAGGAAGCACCTCCAGCAGCCATCTGAGGAGTAGCCCGTGGAGTTATCCGTAGGCTGCAATGTAAACACTGCATTTTCTCTGAAAAGACAGTGTTTACTGCAAAAAGCCTGAAGGAAATGATTCTACTCACCAGAACAAATACAATAGGCTGTAGTTGTTCTGGTGACTATAGTGTCCCTTGAAAGAATTTATTTTATTGTGACAAAGAGATATTTTACTTACTTGAGCAATTGCGCCAGCATATATCAGGGTCCAGTCCAACATCCAAGAGCAACCAGGGACCAGCAGAGCATAGATGCACAAACATTGAAGAGGTACAATATAGAACATAGAGACCAGCATCTGGAAAGATATGTCAGTAAGCATGCTGCATACAATAACTGTGTGCACTTTTTGTACACCATTTAAAATAAGTAAGGTAGGGCCATATATATGCACACAAAAGCAAAACTACCTGTAACTCCTGCATAATGTAACAGTTCACAATTTGGGTTTCCATAATATTTAAATGGATCCTACTGTGTGGAAAAGCATATCTCATAATTCTCATGTCACAGGCAACTACTTATAATAAAATGGTTATTGTAGACACCCTGCTTCCCACTTTAAAGGACCACTATAGTGCCAGGAAAACATACTAGTTTTCATGGCACTATAGTGCCCTGAGGGTGCCCACACCCTCATGGACCCCCTCCCGCCGGGCTCTGGGGAGAGGAAGGGGTTAAAATCTTATCTTTCTCTAGCGCCGGGCGTGGAGCTCTCCTCCTCCTCTCCTCCTCTTCCGCTGAATGCGCATGCGTGGCACGAGCTGCGCGCGCATTCAGCCAGTTTCATAGGAAAGCATTCATAATGCTTTCCTATGGACGCTTGCGTCTTCTCACTGTGATTTTCACAGTGAGAAGCACGCAAACGCCTCTAGCGGCTGTCAATGAGACAGCCACTAGAGGCTTTAGAGGCTGGATTAACCTATTTATAAACATAGCAGTTTCTCTGAGTTAGCTGGACCAGGCACCCAGACCACTTCATTAAGCTGAAGTGGTCTGGGTGCCTATAGTGGTCCTTTAAAATTGAGAATAATATACATAAGGCATCTTGTAGGTTTTTCATTTTAATATTTATTATACTGCAGAAAGGAACGGTTATCAGAACCATTTTTTTAATTAAGGGGTTGGTCACTACACTAATGATTTGAAAGTAATATAAGCTGCAGGGTGACAGATGGGCAAAGTTGACATAATGTCCCATATGGTGTTCTGGAGAGCATGGTGCCAATTTCAGCATTAATTACATATTATTAAAAGGGGAAAAAAATATTAAAGACTTTATGTCTACCATTTGTTTATAGCACCTATAACAATGTTTTAGACTTAAAGACACACAGAGAATATGTCCTTACACTCTACGCACACAAACTTCTAAACCTTATAAAAGGTGCCATTTGAAAGGTGCCATTTGTGTAGTCTCTGTTCTGGAATAAACAAAGAAAAAAATCTACACAAAGAAAACAGTCATGCTAGCGGGGCATTTCAACTAGCACAAGTTGTGAGCTGCTGCCTTAGACCATTATTCTGCAAATTAAAATAGGATGTCTGTTGGCACAGTACTACAGCAGTGATCTGTAGGCAGGAATTGTTCAGGGCCTCTGCTAATCCAGTGCTCTATATGTTTGTTCTTGGGTTCAATGCTATGGCCTGGCCTGGCCCACTGGGATATTTCTTGGTGGACCGCAGTTTCTGGGGTTGACCAGGCTGTTGGGGTATGTGCAAATTACTGCTGGGTGACATGACAGTGCTACTTTTGAGCACAAAAAAAGGTTGTTGTTTGTACTTGCCCCTCAGGCCAAATATTGCCAGCCCTCCCATGGAAATGGTACTATTAAAGAACCAATAAGCCGATCTAGCATATTCTCTATGATGTCCCCCACAACAAGAAGAACAATTGACAAAATCTGGTGAAAATGACCAAATTCTGACTGCACTGGCAATTCACAGATTTACTAAAGCCAAATGCGGTTAGAATTCAGTCTCTAACATTAGTTCAGAAAACTAATATCCACATCAGTACCAATTTACAGCACAGGAGTCGGAGACCACATGCCAACCAAAGATAAATCAAATGCATATGAAAGAATGCACATTTCAAAAATTATCATTGACTTGATGTTTGCAAGATAATTTGAAGTACTATTTGCTGCCCAGTCACTAGAAAATACTCCATGTGATGGGGATGGGGAACCCATTGGCCCCCAATAATGGGTGATGGGTGGGGGCCCTAATATTAATAATAATTCCACCCAAGCCCCCACTCAAGATCACCAGGTGGTAGCTCAAATTATTTATAAAAAAGAAGGGGTGGAGGCGCTAGTGGTGTACACAAGTACAAATAGCAACAGTACATAGAACTGCATTCAAACACCAACACTACACTCAAATATATACACTCCTCAAAAAAATAAAGAGAACACTTAACCCTTAAGGACACAACTTCTGGAATTAAAGGGAATCATGACGGAATATTTCTGTCATGTGTCCTTAAGGGGTTAAACAACACAATATAACTCCAAGTCAATCACACTTCTGTGAAATCAAACTGTCCACTTAGGAAGCAACACTGAGTGACAATCAATTTCACATGCTGTTGTGCCAATGGGATAGACAACAGGTGGAAATTATAGGCAATTAGCAAGACACCACCAATAAAGGAGTGGTTCTGCAGGTGGTGACCACAGACCACTTCTCAGTTCCTATGCTTCCTGGTTGATGTTTTGGTCACTTTTGAATGCCGGCTGTGCCTTCACTCTAGTGGTAGAATGAGAAAGAGTCTACAACCCACACAAGTGGCTCAGATAGTGCAGCTCATCCAGGATGGCACATCAATGCGAGCTGTGGCAAGAAGATTTGCTGTGTCTATCAGCGTAGTGTCCAGAGCATGGAGGCGCTACCAGGAGACAAGCCAGTACATCAGGAGACGTGGAGGAGGCTGTAGGAGGGCAACAACCCAGCAGCAGGACCACTACCTCCGCCTTTGTGCAAGGAGGAACAGGAGGAGCACTGCCAGAGCCCTGCAAAATGACCTCCAGCAGGCCACAAATATGCATGTGTCTGCTCAAACGGTCAGAAACAGACTCAATGAGGGCACGACGTCCACAGGTGGGGGTTGTGCTTACAGCCCAACACCGTGCAGGACGTTTGGCATTTGCCAGAGAACACCAAGATTGGCAAATTCACCACTGGCGCCCTATGCTCTTCACAGATGAAAGCAGGTTCACACTGAGCACATGTGACAGACGTGACAGAGTCTGGAGACGCCGTGGAGAATGTTCTGCTGCTTGCAACATCCTCCAGCATGACCGGTTTGGCAGTGGGTCAGTAATGGTGTGGGGTGGCATTTCTTGCCAGAGGTAGCCTGACTGCCATTAGGTACCGAGATGAGATCCTCAGACCCCTTGTGAGACCATATGCTGGTGCGGTTGGCCCTGAGTTCCTCCTAATGCTAGACCTCATGTGGCTGGAGTGTGTCAGCAGTTCCTGCAAGACAAAGGCATTGATGCTATGGACTGGCCCGCCCGTTCCCCAGACCTGAATCCAATTGAGCACATCTGGGACATCATGTCTTGCTCCATCCACCAACGTCACGTTGCACCACAGACTGTCCAGGAGTTGGCAGATGCTTTAGTCCAGGTCTGGGAGAAGATCCCTCAGGAGACCATCCGCCACCTCATTAGGAGCATGCACAGGCGTTGTAGGGAAGTCATACAGACACGTGGAGGCCACACACACTACTGAGCCTCATTCTGACTTGTTTTAAGGACATTACATCAAAGCTGGATCAGCCTGTAGTGTGTTTTTCCACTTTAATTTTGAGTGTGACTCCAAATCCAGACCTCCATGGGTTGAAAAATTTGATTTCCATTTTTTAATTTTTGTGTGATTTTGTTGTTAGCACATTCATCTATGTAAAGAACAACGTATTTCAGAAGACTATTTAATTCATTCATGTGTTAGTTTTGTGTTCCCTTTATTTTTTTGAGCAGTGTACATACATTCAAACACACAAAACCTGCTTAAATTTTTACCAGTTATTTTTCTATTGCTAAAAATGAACCAGAGAAACAAGGTGAATTAGGGCTGGGGGGAGACTGTCCCCGGGGGACCATAACTCTGGTTAAACCACTGTGTATTATTATTAGTAATGGAATTTATATAGCATCAACTTATTCTGCACCACTTTACAATATTATTAAGGGGATTTTAACAACAAATGAGACAAACTATTACAAATTTTGACAGGAACAATATGTTGATGAGAACCCTGTTCAAGTAGTGTGACATGCATTTATTTCTGATGGGAAATAAGACTAAACAAATAAAATAAAAATTATGTGTTTATAATAGAAAACATAAATGCAATAATCATCACGTACACTAGAGTCAAAATGACCTACTGATCTTAGGATCTTAGACAGACCACTTCCCAGCATGATATTCAAGTTATGTACCAGTTGGGTTCCATCCTTGACCTAGGCACAAGTGGCAATGCTATAAAACAGTGTGCAACGGCACTAATGACAGGAAGAAGATGTAATATAAGTATAACAGAAAGCAAATTTCTTATGGAAATACTGCACTGAAAGGGGTTGTTGATCTGATTTTGTTAGACTACAACCACTATTGCTCTCTGCAAACCTATGGCTGGCAGGGAATTATAAGAGTTACAGTCCATGGATTATTCCTCATGAGAAGCAAAGCAAATTATCGGCTTGTTTTTTTAAGAAAAGGAATAAGAGTTTATTAAACCTTTTATAGATAGGCTACACAAGTAGCAACTGGATGAATGCAAATATAGGCTATTGTTTAAGAACCCTTCAAAGGGTTACTATAGTAACAGCTCTGGAATTTTGCCAACATCAGTCTATCAATACATTTTAATACATGTTGTTAGAGACTGTAAACAGATCTCTGTGGCCCTGTATAACATTATGAGAATGTAGATGACAGACACACACACTCTTATCTTCATCTGAAGAGGACATTATTGTGTAAGCTCCTGACATTTATTTTTCCACATCCATCTTGTTCTGAGAACATGACATTGAAGGACTACACAGATGTAATGTTAGATACATATAAAGTTAGCCTTTGATTTTAAAAGAAAGGCAAGCATTAAAAAAATCAAATACGTCTGGTAAATATATTTTTACAAATGATTTGAGAGAGTCCTCCTCAGATACTGATAGATATATGCAGAGAACAGAAAATGGAGGGAGAGAGGGAACCTTGGAGAGACAGATATGGTAGAGGGGAGAGAAAAAAGGGGGAGTGAGCAATGAAAAAGGATTGACAGAGACAATGATGGAGAGAGATCAGTAGAAGGAGAAGAAATTGAAGAAAGGTAGAGAAAGAAGTAGATGGAAATATGAGAATGGAGGAATTAAGGCAGAAAGAGATAGGGATGGAAAAAGACAGACAGACGAAACAAGGTAATTAAAGAGCATAGGAGATAAATAAATTTTAGTCACACTCATGAGTCTTATCAAAAGTGATGACCCATAAATTTTAGAATTTAATTTGACATTAATATAATTTGCTTTGTATGAGAGACACTCCAGGTCTATTTGTCCTTATTATATAATTACATAGTCCACTTACCTGAACTTTGGGATAAGCCACTGGGTCCCTTAGATACGGTTCATATTGGTAGATATATGTAAAGCAGGCATCAGAGGGACAATCTAGGGCAAGCTACAAACACAAAAGATGTAACTCAGTGACTAATAACGATCAGTAATAATCTTTCCTCTTTCCTAATACTATTAGGACACCCAGCTCATTTCATCTTTATTGTAAATTGGTTTTCTACTACAAGAGATGCAACAGGTGGAACACGTCATGTTTCAAAAACATTTAATTTTCATCATCTGTGCCAGGAGTAATGCTTTCCTTGGGCACAGTGAGAATCCCAAACGACAGAAGCAATGTGAGATGGACACTGGTGGGATCCCACCATCCATTCTCCAAGCTGTAGCTTGAGAGGATACCAGCCTAGGCCTTGCTCTCTGTTAAAGGGGGTGCCAACAACTTATTATATAGAGTAAGAGACAGAAAGACGTCTATAATTTAGCCAACTGAGTATAAATATTCTAGTATCATCTGGGTGAGAATGAATGAGAAGATATGAAGGACAGTGTGTAGGCAAACATGATGAATGTCAATGAATGAGCTGTACGTTTATGAAACGTTGTATGTCATTCCTATAAATAATATAAAAAGGTGCAGATGTACAACCTTCCTGATAACACTGATAACTGTTCTGGGAATCATCTACATTCCAATAGAGAGATTTTGCAACATACCACTGCTAAAAGGGACCCAGTTTAAACCCTACTGAGACCTAAATGAAGCGGTTTGATCAACAGAAAAACACAATCAGGACACCTTGGAAATTTGTGACTACCCCATCAGTTTCCCAGATATGGAGTTACAATCTCAAACAGACTGCAGTCTGATTGTTTAATTTGTGTAATAGGGTAGACCCAGAACGTAGGTGGCAACACTACTGCTCAAAGCAAAATTCACAGTGCCACAGATTTTTGTTTAAAACTGAGGTGCCTCTTCTTATGGCAGCCAATTACACCCCCAAACTAACACTAAATGCATGCCTACTCTCTGTGCCCTACTGTTGGTTACTACCCAACTTTAAATTGAACAATAGAGCCACAATATAGTGTAGCTTTTCAGAATAAAATCCACAGTAAGCTCCCAGGCAGCTCCCTGCTTGTGCATTCAAAGTCTTACACATACAGGTACATATATGCTCATAAATGAAAATAAAAGAAATATTAAGATATTCAGTATAATAAAACACTTACAAAAAATGACTTCACTGGACAAAGGACATTTATTATTGCATGCAGACACTCTCCATTCTTACCATTCCCCTGAAGATTGTAAATATTATAGCAGCCAACAGGTACACAATCATTGCCAAGTCCTGCGGACGTTGCAGGATTCTCTCTTTTTGGGAAATCTCCACCTGTAGAGAAACCAGAAAAAACATAACTTCCATAACAGGTTGAGACAACAATCCTTTCTGGGACAATTATGGCTTATGAAGTTGTGATAGTTAGATTTCTTTCTCTTACCTTTTCTACTGGGGTTTTAGGAAGGACATGGCTTGCTCGAAAGATCCTTATCGCTGCCCAAAATGGAAGGAACAAGTATGGGATGTTGAGGAGGAAAGCAGGACGGATTTCATTCCCATACTTTCCTGAAATATATATATATAAATAAAAGTGTTCCATGATTAATTCTAACAGGGTAATACATAAAGAGAGTTGGTATTATTTAAGATTAGTGTGTGTCGGATAAACTGAGGCCTCTTCATCATGTTTTATCTTGAACACACCTGTCATACAGGTCAGGGTCAGAGGTCACCTCTTCCTGTTCTTCTGTTGATAAAGTGGCACAAGTTCACAGGTCCCTTCTGGCTCAAAGTCTTGCAATAAGACATATGAACTATCTCTCCTCACAGACTATCGATCATACAACAAGTGACAATGACAACTCTGCCTACATCTCTCTTCTATTTACAAGGAATTTAACCGAGTAGATGGCAGCAGTATTTTTCATGGGAATGGGACAGATAGAATAGTAGGTCATGACCCAAAATTAAAGGAAGAAGAAGCAAGGGATTGAGACCAAAAAAAATTATATGTTTGCAGTGGATGCATGAAATGGCAGGTTAGAGAACATGGGAAAGTCAAGAATGTTTAGCACCAACATAACACTGTACTGAAAAAGAGAACAGAATTAAGACTCATCTTTAAAGTATCTAATGGGCAGATCGCATAGGCAACTGGTTCCTATTTACCTTTAAAGACTATGGATCTGATAAGTGAGGTTATAATATGAGAAATTCTAATGGACATCGTTTAACATTCATAAACAGTCCATAGATTTCTAATGTGACCGCATAAGCCCTGATTGCTTTTAAGGCTAACCTTTAATTCAGAAAGAACTAAATGTTACTAAGGAGGTGTCAGCTGTTTTGGATGGACGAGAAATAAATAAGCAAATAATTCAAATTTGAACTGGGCATTGAGCACCAAGCATTTTTAAGTCAATTATGCATTGTATCTCATATATATGTAAGAGGAGGTGATGTCCCAGTCTGTCCAAGATCAATGTATGTGTTTTATTTGCTAATAATGCATTTCTACCCTATTCACATCTACCACATTTATTGTTCTTTAAGTATGTCCCTGGCCCAATTGCAAAAATGTGTTTAAGTCTAGTGGAAGTCAATATAAGTATGTGAGTTATGTGGGTGTTATTATGTTGTCTCAATCAGTCATTGTTGTGCCTTTATGTAGAATAGTAATTCATTACAGCTTAAAGGCACATCTTCTTTATAAATCACAATATCCTATTTTATTCATCTAAATACTGCACGAAATCAATCAGAAAATATATCAATCTAAGTTGCCTTACCTATACTGTGATACAAAGATACATACAGTGATCCCCTGCTGATTTTGTACGTTTGTCCACTGACAAATGAATGATCAGTCTATAATTTTAATGGTAGGTGTATTTTAACAATGAGAGACAGAAAAACAAAACAAAAATCCAGAAAAACGCATGTCAAAAATGTTGTAAATTGATTTGCATGTCAATGAGTGAATTAAGTATTTGATCCCCTATCAGCAAGAATTCTGGCTCCCAGGTGTCTTTTATGCTGGTAACGAGTTGAGAATAGGAGCACTCTCTTAAAGGGATTACTCGCAAATAGAAGAAACACAAAATAACTGTTAGTCTCCCTCTGTCTGGTGCTCTATGCAAGATCTCACCTTGTGGAGTTTCAATCATCATGAGAACAGTGAGGAATCAGCCCAGAACCACACAGGAGGATCTTGTTAATGATCTCAAGGCAGCTGGGACCAGTCACCAAGAAAACAATTGGTAACACACTACACCATGAAGGACTGAAATCCTGCAGCACCCGCAAGGTCCCCTTGCTCAAGAAAGCACATGTACAGGCCCGTCTGAAGTTTGCCAATGAACATCTGAATTATTCAGAGGAGAACTGGGTGAAAGTGATGTGGTCAGATGAGACCAAAATCGAGCTCTTTGGCATCAACTCACCGCACCATGTTTGGAGGAGGAGGAATGCTGTCTATGACCCCAACAACACCATCCCCACCGTCAAACAGAGGTGGAAACATTATGCTTTGGGGGTGTTTTTCTGCTAGGGGGATAGGACAATTTCACCGCATCAAAGAGATGATGGACAGGGCCATGTACCTTCAAATTTCGGGTGAGACAATGACCCAAATCACACAGCCAAGGCAAAAAATGAGTGGCTCAAGAAGAAACGAATTAAGGTCCTGCAGTGGCCTAGCCAGTCTCCAGACCTTAATCCCATAAAAAATCTGTGAAGGGAGTGGAAGGTTCGTGTTGCCAAATGTCAGCCTCAAGACCTTAATGAACTGAAATGAGGAGTGGGACAAAATCCCTCCTGAGATGTGTGCAAACCTGGTGGCAAACTACAAGAAACATCTGACCTCTGTGATTGCCAACAAGGATTTTGCCACCAAGTACTGTCGAAGGGGTCAAATACTTATTTCACTTATTGACATGCAAATCAATTTATAACTTTTTTGACATGCTTTTTTTCTTTTTTTTTCTGGGGGGTCATTTTGTCTCTCACTGTTAAAATACACCTACCATTAAAATTATAGACTGATCATTTCTTTGTCAGTGGACAAATGTTCAAAATCAGCAGGGGATCAAATACTTTTTTCCCTCACTGTAACTGTTCTACATGCCAGAGAAAAAGTTCCTATTCATAAGATAACCTTCCTCAATGCTTGCCATGCTCGTACATAATGCATTATTGACTAGGTTGGTTATTCAGACCCCTGTGCAGTGTGGTTCTATAAGGCTGAAGTCCGCCATATTGGATTTCTAGCAGTCTAGCAGACAGCATCTTGGGATGATCAGTTATACTAGTATATAACAAAAACATTAAAAAAGTATAGCCTTAAAAATAATGGCAATTCAAAAATAAAAAATAAAAATATTTATTTTTCTGTAGAAGTAGTTAGCCTAACGTTACAGATCAATGACATTCATTTATGTGTGTGATGTTTTTAAATTGGTCATAGCTTTATGTTTATGTTAATTATTTCAATAGTTTATGTTAATTATTGGATTATTGAACCTTTTTCTGTGCCAAATACCATATCACAGCATCAACTGATAGAAGATTGAACACGTCATAGAACAGATATTTTCTGTCTTACCGACTACATTTCCAGGTAGAAATACCAGCATGCTCATAACTAGAGATCCCAGCCAGAATAGTCCCACAGCCTTGTAACTCCTCCTACAGACAAACCAGAAAAGAGACGGTTAATTGGCCTGTTCAGCGTAAACAATACAGTCTCAAACAGTCAGAGTCCCTGAACTGAATCTAGCTGTGCTGATAGCTATACAATGCAGAGAGACAGGGTCATTACAAGACTTGTGCATTTGGTGTCTCCTGAATCATGATTTGCCAAAATTTTGGGAGATCAGCAATTCATCCAAAATAGCATATCAACGAATCACGAAGCAAACAAAATCATCAATGGGTCAACAGTTTTGTTTGTTTCATGATTTTGAGTTCTGTCCATTGGTCCAAAAAAAGATGACTAATGGAAAAAATATGATCGATGGTAAGGGGGCAGCCACTAAATTAGTGAAAAGGAGAAGGAGAAAGGTTTTAAGTAGTTTTCCAACTACAAGACTTCCTAAGTGCTGCTGCCCCCTATACCTACAGAGTTGTCATCGTGAAGGTGTTGCTTCATCAACAATCGTCCAATTGAAGGCTTCTCATTGAGGAGCATTGGGGACAAGATGCATGCGTATTGTGTATGCCGCTTGCGTCCAAGCAAATGTTTATTATATGAAAGTACTGAATTCCATGCGCTGCTGTGGGCTGCATTCTCATGGACATTGAACGTCACATGACGGTACTTGCACAGGAAGTGGTCTGCGTCCACTTAGTGGTTCTTTAATAAAGATATAATATATAAAAATAGATTTATTTACTGCTCTTCCTCTATTCCCTTCTACTGGTAACTTCTCACTTGATATGTGACGCACATGGCGCAAAAATGTGAAGTGTACTGCAAAATATATACATAATAATAATGTCTGTATTGTTTTCCCAAAACGTTTGCATTAACGAAACTCATTCAAACTGAAACGCCACATGGACGAATCCAGATTGACGGAAAAACTGTTTGCTTGTTTTTCTGACAGACCAAATATTTTCACCATGCACAAGTCTCTCAGACTTGCTTCTAACAAACAATTTGTCAAGGTTTGTCATCATATTTTTATATAGACTACCCTCTCTGGTCAGTCACAAACAATCAGGGGTTCATTTATAAACAGCAATCTGTGATGAACTAACTACTGACTTTGCACAGTTTCTTTAGACCAAAATAGAAAAACTGGAAAAATCTCCACCTAGAACGGAGGTATTTGCTCTAGTTAAAATTGTAGCAAATTGCAATCTAAAATAGGTCAAAAAAAGGTTAATTTCAAGAAATTGGCCAGCACGGTTATAGTTACAACTTGGCTATTTTTTACATTTTGTCAGTTAGGTTTCAATCCATTACAGTTTGGAGTTTAGTGGATTTTAATTTAATCTAAATTGTGCATCTTATTAATGAACCATCCATGAAACGCTGTTTAGTGAATAAATCCCCTAAATACTGATGACTGTGCAACAATAAGGAATCCTAGAACACAATGAGTACTTTGGTAAATCAAAGATCTATTGGATCTAAACATATAACACAAAGTGAAATGAAAAAAGGCCAAATATAAAACGTGATTTTCTCTTCTTCATTGCTTACCCACGAGCTATGGCAGCCAGCATTAACAGGTACAGTATATAATGCACGGTACCATCCCACAGACAGATGAGCAGTCCGTGTGCTGTGCGGAGATATGGCTCCCCCTAGGAGAAAAGAACTGCAATGTATTTATATTAAAAACATATACCAAAGATATAACATTTTTAATTTTTATTGAACTTAAAAATCTAAGTATCATTTCAGTAAAACTTCAGAGAAAGTCAAAATGTTATGATTATGATCACTGATTTATGTAGAATTGGCAAGAATTGGAATTGCCACCATCTTTACACTTATTTACCATCATAGACTATTAGGTTTATTCATTAAACCAAACTGCAAAATGTGGGGGGGGGGGGAATTCACTAACTCAGCTGTAGTCTGAAGTTTGCAATTTGGTTTTCATTTCCTAGCAATTTGGAGTTCAGTGAATAAAAAGCCCCTCCATATTAAGTTATATTCCAGATACTGGTTCAGTAGTGATAAAGAAATTATTAATCGGGGGGCGTGGTTTGGCCGCGAGGGAAGATGGCTGCCTAAGAGGAGAGCTCCGTCCCACACAGCTCCTACAGCTGGCTACCATCGCAGCACAGCGTGCTAATGGGGCGCACTAAACGCCCGGAGGGCACACAAACACCCAGGGCTCACCCAAGCAGCTCCCAGACGGGACCCATGGACGGGTATCTTGCCCCTTCGACGGCCGAGCACCACGAGGTGGCGGGCGCAAGCATGGCCGACTCCCCGACCCGCCCTCTCACCTCTGATCAGGAAGGGCCCTCATTAACAGATATCAGGGCGGACATTAGAGCCCTGGCAGCGGCAATGGTGACCAAAAACGATCTGCAGATCCTGTCTGACAACCTGCATGCAGCGATCCGCACAGAAGTGACTGCACTCAGGGCTGATCTCACCACACAAGCTAACAAGCTCCAGGTAACTGACATGACTGTGCAGGCCATGGGGGACAGAGTGGAAGCCACAAACCTTGCCATAAACAGGCAAGGCAATATCCTTTTAACCCTCAGGAGACAAACTGAAGATCTAGACAACAGGGGCCGCAGATCGAATATAAGGGTCCGCGGCCTACCTGAACCTGAAGGGGACGAAGACATAAAGGGAACACTGCAGATGCTATTCTGCGACATACTGGGACAGGAGGCACCAGAGTCCATGATTTTTGATCGGGCGCACAGAGCAAACAGAGCGCGTGCAGCCTACAAACTAAAAGAAAAAATAATGTACAAGGCCCGCTCGAGACCTACCTGGCGATTCCGCGACGCAGAAGTGGCCCTGTATCAAGACCTGTCACCCCTTACGCTTGAAGCCCGCAGGGCCCTGAGACCCGTCACGACACTCCTCAGAGACAGAGGGATCCCATATAAATGGGGTTTTCCCTTTATGCTCTTAGCCAGACATCAAAGTGAATGGATTCCGTTAAGATGGCCAGAAGAAGTGCCCAGATTCTTACAGCGCCTCAATTTACCACCGACGGAAGTCACTAACTGGATTCTGGACCCACCGGAGCAGAGACAAGGCCCTCAGACCCCAGGCCAACAGCGCAGAAGACGAGACACCACGCCAAGACGCCCACAGGCCCGCAGACAACTAGCACCCTCAGATCCTGAGGAGTAGAGGCGGGAGCTCCCCACCACACCCACCAGGCAAAACAGCTCCACCATGGCACACACGCTCTACCCGAGATGGCAGACCCTGATGGACGCTACCGTTGTCCTCCAGAAAATAGATAAGTACTGCTTGCACACATACATGAGTGGGGTCATATACACGGACACCCACAGCAAGGCCTAGTGGCAACATGATAGCACACCCCTTGGGTTGGACAGCATCTCCAAGTTGAATGGGGAGGGGGGCCTACTGGGGGTGAGGAACATTGGACAAGCTAGAAGCGGCCCAAAGTGGGGGACTAAGTTTAGGTTTGCCTGCCACATACAAGCCGCACAGCTGCTTTGGATTGCTGGTCATCTGCGGGCACCCCAACACACAAGCCATTCGGGCGAAGCGAGAGCGAACTTGCCGTGCTACACCGATAACTGGACTTTTGTCTGGGGGTGGCGAGAGGGGGTGGGAAAAGAAGGGGCCTGAGGGAACACGCACCTAGGCACTGTTATTCCAGGTTGTAATATGGATGATGTATGTATAGGTTATGCTAGTAGAATGGCCTAGGGGTCGGGCCGGGATGGGGTGGGGGGGGGGGGGCTGGGGCTCTAGCTGTGCTGCCTAAGGTATCACCATGTTTATGTGGATGGCACTTGGGGGATGGGCTGGGACTGATGAGGGTGGGGATGGGAGATGCACACTCAATGGTGGGGCACTGTATATTTAAAACGTTGCACACTTTACAGGACACGTATCCCCCCTGACACAGTGTTATTACCATCTCCACATGCACATGCACATCCTACGGCATGGTAAACCTAAGCACGAAAGATCTGACCCACTAACGGACAGGTCACGCAACGCTAACTATCCTAGAGACGTCCACCCAAGGCCCTCCCCGTGTGACGCAGGCTCATGTGGTGACGACTCCTCCCCCGGCCGCACCGGCACGACCCATTGCACACCGCATGCCACCTTTGCGTTACACTGGTCATACAACACGGTAGGCGACTCAGGGGGGACTGTCGGGTAGACGCCCCGAGACACACCGATAACCTTCCACGCAGGGTAAGACTCCTGGACAACCACCCACGCCCCGTTGTCACGAGACATACAGACCGTTCATTTAAGAAAAATAGCCAATGACGTCAGTTTGGAACATGTGGGACACGGACATCTCACTAGGTAACCATCATACTTTACCGTAAACACTAGATAGTATACTCCTGCTACTCAGCAGGCAACACGCTGGACTAGCCAATTCCACTAACCCCGACCAGACCTGTGTAGACCTGATTACTGGGGGATCCAACTCCGTGGCTGCCCTAGCCCAACTAGGAGACGGTACGGCTTTGAACTCCGCCCAGCTACACAGGTTCCCCTCATACTGAGGGATATACCACACAGAGACCACATTATTGTGGCCTCCAATCAGAGACCTCCCGGGTCGGACCGAATCGGGCGCGGGCCGAGCCGCTGACCTGCGGGGCACAGGCCCTCCAACGACTGGGTGTCATAGCCGACCTACTTCCCGTTGTAGCGCTCACTCATCCCCCCCCACTTATTGCAGTAGGAGTGCGCACGGGCACCTAGATCTCCCCACGGGAGACCAAACACCGCAGGACTTGTACACGCAATCACTCTCTCTCTATGGCTTACACGGCCGAACCCCTCAGCATCCTAACACAGAACTGTCGGGGCCTTAACGCACCTGAGAAGCGCTCACATCTCTTACGGGAACTTCACCGTAAGCGGATCTCAGTGGCTCTGCTGCAGGAAACGCACCTCAAATCGGTGGACACCAACAGACTGAAGGACAGACGGTATCCAACCAACTGCCACAGCACCCACCCTACTGACCGAAGGGCAGGAGTGGCGATACTGATAGCCGCTAATATCCAATTCACCCAGACGGACCAACTCACGGACCCAAACGGCAGATACCTTTTTCTCAAAGGCACTATATCTGGAAGAATTTACACCTTCGCATCAATCTATGCGCCAAATGCAAAGCAGGCGACGTTTCTGAACAAAACGATTCGCCAACTGGCAACGTTCACGGAAGGTTCGCTTGTCATAGGGGGGGACTTTAACGCGCCACTCGACCCACTATCCGACTCATCGACCGGACACAGCAGCATACCACAAACCGCGATCAGGGCGATAAGGAAGACGCTGTTAGACCTGAGACTGGTGGATGCGTGGCGAACCTTACACCCGACGACTCGAGATTATACGCACTACTCGGCCATTCACAGGAGACATTCGCGTATCGACTACATCCTCATTCAGCAGGAAGGGTTACAACGTCTGCGATCAGCCGAAATTGAACCAACACCATGGTCGGACCACAGCGCAGTACAAGTACACCTGGACTCCCCTCTCTTCAGACCCTCTAAATCGACATGGAGATTGAATGAGTCACTCTTGTTGGACTTGGGAGTAAAGACACTCCTGACGGAACACCTGTCCAACTACTTCACTGAGAATGATACGGAAGACGTTTCTAAAGTGACACTCTGGGAAGCACACAAAAGTGTGCTTCGGGGCCACCTCATAAGGATTGCATCACGGAAGAAGAAGGAAATACAGCAACACATGCTGGAACTTACCGGCCAGATTTCCAATTTGGAAACTCTGCACAAACGGTCACAACTCGAGGAACACTATCGCTGTCTTTTAGACGCACGACGACAATTGACAGAACTGATAGCACGCAAACACCATCGAGCGACGCAGAAATCTAAAGCCTTCTTCTACATCCACGCCAATAAAAGTGGGAGACTCCTGGCCAACATGATCCGACCGCAACAAGCCAGGGCGCAGGTACATGCACTGAGAAGGACCAATGGCACCCTCACACAATTCCCGGAGGATATAGCAAACGAATTCCGTGATTATTATCAACGACTATACAACACCTCGTCGACGCCCGACACTCAACGTGCCGCTCTGCAGGAAGCCACAACGCGCTATTTACAAAGATTTCGACCGGACGCCCTCACGCCGGAGGAAGCGGAAATGCTGGAAACCCCAATCACCATAGAAGAAATACAAGCGGCAATTAAGGCAGCGAAGAGGGGGAAAGCGCCAGGTCCGGATGGGCTATCGGCGGGGTATTATAAAATGTTTGGAGGCATTTTGAATCCACACTTAACAGCAGCCCTCAACCGACTCCAACAGGGTGACAAGTTCCACCAAGAAACACTAGCTGCCACAATTACGGTGCTACCCAAGCCAGGCAAAAATCCCGAAAATTGCGGCAGTTACCGGCCGATCTCACTCCTTAACACGGATGTGAAACTCTTCTCCAAAATCATCGCCACAAGACTACAAACGTATGTCCAGCGCCTAATCCACCCTGACCAAACAGGTTTCGTGACAGGCCGGGAAGCCAGGGACTGCACTCTAAGGGCGTTCTCTATACAGGCATTGGCCCTTAAGGGAGACACGGAGTTGCTAATGCTCTCCACAGATGCTGAAAAGGCATTTGATCGGGTAACGTGGAGCTTCATGATGGCAACACTGCATAAGGTCGGCCTAGGACCGGGAATGATAGCCTGGATAGAGGCGCTCTACGCTAACCCTAATGCCAGAGTGAGGGTGAATGGCGCGCTCACAGACAGCTTTACCATACACAATGGCACCAGGCAGGGCTGCCCGCTATCGCCGCTCCTATTTGCCCTCTCGTTGGAGCCGTTCTTGGACAGGATAAGGCAAACCCCAGAGATTAGGGGGTTTAGACATAAGGACCAGGAACATAAGGTAGCCGCATACGCAGATGACATGCTCTTTTTTATCGACAACCCTATCAACTCCATGCCGGCTCTGATGGAGGAATTTGACATATACGGCCGGGTATCGGGACTGAAGCTAAATCAAACTAAATGCGAACTGTTGAACGTGTCGGCCCCAACAGCTGTAAGGGAACGGATCGAACGCGAATTCCCCTTCCACTGGTGCCCAGGCCAGATGCGTTACCTGGGAATTTGGATACCCAGCGAACCAAAAGAGATATATGCCAGAAACTACACGCCCCTTCTACGCACAATACTGCTCGACCTCAAAAATTGGAACTTTGACCACATATCCTGGCAGGGACGCATAGCGGTGGTTAAAATGAATATTCTACCAAGGTTGCTTTACCATTTTTACACCATCCCCTGGCACGTACCCCCAGAATTCTTTACAACACTTAAATCGGCGGTGATAAAATATGTCTGGAAGGGAGAGAGAGCACGACTCAGCTACGACAAATTGTGTCTACCCAAGAACTGGGGCGGACTGGCGCTGCCCGACGTTCGCAAATATTTTCAGGCCACGGTTTTACAACGGATTAGAGATTGGCACACAGCACCTGAACACAAATTGTGGGCTGCCTTGGACAGGGAGAGTACGAACAAGGCCCTCCACATGTATATATGGCAAGGCACAGCGGACGCGGCACCAAAACTGGGCAATGAATCACCCATCGTACAAACGCTGAAGACGTGGTCTTCCCTGAGGCGAAACCTATATATCTCCCCACAACCAAGCCCCTTGATCCCGATAACACACAATAGCATGATAGGCGGGGGACTACACCGATCTGCCTGGCCGATAGATGGAGACGGAGATTATATCCCGTTGTCCAAGGTCCTGAGCAACACAGGAATGAGAAACCTGCCAGAATGGAGCACGGCGACACTACACACGCTGATGCACAGATTTCGATACACACAATTGCGGCACTTCTACTACAACCTTCCCAACCGTGAAGCGATCCACAGAGAACAGTCGTGGTTCGAACACCTCTGCGTGACAAACACCGACACAGACGGCAGAGTATCAATCCTTTACCAGCAGTTGATCACAGGGGATCGCACACGTAAAAATGCATTTAAGAGGCAATGGGAAGAACTGACGGCAAGGACGTACACAGAGGCGCAATGGGAGCAGATATTAATATTACAACACAAGAGCTCCATAAGCACAAGGTATCAGGAGGTCAACTTCAAATTACTCTCACACTGGTACAGAACCCCATCTCTATTACACAGGATATTCCCGGGAACGACAGATACGTGCTGGAGATGCGAATCCCAAACAGGCACCCTACGACATATCTGGTGGGACTGCGCGCGGATTAAACCATACTGGGAAGACATCAAGAGGGAGATAACGACAATCGTGGGTGACTTACCAGAATTTACCATGGAAATGGCCCTACTACACTTTACGGAAAGCTCGATAGCCCAATATAAGAGATCGATACTGAGACACCTGCTCAATGCTGCGAAAGCGTCTATACCAGCTAAGTGGAAGCAGATCCACCCACCAACCGTAGCAGAATGGCTACAGAGAGTTGAGGAAACACACACAGCTGAGGCACGATACGCAGAACTACTAGGGAGAAGCACCAGACATGTCGACATCTGGACCCCATGGTATGTTTATCTCTCCCGTACCAGAACTTAGAGAGGCACGAGCTCACTGCGACACCCGGGGGTTGGGGATGCCCGGGCGCACTCCGATGTAAACTGCTCAAAGACCCTTCCACACCCCCTTCCTTTTCCTCCTACTCCTCCCCCCTTTTTATACCTGCTACAACTACTGCTTGCGTGTAACTTCACTAAGGGACACCGCGGGGGCGGTGCGGCTTGCGGCCGAGGGGGTCGGAACCGGGAGGGCTCGAACACGTTGACGCACAAGATATTACCATGACGTGTAGATAGTTCTACTGACACGATCTTCCGACTTACACAAGACTGAAAGACAGCGGCAGAACAGGCTCTGACGCATGGAGAACATGTCATCGAGGTAGGACATAACTAACTACTGAGCGGATAGGAGCTAAGCAATAGATTAACAATTCATCAAGGTGACTAGACACAGACATAACCCATACCCGACCTAGGGGACACACAAACAGACCCAACCCATTAGGCTAACTCCGACCTCATAATTTCCCCTGGGGTTCACTTCTATGGGAGGCTCCGAGTGGAAGCCTGGATTCAAGGAATCGCCCCCTGATCTGTACTGCATCAGGCACTAGAAACTGAATCCCAGTGTTGGCACCATAATATTGACACGTGTGCATGAGACCTTGAATTGAGCTTTACAGTTTATGTCCCAAATGTCAATCAATAATACTGCTCCTGTATTCGGACTTCATGCATCATATCCGTCTTAATTCTGTTGTTACTACTGCCTTATTTTTCCTGCCAACCTTGCTAGTTCGGAGACACAGCAGCATACTATAATTTAGAGAGGAAGCGTTGCCACGTTTTTACTAAGCTATTCAATCTAGAGTTTTTATCTGTTCTGTAAATGCGTTCTTATGCACCGATGTTACTATTGTATTCATTTTCCTGTTAAACGATATGGCGCTTGACGACTATTGAGTATCCAGGATCGCGCATGATCAACACTTGTATTATCAGAACTAATGCTCGATTTGTTCACACGCACACGTACGCTGTTGTAGCGTATGCTTATGTTTATTGTACTCACCTGTATGACAAAATAAAGAATTTAAAAAAAAAAGAAATTATTAATCATGCTCTAAAGCGATCATGCCACATGTCATATTTGTTCCACACAGAAGAATATAAAAGTTATATGCTCTAATTATGTGTCGGGAGGCAGATGCCTTTAAATGTTCTATACACCCAGTTTTTTCTGTAATGGTCATTTATATTTCTATATCTGACTCATGTAGGGTCATAGCACATATTCAAGTGCAATATCTCTCACGTAACATTTGTTATAGGCAGAAATATTGACCCAGAGCTTGATAATACATGTAATAAATATATAGGTTTACATACAAACACATACTCCCTCAATAAAAGTTATGTCTTCTATAAATCTTTACATGTTCTATATATATAGTACAATATAAGAATGGAACATAGTATTAAAGTGGTGTATATAGTAGATAGAATGTAGCATTGTAGAATTGAACATTAAAGGATCGTTATAGGGTCAGGAACACAAACATGTATTCCTGACCCTATAGTGCTAAACCCACCATTTAGGTGGCTTGCCCCCCCCTTAGCCCCCTATAAAAGTTTAAAACTCACCTTATTTCCAGCGCCGTGCGGGTCCTCCAGCGCTGGCTCTGCCCCCTTTGTGACATAATCAAAATGGCATATTTTTAGCCAATCCAATGCTTTCCCATAGGGAAAGCATTGGATTGGCTAAAATCAGCACGGGGCAGGGCCAAAAGCACCTCATCATAGAGATGCATTGAATCAATGCATCTCTATGAGGAAAATTCAGCGTCTCCATGCAGAGCAATGAAAAGGCAGTGTTTACATGAAAATGCCTGAAGGGAGCTATTATACTCATCAGAACAACTACATTAAGCTGTAGTTATTCTGGTGACTATAGTGTCCCTTTAAAGGAATTTAAGTCATAACCATAACAGGCAGACAAGACGGGCCCAGCTGGTTTTTATCAACCTGTGTTTCCAAGAGTCACCCACCCCTCACCTCTTTCATATAAAACTCCATGAAGCCACTGATGTACCCATCTTCTTCCAGCCATATGATAAGATCAATGACACTTGTGAAGGAGAAAATCGCAAACACTGTATGGGAGAGAATGTAAAGGTTTAGGACATTGTAGCTGAGGTGGTATGGACGTTGTTAAGCATAACATGACAATTTTAAATATGTGGCTAACATTATTAACATTTATACTATCTATATAGGGAACACTCCCCACAGTAAATAGTCAAACTGTTTTAGAATGATTTGAATTCTTACCAAGGGTTTGCCGGGCGCTGCTCTCCACCTCCTCTCAGAAGCCAGGAGAGCCGGAGCTCCTGCAGTTCGTCATCTCAGGGTTTGTGGAGAATTGACAAATTTGCAAATTACAGGAATAATAGCTGATCTGCATAATTTTTGCTTAAATGCCTGATAATAACAGGTGTACTTAATATCCCTGATTTGATTTCGTTTTGCTGTGGGTTAATATGCAGAAAATTTCCTGAACGCAATAGACAGTTATATGGAATCCTGCGTTTTTATGGCACATGCAAACACACATCTACATATTTTAAAACACCTTCTAATCTATATATATATATCTATGTCAAACAAAAATCACATTTAACGATTGGCAATTTCATGTGCTGCATTGGGGTTTAACGCTCTCAAATTGTATGTCAGCCTTCCTGCATAAATCCCACCTAACCTCTGTCTGTGCTAACCTCATGTAGCCAACTATCACACAAACATATCGGCATATTTAAGCCCTAAATATGTACATTTTTTTTCATTTGTCACTACTGTTACACTTTCAGTGCTGATTTCTAATACAGCTATAAAACATACATTAAACCGAAACAATTCAAAAATCTGTCAGCTGTCTCTAAAATTGATTGAGGCTTCACAGGACTCCCTAATAACCAAGATGGGTCTCGAAGGGTTAGTCCAAAGCACTACAATTACTTCATTGATTTGAAGTGGTCATGGTACCTGAAGTCTGTACGTGAAACGTTTTGCTTTGAAACACTGTACACTCAGAGATTAACCCTTAAACTGCTGGCGGTGTAACTCCACTTAGAGCCGTGTCATTAGCCAGCCCGGAACAAGGGTACGGACCAAATCAGAAAGGTATACTGTAACCAAAATCATTGCTTTCTGAAGTGACCTATGCATTTAAGGAGATTTAATCCATAACATCTACAACAAAAGTTATCAACCCCTGTCATAGAAATTTATATGACCCAATATTTGTGTTCACTTGCACAGTTTGCTGACTGCATTAACTGTAATAAATGGCTTTATTCACTGTAGTGAATTGCAGTGAACTGAAAATGGAATTGGAAAATGTAGGCCACAATTACCGATATGGAATATTTCCTAGCTCTGCTATAGTCACGGCTTTGCAAATTTGCAATTCATTTTTCACTCCACAATACTATATGGAAAAAAATCTCTTATCTGTTTCCCTGTACAAATATAGGCCTCAGTTTAATATCATTAGAAAAGTTTGCCAAATGATTTTGTATTTTTGGATACAATTTTAAAATAATATTTTCAACATATTAAAATATATATAAAAATATATATACCGTAACTGTAACAAAAATTAACTACCTTATCCCAAATAATTATAAGTATTTGTTGTTGGCTGTTAACCATTCTGCTGGGGTTTGTAAATAAAGTTCAAACGATAATAATTAATTATTATGGATTATGAGAGCATATAGTTCATTGTAATTTTGGGATAAAAGCGTACATAACAACTGCTGCTGCTGATTTTGCACCTAGACTGCAAAACTCTCCAGACTAGACAGATGTAGGGCCACCAGGACAACACCAAACGCCCCTTGTTCTTGAGCCCATCTTCCCCCTCCCTTTTTTTCACTCTATGTTTCTTCCTTCTCTTTTTTTCTCCCCTACCTTTTCAGTTCTTCTCCCATCACTGAACACCTTACCAATAACCTGATACAAAACAAGGGAAGATGCTCAGGTGTAAGCAATACTCGCTGAACCACTAGACGAATCAGAAATTAGAGCATATGTTTACCTGTTACATGTCAATACTTAACATTTTATGTTTCATGGGCCCTGCGTGTCTCACATGTTACGTGTTTTTTACACCAGATTATTGAGACCTGCGTGTCTCTGTTACGCTTTTAATGTTTTATCCCTTGCCAGGATATTTTGCAATGTGAAGGTACCTACGTGTCTGCATACAGTACTTTTCTATATTTAAAAAATGTAATAAACAAACATTTAAAAAAATATATATATAAAAAAAAAAGTTATAAATAGGCTGCAACTTACCATAGAACAGAGGGTCACTAGGAGGATCTCCTTGGACAAAAAATACTAACAAGAGCAGTAAACCAAGCAGAACCAGGGTACCGATCCCCGCTATAGAGACAGGGCTGAAAAGAAAAATGGAAGAGAAAAGGTCACGTAAGGACATGTGTTCGTTCTATCTATGGTAAGCATCCAACAGGCTTTTAAATGTCTTTTAATAATTCAGTTGTCCTGCTTCATTAACATTTCATTGTCTTAAAATGCATAGCTCTGCAGAATCGACTGTAACTTTATAAATAAAATAATAATGGTATAAATCTAAACTAATTATTTCTTGTTCCAAATTAAGTTTTAATTTTGTGTACAACAACGCACAGGCTAGTCAGTCACTCACTGCTGCTCAGCAGAAACTGGCTCCTGAAATCTTTCTATTTAGAGTGTTTATGAAATTATCCGTGTAGTGTGCTGGATAACATTGACCTTGAAATCTGGTTCATGTGTGTTATTACACAATGCAAAGCTGGACCATTAATGAAGTTAAACTGATTTCCCCTCTATAAAATTTTATTATTTGTTATATCCTACTGTAAATGGCAATCATAAGTCTTTGGAAGGGAAGAACAATGCTTTAATGAAAATCATTACAAGAATAAAAAAATAATATAAAATATATTGCTTGGAATAACACTGAACGTTCAGGGGCACCATTCAGAGTATTTACAATACATTGATACGTATTTAAACTATAATGAATACGAAACATTAATGACTACATCTGCATAACCTGAAAAAACTAATTATTGCACTCCAGAGTAAAGCATTGGCAGTAGTATGCACACAGAGTAGTGACTTTGAACATGAAATCTTTATAACCAATGAGTCTGTTAATTTCACAAAGTTGTAGTCTACACAAACTCACCGATTGGGGTTGATGAATATTGATGTAACCAAAATAAGTTATCTTTTGCAGCACATTCTACAAGGCTCCAAACTCACCCAAAAAACATCCTCAACACCAGATATATTTGTTGGGCACTTCAAGAAATGGATGATTTTTTTAATATTTTATGCAGAATTATACTGTGTAATTTGTTTTCATGCATGTTGAGCTGTTATGAAATTCTAAAGTATGAGAACTGTAATTTAACTATAACACAAATCTTATCACTTAATTTAAGGCATTATTTTTCTTAAACCTGTGCACGTACATTTCAATTTTGTACTAATTTGAAGATAATTAGTGGAATCAGTTTTGAATGATTTCAGCATTATATCATGTTTTTAGCGCCATTTTTAGACAATAGTTGGGTACAGATTCCTGATCTCAAGGCTCATTCTGATTGAACAGTTGTTGAATGAACGGGGATATTTTTGAATGAACAAGGATAGCACGTACATGGAAAATCTGATTGCCAAACACAAGTACATGACTTCAGGAACACACTTGTGACTGAATGGGGTCAGATTGCTACAACAAAGTTCCATCCAACACAGAATTGAAAACATTTTTCCACAAAAAATGGACGCTGATCCAGCAGCAAAGGGGGTGCTTATAAGCAGATATAAGTTAGCTGTGTAGAAGCTTTGTTAGTTAGTAAATGTGCACATTTCACATCTTTGGACATACAGAGGAGAAGTAAGAGTACCTTCCTTTTTTGCCATCTATCACTAAACAGGTTGGTTATTGGCTATTAGGTCAGTTATAAGGATATTTAATTTATGGAGACGGTGGGCTCTTTTATAAATCATTGCCGTTGGCATAGAAACTCTTTTATTGTCTTTTGTATAACTCTTATTTAGAGTAAAAAAAATGGTTGGCAACTATCCAATCATTTGGAAGAGGATAACTAAAAAAATAATATTTTAGGGGCAGAACCTGACCTCGGGAGAAGATGGATGCTTCCTGTAGCTCCTAATCCCACGAGCACAAAATCAGCAAACATCCGTGATCTAACCACACTTAACTCCCCAATTTATAAGTGGTCAACCTCACCACCATCCAAAGAACGCTCACAAAGATGGGTGGAGGGAAAAAACTAGGGAACAAACACCATAGGTGGCCTCGCTATTCCGCACACCTAAAGACCCACGGTAGACATTTTGCTCCCAAGAAGTGGAAGACCACGATACTGATTCGGACGGGAGTGAAATCACCTTAATCATGACGCTCCCCTCACCAAGTGGCCACAGAGTTAGAAAAACACATCTCACAGCCCTGGCATGCAGGACGGATCAAGCAGAAATCCAGATTACCACCCTCTCCATGACTACCACAGCGCAAGCCCAGGACATAGCATACCTCCATGGGAAGATACAATCTATGGAAGAGGTCCTGGAAGACCTTAACAACAGGTCCCGGAGAAATAACATCCGCATCCGCGGCCTACCTGAGTTGATCACAAACAACGCCCTCCCACAAACACCCCCCGAGAAATATTCCAAACTCTTGGCACATCTGGGATGTTATCAGACTTTAGGTCACCTAACTGAAGCTGCCCCCCCTGTTGAATTACGTTTGAGGAATCGGAGCACAGACCCAGGGCCGAGTGATATTGCTGATGGAATCTGGTAAATGATTTTTTTTTAAATGTAATTCTTTATGTGCTGGGTTAAAAGGGGTGAATGGGAGGGGTGTGGCAGAGGAACTATAGTGTAAGGAATAAAACTTTGTATTTCTCACACTAGGGGTTCCCAATACATTTTTCCCGTGGAACCCTTTGACATAGTGTATCAACATCGTAGAAACCCGCGCGGTGCTGGTGTGTGTTTGTGTGTCAAGGTATATGTATCTGTGTTTGTATGTGCCAGTGTGTGTCAATGTATATCTGTGTGTGTGTGTGTGTGTGTGTGTATGTATCTGACACACAGATACACACACTGGCACATAGTGGCACACAGATCCACAATCTGACACACAGATACACACACCTCGACACACAGTGTGTATCTATGTATCTGTGTGTGTATGTATGTATATGTGTGTCAAGATGTGTGTATCTGAGTGTCAATGTGTATCTGTTTGTGTGTGTGTGACACACAGATACACACACACTGGCACATAGTCAGAACTGGACTGGCCCACCGGGATACCGGGAAATTTCCCGGTGGGCCGGCTAACTAGCAGGCCAGTGTGCGGCCGTCTAGTGTGCACCGGCCCGTGGTCCGCACGGCGCAATTACCGGGTGGCCAGTAGGAGAGGACGCGCTCCCCTCCTGCCAGTCACAGAATGCAGCGTGGCTGAGCAGGCAGACCGCAGTAGAGGAGCTCCTGTTCCACAGGGAAAGCTGGGGGAACTAATGGGAGAAAGGGAGAGCAGGGGGGAAACTAATGGGAGAAAGGGAGAGCTGGGGGGAACTAATGGGACACAAGGAGAGCTGGGGGGAAACTAATGGAACACAGGGAGAGCTGGGGGGAGCTAATGGGACACAAGGAGAGCTGGGGGGACTAAGTAGACACAGGGAGAGCTGGGGGGAACTAATGGGAGAACGGGAGAGCTTGGGGGGAACTAATGGGACATAGGGAAACTGGGAACTATGGGACACACAGGAAGCTGGGGGCTGGTGGGACACATGGAGGCTGGGGAGAGGAGAAGCGTGGGGAAATAGTTGGAAAAGGGAGAGCTGAGGGAACTAATGGGACACAGGGAGAGCTGGGGATTAGTAGGACACAGGGAGGCACAGGGGACTGGTGGACACGGGGAGGCTGGGGGGACTAAGGACACGGGGAGGCTGGGGGACTAAGGGACACAGGGGAGACCCCTGGGGGGCGCTGTGGGACACTGCGAGGAGCAGAGGGACATGGGACACGGGGAGGCTGGAGAGGGAACTATGGGACACAAAGGCACACAGGGGCAATGGGACACAGGGAGAGCTGGGGGGGGAGAAGCCTGGGACACAGAGGGGCCTGGGGGAAGCAATAAGGACCGCGAGGGGAGAGCTGGGGGGACATGGGAGAAAGGGAGGGCTGGGGTGGGGGAAACTCATGGGACACAGTGAGAGCTGGGAGTGCAATTAATGAGATACATGGAGGGCTGGGAGGGGGATATAACAACACATGGAGGGCTGGGAAAGGAGGATAAGGACACATGGAGGGTCGGGAAGGGGGTATAAGGACACATGGAAGGCTGGGGGGGGGACTAATGGGACACATTGAGGGGCTATAAGAACACATAGTGGGCTGGGAGGGGGCTAATGGGACATATGCGGGCTGTAAGGGATGGCTAGTGGGACACATTGGGGCTGGGAGGGGGCCTATTGGGACACATTGAGGGCTGGGAGGGAGCTATAGGGACACATGGAGGGCGGGGAGGGAGGGCTAATAGGACACACAGAGGGCTGGAGGACTAATTGGACATACAGGGGCAGGGCTGCCGCCAGAAATTTTGGGGCCCCTGACAAAGCACAAGGTCTTGTGTGTACTAGATGCAATGTGTTTAGTGGATGCAGTCTGTAGTGGATGTTGTAGTGTGTATAGACGCAGTGTCTCTGTATAGTGAATGCAGCGTGTTTGAATGTGTGGTGGATGTAATGTGTGTACTGTGAATACAAGATGTTTGTGTAGTGGATGCTGTGTGTATGGTTAACGCAGAGTGTGTGTTAGTGTAGTGAATGCAGAGTGTGTGTCAGTGTAGTGAATGCAGTGTGTTAGTGTAGTGAATGCAGTGTGTTAGTGAAGTGAATGCAGAGTGTGTGTCAGTGTAGTGGATGCAGTGTGTCAGTGTAGTGGATGCAGTGTGTTAGTGTAGTGGATGCAGTGTGTTAGTGTAGTGAATGCAGAGTGTGTCAATGTAGTGAATGCAGTGTGTGTGTTAGTGTAGTGGATGCAGTGTGTTAGTGTAGTGAATGCAGAGTGTATATTAGTGCAATGAATGCAGAGTGTGTGTGAGTGTAATGAATGCAGCGTGTGTGTTAGTGTAGTGGATGCAGCGTGTTAGTGTAGTGAATGCAGAGTGTGTGTCAGTGTAGTGAATGCAGAGTGTGTGTCAGTGTAATGAATGCAGAGTGCGTGTTAGTGTAGTGAATGCAGAGTGTGTGTTAGTGTAGTGAATGCAGAGTGTGTTTCAGCGTAGTGAATGCAGAGTGTGTGTTAGTGTAGTGAATGCACAGTGTGTGTTAGTGTAGTGGATGCAAAGTGTGTGTTAGTGTAGTGGATGCAGTGTGTTAGTGTAGTGAATGCAGTGTGTTAGTGTAGTGAATGCAGAGTGTGTGTGTTTACTAGTGTATGAATGTTGTGTAAATGGAGCATTTTCCCCTCCACCCACATTAAATGTAATAAAATCTATGCCCCCCTCCCTGCTTCTTACCTGGTTCAGGAAGGGGGGAGATTCCATGATCCATGGTGGTCCGGTGGCATTGTGGGGCCCCCCCGGGCAACGCTCTGACGGCCGCACGTCTCGCGGGAGTTAGAGAGAGGGAAGAGCTGTTATGTACAGCTGCAGTCTGCTGGGCCCCCTCTGCAAGTACAGGGAGCCGGGGGCCTGCAGCTGCACATATATATAGCGATCATCGCTTTATATATGTGCAGAGAAAGACCGCCGGACCCATGACAACCGTCATGGTTGTCACCCCCTGATGGCGGCCCTGCTCATGGGACATATGGGGGTGCTACTGAGACACGTGGGAGGGCTAATAAGACACATACAGGGCTGGGAGAGGGTGTAGGGACTCATGGAGGGCTGGGAGGGAACATAGGAACACATGGAGGACTGGGAGGGAGGGCTAGTGGGACACATGGAGGGCTGGGGGGCTATATGGACAGATGGAGGGCTAATAGGACACATCGAGGGCTGGGGGCTAATGGGACACATATGGGGCCTATTGGGACACATTGAGGGCTGGGAGGGAGCTATAGGGACACATGGAGGGCTGGGAGGGAGGGCTTATAGGACACACAAAGGCTGGGGGACTAATTGGACATGGGGGTGTAGGGACTCATGGAGGGCTGGGGGCTACATGGATGGAGGGAGGGCTAATAGAACACATCGAGGGCTGGGGTCTAATGGGACACATGTGGGGGCTACTGAGACACATCAAAGACTGGAGAGGGTGGAATGAGACACATGGAGGGCTGTGGGGTAATGAGACACATGGAGGGGCTGGGGAGAAAAAGACAGAGGGGTTGGCAAAGGGGAACAGGAGACACACACAGAGGAGCTGAGGAAGATGAACAAGAGACACACAGAGGGGCTGGGAAAGGGGAGAACGAGACACACAGAGGAGCTGTGGTGAAAGATACACATAGATGTGCTGGGGCCTGGGAAAGAGACCCACAGAAGGACTGGGGAAAGGGAGAAAGAGACAATGGGGCTGGGGGTAAGAGGCATATGAAAGGAGTTTGGGGGAGAAAGACACAAACAAAATGCATCTTCACTTGTATCTCCTGCTCTCCCTGTAACTAGGAGTCGACCGGTGAGAGAAAGACATTGTATTAAACGGACACAATAGTCACCAGAACTACTACAGTTTAATGTAGTGGTTCTGGTGTCTATAGCCTGTCCCTGAAGGCTGAGCACTGTGAATGCTACCTTTTCAGAGAAAAGGCAGTGTCTACATTGCTGCCTAGGCACATCTCTAGTGACAGTCACTCGAGCGGCCACTAGAGATGCTTCCTAGTCCAATACTGCACACTGTGCATGGAGGTGCTGATCGATGCATGCAATGCATCTCTATGAGGAGATGCTGATTGGTGCGGTGAAGCGCAGCATTTTGCCACACATGTTCAAAAGCCTCCCAATGCTTTCCTATGGGAATTGAATTGGCATTGACTGAGATCATCCAGTTGTCAGCCAAAGAGTACACTCTTATTACTTTAAAAAAAACAAGATAACATTTTTTTTTTACTGCGGTGCAATAGCATACATTCACAATTTCAGTCCAAATGACCAAACTTTTCTTAATATATCAAAAAAATGGACTGAAACATTGATTATATGCAAATGCACATCTGCTTACAAGAAATCTGCTCTTTTATTTATTTTGAAGCCCTATGAGTGCATTATTTCTCTGCTGGCGCAATGCATTATGGGGCTGGTATAGAATTTTTTTCCAGGGCTGCTTTTCATTTCCAGTCTGGCCCTGCACATAGTGGCACACAGATACACACACCATGACACACAGATACACAAACTCAGATACACATACACACACTCAGATGCACACAGTGACACACACACACATCTTGACTCACAAATACACACACACTCAGATACACACAGTGACATATACAAACACTGGCACATACACACACATTGACACATACACACAGTGTCATATACACACACTGACACACTCAGATACACACACACACCAATACACACATACTCACACACACACTGACACATACACAAATCTGGACACACAGATACACACACTGACACACACACTCTTTAAAAGACACACATATACACTCTCACTGACAAGCACACATAGATTCTCACTGACAAACACACATACACTCTCAGTGACAAACACACATACACACACAGACTCACTGACAAACACACATACAAACTCCTTAACAGACACACACAATTTGGGAGTGCTGGCACGGAATCTCTATTTCCATGGGGTCCAGTGGTGCTGCTAGGCTGAGCAGCTGGCGTGCAGTCCCTGGGGTCCAGTGCGGCTGCTGGGCTGAGTGGCTGGCGTGCAGTCCCTGGGGTTCAGCGGGGCTGCTGAGCCTAGCGGCTGGCGTGTGGGCGTACAGTGCGGGTGATGAGGGAGCAGAGATCTTCCTGCTCAGCTGCCTCGTGCGCCTCTTAGTGGAGCCAGAGTGATGTCATATATCGGCTCCGGCATCACTGCTGTGCGCACAAGGGAGTTGAGCAGGGGAGAGTGCTCCCTCGCCGCCCTCCTAAATTATCGCAGAGGCCATTTTGTTTCCTGAAATTTTGGCAGAACCCCATTTATGTTCTGGGGTTCCGCGGAACACCAATTGGGAAACGCTGCCTTACACTATAGAATCCCTTTAAACAATAGCTGTCCATAGTCCTGGACTTGTGAACAAAGTAGAAATAAAAAGGACTTGAACATCTGCCCTTTATGGTGTCTTGCATGTAGCCAATTAGGGAATTAGAGTTAAACTAGAGTTAAGAGAAAGTCGATAAAGGAAAAGTGGAAGTGGACTGAGGGAGAAAAAGAAGAAACCTTTGAGGGGTGGTCACTGAAAAAAGCTGACATGCTTACCTCGAGTTCTGAGGAGAGCTTTTTTACTCTAAAATACAACTTTTTTCTGAAATTATCCTTGGTGTTTCTGGTATACAATCTAAAAGGACACAATGGTAATTAAATTCAATCTCAAAAGAGAGGATTCCAAGACTAATAACCCATATATGGGAATTTACTCCACCAGCCACAGTGACTAAGGCCAGTCAAAATCTCACCCAGAAGGGAACCTCCACAAGTCCACACCTTTATTAGAAGACTGATATGCTATGTGGATAATCAGCTGGTAAGTTGCATCAGGGCACTTGTGCAGTCATTGATCAGCTTCTTGAAAGTATGGCAGACATCACAGCAATGCTAAGAAACAAATATGCACTGTCCGCCAGATCATTCCATCATCAGGAGAGACATAGCCACAAGGGTACCATGCACTTGCCAAAAGCACTTGCAGAGAGGTCCCATAAAACATTTTAATTATTTTAAGCAGAAAAACACAAGCAAGCAGTATTGTGTAACCTTCTTACACCTTTGAGAAGCACACCCTTACTTTCATTGCTGATGTTGCAATAGTGTAGACAGAGGCCTATTATCCAGCTACTGAGAGACCAAGCCATCTCATCCTCACCAAAGAGGACCAGGATACAGACTCAGCATCAAGCAGGAAGATGGGCAACACCTGTGTACACATTTTTTAGGTAGCTGTCAAATTTATAAATGCTTTAGACATTCCTTACCAACCAAGAAACCACAAACAGATGTATTCAGCTATCCTGACTGGAGACATTGGTAAAATTAGACTTTTTTACTCTGCTGGGGATCAACAGAAAACCTGGACAAGGGAGTAGGGCAATGTTCCTAGACTGAACATTTTGTTTCCATTTGGATGTGTTTAATTCTTATTGTTTTCTCCCTTTACTTGTGCTACTATTTATGTCCTCTGGCAATATCCTCTTTGAGGGTAGAGACCTACACGTGGAATTCATATCACCCAACTCAGCCCATCGATCATATCTTGATATTATACATTTGAAATCAGTTTTAGCATTATATAGTAAGCAGATTGGTATAAATCTAGTCTTAACGATTGTTTTTAATTTCACTGATGTACTACAAATATCTGAATAATGCTAAACATACAAAGCTATACTATCTTCTCATATGATTGCACTACTTGCCTACATACTACAATAAAGACAAATGAAATTGGAAAAAAAACACACCAAAAGCCCTCTGCACATCAGCTGGGCTTTTCATATTGATAAAAATATTTAAAATTTTAGAATGTGCTGAAATTAATATCCTGAAGTATTTTCCTGAAGATACAGTTAAGTACCGCTTTGTGACTACAACATTTAAAGGGAAGTAGGCTTAGTACTAAATTATAATACATGTATTGGGAGTTCTGACTCAGTGCTATCATAAATGACATGGAACACTAACTAGTTCAAAGTTCTACCTGGGATACACATGGACTATATAGAGAGAGTTATTCAGAACAATTTTCTCACAGTTAAAGTAAAGCCTTTAAAAATCTATGTTCAATTTTAAGCTTTATAAGGTTTAATTCAAAACTGTTAACTCTATTTTGTTTTATTAAGATTCCAATATTCTAAAGCAATTCATTTTACAAGGAGCACCTGTCTATTATATTCAAACACAGTTAAGATTTTATTTGAATCTTATTGCTAACTACATTGTTTCAAACCAACAACTTAGAGGGGCACAAGAAAAATTTGACTCAACTCTTAATGCATACAGCAACACAATAGAACGTGCTTGAAATGTTTAAGTAGTCAAATCTGCATTTATCTGGTGTGCCTTAAGGTTGCCTAACTGCGACCTTTTACGTGGCACACGCATTTATCTGTTGTAATCTTTTCCTTATCAAATTTTTGGGGCATAAAGGAGCTCATTATTCCAATGCAAAGGCTTTTTCAAAAAAATCTTGTCACTGCGTGATGGTACATTACCATTTTTTAAATAATTAAACAGGGAGATGTCTCAATCTCTCATCATGACAGGTGCCTGAACCCCCAGTGGGGCACCACATAGTGAATAGTTGATAAGCCTGTCCCTAGGCTATCGGAAAATCGTGAAAAAAAGATTATGTATACACAGGAAAACTGTGAGGTAATATTGAGAAACACTTTATCATTTTGTCAATTTGATAAGAACACAACTGACTCAGTAATTGTGATACAAGTCAAATATGATCAATCAAAGACCAGTAGGCAACTGCATATGGACTGTGTCCACTAAACAGACTACATTTTAGGGCAGAACTTATATTTTTATATAGCACTACACTGCTCCGGAGAGATTAAAAAAAATATATATATATATATATATATTTCCTACTGTTAGATTGCATATTAGATTTTGCCAGCACACAATCAAGAATCGTGGTAAATATTAAACTTCATTGAGTGCTTAAGGAGTATTTAATAAGGACCATGTACTCTCTCGGACCCAAAGCTGCTTAATATGGGAAACTACCGGTATATGTGTAAGCACAACATTTTAGAAAATGTCACAAATCATTCTGTGTTATTATAAATAAAACAACTGGTTTGCACATATACGACAAATGGGTAAAATCAATATCAGGAAAAAAAGAAAAGAATGAATAAATACTTAGTAACGTACCTAAAAATGACTGCATACTCCATGACTGCAGAAACCAATACAAATCTTGCATTCTATATTCTGTCCCAAAGTTAATATAATGAATTATTCACGAGGGATTGCGGAAAGAACGTTTCCTGGGGCCTAACTAACATTAAACATAACCCTGGTCAACGTATTATACAGAGAAAGGAAAGTCAAATCACCGACAGCAAAATAATTATGGTTAGCGCTGATTGTAAAGCACAATCACAACGGTTATGGAACAGAAAGTGGCAGGCTACGCAAGCTTGAAAATAAACAGATTACTTTCACTTCTTCCATCCTGTGACTGGAGGCTATTTAATCAGTTACTTTAATAAATATCATCCCTTGCAATTGTTGCTAATTTCAGTGGCTTGGCAAGGGCCTAGACTAGAGTATTCAGCCACCCAGGAATCATTTTGACTGTTAGGGGACTGGGGTTTGTGCATGTGCTAGATGGTGTGGCTTCGTAAGAAGGGTCTTGGTAATGCACAGCATGTCACAATGGCTAGGAACTCGCTGTTCTGGTAGCCACGAAGTGTTGATAAACAATGAAATTGAGTTATCTGTGCGTGATGCTCTCAGGAATCTGGCAGAAACCACCCAACACACTCCGAATAGGTCAATTCCCTACTTAGAAAAATTGCAAAGCAGAGTACAAAAGAGAGCTTATTGGTTTACTGGTCCTTACAATGGTTGGACATAACACAAAGTTCTCCAGGAGGACAAGAATTGTAGCTTGAAACAAGCTGAAGTCAGAATCACCAGAAAGACCATTGTCGAGTGTACAATCTGGGTGAGGATAACAGAGGACAAGACAAATTAGAAAATATTGTCAAATGCCAACAAAGGAACACTGAATACAATAAAAAAAAATATACTATCCAGTATCAGCACTACAAATGGCAATCATACCAGGGCATCATTAATCTGAGTCAGGACGGTGGAGCCAGAACACACTAGTGCATTCACACAAAATGATGTCTGAGGATGTGAGGGGGGAAAATGAAGAGATGTCAATAAATGACAAAGAGTTGCAGTGGCTTGCCTCACTTTAGCTTGACAGAGGTAATATTTATTGCTGCATGACCGAGTTATCATGCCAGATGCTCACTATTCTTCCACATACTTAAAATCTATGGTCCTAAGGGCATGCTTGTAAGGAGCACCTGATCATTGCATATGAAAAATCAGAAATGCCATTAGGAGAAGGTATAAGAAACACTCCAAGCACCATAACCACTACTTATGTCTTTTTGGTGCAATTGTAAGTAGTCCAACCCTGTTAGAATGGCTGGACCTCTTACCTGGGTTGTGCAGGACTCCACTTCCACCTCCGCTACTTCTGAAAAAAGAACCAGAAGCTCTGTGTCTCAGATAAGCCCATCAGTGCAGGCTGAGAGCAATGCGGGGTCACCAGCACACTCTTGGCACCATAACCACTACAGCACCATTGTAGTGTTCCTTTAAGCTCCCAGGCCAGAATTAATAAATAATGACATTGCTTTCAGCACTGAACAATGAGGATCTGCTGAGTTAAAACTGTACCAGTGCAGGCATAGGATCAGTCACAGCTAAAAACAAGACTAAGGCCCGTTGGTGTGATTTATTGCCCAATGTACATGTTTAATGCAATCCTTTAAAGTTCAATAGGGCCACACATCATTGCAAAGAAACGTAACACCTAAATCTGGCACTTAAACTGTTTATCTCCCATAAATCCAGATTTGGAGGCTATAAAACAGTGTGAAACTAAAATATTCCTTGCACGGGGTGTTGGTTTTGTGTTCCAAGCACTGAATTATTTGCAGTTTCTTCTGGGAAAGGCGTTTGTACTATCTGGAATCTATAGCATTATAGAGAGGGGTGTCTGCCATCAATGTTTTATTCATTAGGACCTGTTACACAGTGAAATTGGATGCATGTTTTTCGTAACCCTCTGTGGGAGGTAATCCATCCTTACACAGTATGTTCTTATATACTATAGAATTCAACAGTCCCAGCATGGCTCTCACCGTGTAAGAAAGGGTTAATACATAGCACTCCAAATAATTCTGCATCAACGATTCCTACGAATAAAACAGTGCAGCAAAATTGACACCCTCTGATTCTTAACAGTTCACTCTGCATACTTTTTAATGTGCACAGGTCTAGGTGAACATCATTGACCCTTCTTTAACTACTGGATACTATGAATAAATGCAATTCTACAACTCAATTATCTCTGTGCACTCAAGAGAACGGCATATGTAGATCAGCCAAAAAAATGTTTAATTCCGTTGCTTTAGGGCAGTGATATATAACACTGGCAATACAGATGTTTTCCAATGCCGCTTAGCCAGACTCCCCAGCTAGAAGGCACGTATGGGTCTATTCAGTAAAAATTTGAATCACAGCATATTAAAATCCAAATGGCAACATTTAGGATAAATATGTCATTTGTAAAAACATTCTCTCACATATTGGCCATTTTAGCGTTAGTTTTGCCAGTCACATCTTATTTGATTACAATTCTCAGTTTATTGGGTAGCCCTGTAAGAGCTATGAAAAATGGTTGTTCTTAGAGTGTGGAAGGCAGCAGTCCAAACTGGAGGATGTATGCAGTCTTCAATCAGAGCCACCAGGGGGCGTAATATGAAAGAAGAAACTCTCAGTCGGGATATATAGTAGATAATCGGGAGCTCTATTGAATGAAGCTATGGTGATTGGTGATTGAGGAATGAGCCTGTTTAGTCCTTCCTCGGTTACTGGCACTGCAATGCACGTTAAAACCTGCTATTCTAGAAAGTCACATGACTCCTTGCTTTCTGTTTCTTTACAAGAACGTTGTGGAACGCAGGGCTTTTTGTCGCCAAGTGGTTACTAAGGAGTGTAGATTCACATACTCACTCAGACACTGCAGAGAGGGAATTCACCACATAGGAAACAGGGATTGCTGTGAGAGAGAGTAGCAGGGGCCCCAGTGGCTCCTGGAGGCGCATGTCTGCAGAGGCTCCTGTTTCTCCTGGCCTGGGATGGGGAGCTGAACTTCTCTCAGTGTGGAGAGTCCCAGAACAGGAAATTCTCGTTCAGTAGTAGAATGAAGCTTGTAGGTAGAGGAGGGGGGACTCCAGTACAAGTATCTCTATACAAAGGTCATTTGCTTCATTTCAGGGTTGACTGATATTGCAACATACCTTGCATGCTGATAACAGGACAGCTAAATCCCTGCATGTACACAGAGGCCTGCAATAAACTCAGTTCTGTTATTTTTCCAGCTCAACTCTTTTAGGCTTCTATTTGCAGTTCCCTTGTCCATTCCTCTCAAGTCACAATTTAGTGATGTCATAGAACAAGTTTTGTACATAGTGTGGCTTATTCACTAAACTACAAATTGTGGTGAAATCAAATCCAAATTGCAAAATGTATGGGTTTACTACCATGACCACTTCTGCTTTTTGAAGTGGTCATGGTGTTAGGAGTCTGGATGTGCATTGTTTCCAGTCTGAAATTCTGAACATGAAGAGTTAATTTTAATTGTGTGCAAAGGGATAGTTGCATCCTCAGCACACATGACGTAGGCAGCCCAGAACTCTTGTTTCGGTGTTCACGGGCTACCTGTTGTCAATTTTGTGCATAAAAAAATGTCTGCCGTCAGTGCGCATTGCAAACTGCTGACAGTTGTAAAAATATTTCCCCTTGCCGGCAGAGTGTCTGAAAGGGGAAGATTCCCCCTCCCTCCATATCCCATGCGATATTTATTGTTTCCCCCAGCCGCCTTAACTTTGCTATTCAGATTACAATTCGCAATAATTACGTTTTGTGAATAAACTCTGCAGAGTTTTTCTGTAAAGTGTGACCTGTCTGGAATCCATAGTTAAGGGAATATTCCAAGCTTGAAGCAACATAACCATTTTTTTAACTGTTTGACCTGTGGTCTTCTGGGCAATGCCTAATGCCTCCACTACTAACACTTGAGAGACTAAAGTTCCTGCTAAGTGCAGGGCTTACCTCTTTGGCTGAGAGTGTCGGCTGATCGTTCTCAAAACAGTTTGACTATTTACAGAGCGGAGATGCAAGGACAAATCTTATTCTAAGGATTCCAACTGTTTATGAACCTTTGGCCTCTATCTGGAATCTTCTAAGAGCTGGAACTTCTCAAGCAGTGCAGGACTTAGCTCATTGGATCAGATGACAATCAGCTGCCCTGTGGGGTCTAGCTCAGGAGAGCTAATGGACATTTGTGCTTAGAAACTTCCAGCTCTCCAGCATTGGTAGTGGAGACAAGCTGTTTAAAATGGTTTGAATCCTTACAAAGAGGCGTACCTAAGCACTCCTGGCACCATAACCACTACAGCTTGCTGTATTTGTGTCTGGGGTATTCTTTTAAAGGGAATCTGGGTACCATAACAACTTCATTGCTATCTTTCCTACTTCAATTCAACCTATAGGAGAGCAAATGCCTACAAGGGGAAGTAGGGAGGAGATTCAGGCTCTGTGTGAGAGCAGCACAGGACGAGGAGAGAAACAACCAGAATGATTTATTGCAGCAGTTTTTGGAAGCTGAAGTTCCTATTTAGTGCAGGGCTCATCTCGTTGGTTGACACTGTAACCTGATCGCTCTGAAAACCATTCTTCAAAAATGTTTTGACTACTTACAATGGCGGAACCCAGGGCACTCCTGGCACCATAATCACTACAAAGAGTTGTAGCTGTTATGGTGCTTGAAGAGTTCTTTTAACCCTGTAAGGATGGAGTCAATTGTACAAGTTCAAAATAAAAAAAAAAACGAATTTTAGTTATATGTTTGTTCAACTATAACTTACCTCTTTCATATTAAAGGGAAACTCTAGTGCCAGGAAAACAATCCGTTTTCCTGGCACTGCAGGTCCCCTCTCCCTCCCACCCCCAATCCCCAGTTTCTGAAGGGGTGAAAACCCCTTCAGTAACTTACCTGAGGCAGCGACGATGTCCCACGTCGCTGCTTCCTCCTCCGCTGCCACTCCTCCTCTGCATTGCGTCGGCCGGTGGGCGAGACTGATCCATTTCAATGCTTTCCAGGGAAATGAGCGACGCTGGAGGTCCTCACACAGCGTGAGGACGTATAGATAATCTGTGCTATGATCCAGGAAGTGCCCTCTAGTAGACAGCCACTAAAGGGGGAGTTAACCCTGCAATGTAATTATTGCAGTTTATAAAAAAACTGCAATAATTACACTTGCAGGGTTAAGAGTAGTGGGAGTTGGCACCCAGACCACTCCAATGAGCAGAAGTGGTCTGGGTGCCTGGAGTGTCCCTTTAGGTGCACCCACACTTATTATATATCATTTCAAGAGAAATAGGGCTTTCAATTCACATCAAATATTTATATATCAATTGGAACACAATTTATGAATGAAATCTAGAAAGTTTTTGAGAAATTAAGAAATTTTATTTTCCAAGTTCTGCATTGTATTTTAACTGTGAATGATATAATACTGTTAGCCTTTACTTTGTCTGTCTTATAACTTAGAGCACCCCAGGCTGTTTCTTAAAGGACTCATAATAGCATCTACATCAAGTAGCTAAGTCACCAAAGGCTGCTAAACAACAAATTATTTCACAAAATCAATGAATTCAGTATAACCTTTCCAAGAGTACAACAATGTCCTCCACGTGCAGGTTTAATTGGTGTTTTGGAAAGTTACAGGGTAAAATAAAGGGATTGAGCATTTCAGTTTTTGCATATTGAAATTTGACAATGATTTGCTGGGACTTTGTTGCCTTTTAGATTGTATAGCAGCCCAGGAATGAAACTTACCCCCATTATAACATACCATTTGCAAAAGTAGACAATCCAGGGTATTCAAAATGGGGTATGTCGAGTCTTTTTTTAGTAGCCACTTAGTGACAAACATTTAAAAACTGCACTTTCACAGATTATATCATACATTTTACTGCTGTAAAACACTAATATTTGTGTTCAGTAAAGTTTCAAAAGTACAACAGTACCCCCATGTGCAGATGTTGTGGGATTTTTGCAGAGAATGTCTCAGCCAATGTTACAAGTCATTGGCTGAAACATTGTAACAGCGATGCAGATGTTAGGCTACAGGGGTCTGCCTGGGTTGGCAGGAAGATGCTCAGGAGGCAATCAGCAGCATGGGTAGGGAGGCGGGCCGAGGGAGGGCTAAAGAGACAGGGTGCGCTACGTCACCCTAACGGTGTTTACCGCTGTAGGGTGTCATAACTTGCAGTAACTGCGTTCACGGGTTAAAGTGAACCTGTAAAGTACAAATTAATTTTGGACAAATCAGCCCCAAATAAATTAAATACATCATATATTTTAGATATACATGTTATATTCAATGTAAAATACTGAGATTTACTCACCAAACCATGTTCCAATGCGAACGTTTCCTCAGCTTCATGGGTTTTACTTTTCATGCAACACCCACTCCAGTCCGTCTTTGGCTCTTACTGCAGTGTTCTTTGATCTGCACTGCTTGGGAACACTTCCCCAAGTAGGGAAACCTCCTCAGTGTTGCCAACACTCTGGCATCATTGAATGCCGGCATCTGAACGGAGTGACTCGCTTCATTCCTATACTGCCTAGCCTGCTCTAGCAGCACCAGCTAGGGGTTTCGACAGCAACGCAGTGGTTGCGACACTTGGGATAGCAGGGGGGTTTTCTGCTCTCCCTTGTTAAAACTGCTAGCACACTGTATACACAGAATGTTATGCTCTTCCAAAAGTGAAAATACAAGCACATGTATATTTTAAGGCAGCAGTCCCCAAACTAGGGTGCCAGGGACATTCACACGGGCGCCGTAGAATGTTTCCCTGGTGCTATGGTTTTTACATCAGAAAACATAACTGCAGAACAGGGGCCCAGTCTGGTGCAGCGGTCCTTTAAGACCACGACCGGGCCCCTGTAGTGTCTGCTGGCAGGAAGAAAGTGACAACCCGTCACTTCCTCCCAGCATCGTGCAGTAGACAGCAAGGGAGGGAGAGAAGGCAGCTGCAGCATGAGGGGAGAGGAACACTCCAGGAGCTGCTCCAGACCCCTCACTCCTGCAATCTAACACAAATATTACATACAAACAAATGTACATCTGCATTTAAAAGTCTAAATTACATTCAAACACACTCCTGCAATCAAACACTCCACTGTATTAAAATAATAAAACTGTATACAAGCACCCCTTCAAACATTGACACTATACATTACACTATAGCGCCAGTAAATGCCACAGCGCTGTACAGATATACAACCTAGAAGTTTTGACTTAGGGTGCTTTGGAAATATATTGAAATATTAAGGGTGCCTTGAACCTAAAAGGTTTGGGAACCACTGCTTTAAGGTATGCTCTTTAATTGTACATTACAGTGCATATTAGACTGATGGTGTAAAACCTTGTAACCTTAAAGCTTAACTTTGGCTCATTAACTGAGTATTTATCAACTACAAAATGTAGTAAGGAAAGGGGGAGGTTAAGAAGGCAAATATCAGCACTCCCACCACTTATCACTAAAGACTTAGTGTGTTTAATGACAGTTGCAGTTTCATTGATACGCTTTCGTGAAGAAATTATATTTTATATTTATATATATTTTTATATATATATATATATATATATATATATATATATAAACACAAGAGAATAGTTTCCTTAGATTGCTTGATGGGGTAGCAGATTGCCAGAACGCCTGTATATTTGATGAGTTGTAGTTGGACTCTGCCCCTTCCATATCTAATATGCTGCAGACATACAAAGTGATTTTGCTCTGACCCAGATCCTTTCTGGGATATTGTGTTTCTCTTAGTATAGTTTTCATCCAAATTCATTCATGCCTCTATTAACACCTTCACACACTGACACCCACTGCAATCAGAGACCAAGCATACAAATGAATCACTGTGTGTACTAATCTTTATTTTTAGCTTAAATACAGCATCAGTCCGTTTTAAGCATTTATTACCATGTTGATGACATCACCCACAGTTAGTGCCTAATCTTAGGAGCAAAGTTTCATAAGTCAACAATGAAGGAGTGGAGAAGTGACAATGTACTGTACCAGTTAATCTTATTAATCTGCATTAATGGCAAATTGAATTTCTATGAAAATATACCTATGCTGCTGTATTCTTGAATATGGAGGGGTGAGAAATATTTGCTAACCATCTGTATGTTACTTTGAAATAAAATGTGATCGGAGTTGTTTTATGTCTTTATTGAGCATATTGTATTAAATAAACACTCCAGGCACCATATCCACTAGAGCTTGCTTGTGTGATCAAAGTTGCTGCCTGTATACTATTGTTGGATATCTGTGTTATATTGCATGTGCCCCACATTTCTGTTCTCTTACACATGACATATTACCCAATAGAGAATACAAATAATACTGACTAGGACTCCACAATCCAAAAGCCATCTTAGAGGTTATCACAATAAACCCAAGCCCTGAGGCCATGTAAGTGTCACATTAAGGGTTCTTACTTCAAGTATTAGTACTGTCCAAAGACTTGCTTGTCTTTGGAAAGCCAGTGTTTAATGCTCTTTCCTGCTGTTAAAGTTATACTAACAGCACCAAAACAACTTTAGCTTAATTAAGTAGTTTTGGTACTTTGTACCCCCGACCCACTGCCTACCCCCCCTCCCTGATCCTGGTCATGGAGACCTATTTGTATTCTCACACCTCCTTGGCAAATGTAAGATGAGTACTGTATGCAATATTGTACCCTATCCCCCTCCCTCTTCCTTTTTGTACCCCACCCCATCCTCAACACCAAACGATTGCAAAAGTTGATCTAACCATAGAATCTAGTTGTATACAAACAACATACGCTGTAACCAAAGATGTAATATCTGCATTCCTGCTCAAATTGTTTGACTGTCGCTTTGAGTACATGCCTGTTATACAAAGATTGTAACACAAACTTTAACCCCACTTTTTTTTTCTGTACCCCTTCCCCCAAAAAACAAAATCTTTACAAATAAAGAATTTTCAAAAAATAAAAATTAAGTAGTTTTGGTGTATATAGTCATGTCCCTGCCATCTCACTGTCATTTAGGAGTTAAATCACTTTTGTCTGTTTTAAGAGCACTAGCCATACCTCCAGTGTCTGTGACACACAAAGCCAACATAAATTTTTTTTTAGTTTTTTGAACAGATCTTACAGCACAGTTTGTTTACTTTAGACGTTCCCTCCTGTTCTGTTAACTAAATGTTAATCACGCAGAGGAGGCTATTGTAAGATGTAACAGGCTATTAGAGCAGAAGATACATACTAAAAAAAAATATTTAGACTTTTATTTAGGAAGACAGCAATGAGACTGTGTGAGTCTCAGCCAGGGGAGGTGTATAAAAAAGTGATTTAAGACATTGATTAAAAGTTTAGGACAAACTATCTACATTCCAACTAAAATGCACTGGCCAAACTCTTGTCAGGAAATTAAGTCTGCTTGGAATAAGTGCATAAAAATAACGTTAAGTAAATCAGGCAATCTCAGTGTAAGCAGATAATGCTCAATCCCTCTCAGTTATAATATATTATACAGGTGTTTTTAATAAACAAAACATTTCAAAAAAATGGCAACAATGATTTTCTTTTAGACAAAAATTTTAATAACACCTGCAGAAAAAGAAATTTCAACTAAAATAAAAACAAAATAAACAAATTGTCACATTGGGTTCAGCTAAAAGGCTTATATTTATTAGACCTACTATATCCTTTGCAAATTAACAATGAGTAGGTACACTGGGATGCAGGTGACAGCTGTAGGTGAAGCTTCTGAAAGATCTAGCATCTTCATACGCAAAGGGACATAAACAGGAATTACGGGTATGGGACAATCTTCTGAGATTAATGATGTATGGGAGGTTGATCACATTAGTTCTTCAATAATATGGACGCCGTGGGTTATTCTGTAAGTAAAAGAACAAATGTGAAATTCAATTCACAATACACAAAAATATGAATTATCCTCACAAGAAAAATGTTCCACTCAATGCAAAGACTACAACTATATTACTCATGTATCAATTCTGAGTTTGATGTATTTTTTTTTTTTACCATTTGTTAATGTATTATGATATTGCAAAATAAACACAAGAGGACTAAACCTAATTGTGTACATAGTTTTCACTTGTTGCTTATTACAAGTTTATTAAGTTTAATGATATTTGAGATTTGTTTTTTTAATTTAATAGATTTTCTTGAGAAAAATTCCCTTTAAAAAAAAAATCTGACTAAGAAGCCATGTTGTGTTAGAGTCTACTGCTATCTGACCAACTGATGCTTAACCTAACCTTTCTTTGTGTGAACCAGAAGGAAAATTAGGTTGAGAAGCAGTTGGTTTTGATAACAATAGAACCCAACATGGCTGTTCAGTCAGATTTACGTCAGATTTACAAAAAAAAAAAGTGAAATTTTCTTAAGAAAATAAATGTACGTCATTACATTTCATTAAAATGTAATAAATTAAAAAAACAAAAAAAAAACAAAACAAGAACTAAAAAACAAACAAAAAAAAACTGATGACAGTTGTCCTTTAAGATTATTTTTCCTTTCAATTTTTCCTATGCTTTTTGTTGTAGGAGTATTTATTGCGTCAAAATCATGGCATCAACTCTCAACTGGAACCTTTGACAATTTGTCACTAATATTTTTACTGATGGAACAAATTTCAACAAATGTCAGTCCTCCCAAGTCTGCCACTCCACTACACCAGTACTGCACCTTGATATTGTCCTCTAATAAAATAAGGTTTTAAAATGAATGCCATTTTGCTTCTCATAATTACATTTTTAATATCAGTTTTGCATGTACACTATGTTATTTGTATTTTTTTTTTGTCTTAAATAAATAATGAAAAAGAAATGTACCTCAAAAAATACAAAAAAAAAAATCATGTATTCTGGTTGTCTCCAGTTGCAAAAAACTTGGTAGTGAAGGGATTAAAGAGTTTACTCTTTCAGTTCTTATTCAAAATGTTGCTCAACAATTGATTTTGGAGAAAACATTCTTTGTCCTTATGGTTCATCAAGATGGAAGAGTTCCGCTTAATAGAGGAACAGATATTTAGCTCCTCTGATAGAATGCCACAATATACAGCAATTAGGGCCAATGGCTTCTTATCACTTCTGACACACAGTTTTACTTTTCCCTACAATAAGCTCCCCCAACCATTGACCGATCACAAAGTCTGCCATTTTGTTGTAGAATGACAAGCTCCCCCCTCTTCGTACAGTATTCCCTGGACAGTTAACGTTGGACCGAGACCTGCGCGTCTCACGCTTTTAGATTGTCTATGCCATGATTCCGAGTTCTCTGAACTTTAATAAAATTGTTTCTTTTATTTTCAAAAACAGAATAAAGAGCATGTTGTTAAAAAAAGAAAAGAGAAAAAAAAGTTTAAGATGCCAGATACAGGTTCATACCAGTGGGTTAGGCCTGAACCGATATGCCAACATCATCCTTTTTCGGAATGCCTCATACTCGTCGTCATTTTTTGCTAATTCTGCTGGGCGGTCAATGCCAAATCCTGCTCCATCGACAGCTGTAGAGCCCCTGTTAATAGAAGGGAGCAATACCATGTTTAGATACAAAGGGGTAGTTCCAATTTCCATTTAAACATCACGTCCCTAGAAATGACCACACCTTGTTCAGAATGATCTTCTGATTACATATTACCATGTATATGATATTTGAAAATTACAAAACTTAGTTATTCTGTAAATGCCATAACAATTACTATGTCCTGGTGTGGTTAAGGTGCAAGTATTTCCCTGGTGTGGCCTGGTGATAAACAGTTAAAATGTTTAAGAACAGTTTGGCATTTACCTGCCTCTGTCTGGTATGGTAAAGTGGAAGTTCATACCAAGCATACACTATTCAAAGACTGAGAGCACCAGTCATATGTAAACATCTAGTTTAGTCTGATGAGTTGTTGCCCATTATAATCGGTAATTATAATAATAAAAACAAAGTATTTAAGCAGGAAAGGTACACTGGTTTCCAAGTACGTCCTGGGGATGTTACTTTTGCCCAACATCCAGGGGATGTTACCATGACCCAATTTAATGGTACTCATTTTATCTAACTCAGAAGGATGAAGGGATGAGAAAACCCTGCCGGGATTTGAACGTGCAACCCCAAAGGGTTGAACAGATTCTATTGAGCTATCTCACCGGCCTAATTTCTGAGTTAGTGTCAATAATGATAAGGGGATGTTGATGAAACTTCTCAGTAATTGTACTGTAACAAACCACAGCTTGACTTATGTGCCCCCTAGTGTTTCTATGTGGCATTAATATGTAATTATCTGAGGATTAAATGAGTACCAAAAAAAAAAAAGTACAAAAATTGTCTTACTTGTTTACAGGGTTCTTGATTCCTTGACCGTCAGACCCCAACCCTTCGCCCTCCTTCCATCCCATCTTCATGAGCATCTGGTATCCAATATTCTCTACAGTTATCTTGAATTCCTTGTACTCTGAATAGTCTGGCTCACGTCCTTCCTGTTGGTAAAAGAATACAAACCGTGTCATAGGAATATCACTTCTAACTTGTGTTGGTTCGTGCGCCCATACAATGCATATGCAGAGGATAAAAAGACATTGGGGGTGGGGGTTGGCTAGGTAGAGACTAATAGAATATTTAACGTGTGAAATTATACAACACAATAGAAACATTTGGCCAACTAATTTAAATGCAAATATACAAAAAAAAAAAAAGAGGAAATATTACAAAACCGAGTGTCTCATTGAATGCATGCTAATGGTGCTTTACCCAGCAAATTATCTTAAAATAGCCTGACATTACATTTAGACCATGGACAATGCATACACGCACTTAAACGAAAAAAACAACATAACATTTAGGTTGTTTCAATGTGAAACATACAAGCTCTCCTACAGACCTTTTTTTTTGCAAACTACAATCGATTTCCTAGCAAATCTTTTGTACCAGACTACCTCCTTACTAACAGCTACTATAGTCTGCAACTGTCACTATCCTAATTACCTCTGTTAAAATGTACAAGAGTTTGCATCTCTAAAGATTTGAGGATTTGCACAACTCAAATTCCAGCTAGATGGGCAAAGGTTTAAAAATAACATCAGGACGTATTAACTCCCAGTTTAGTTGTTGGGGTATTGTGGGCTTGTCTAATATCTTTATGCACTGCAAAAAAAAAAAAAAAAAACACTGAACTTAATGGGACACTAGTTTCAAAAATAAAAAATTAAATTGTTGTGATAATTAAATGTGTTCCTTAACCTTTTTATATTTACCTTTTATATTTTTAGCAAATTTTTTTTTTTAAGTAATTACCGAGAAAGTAGTGGATGAATGGAATAGCCTTCCAGCAGAGGTGGTAGAGGTTAACACAGTAGAGGAGTTTAAGCATGCATAGCATAGGCATAAGGCTATCCTAGATATAAGATAAAGCCAGTGACTAATGAAAGTATTTTTAAAATTGGGCAGACTAGATGGTTCTTAATTGCTGTCACATTCTATGTTTCTATATTTTATCTTTGCCTTGTAAGTATGCAATACTTTCTAGAGGTGTGCGTCGAGGGTAATACGTACCACACTGCTTAGTAACAAACAAGCATAACTGATTTATTAATGGCTATAACATACCCAACTCAGACCTTAACTTAATATTTTTGGATAAGTTTTAAAAATGACAATATTGTTGGATACATTGTTTGAAATTATTTTTTTTCATAATATTCAAATATCAAACAATATATCGTATATAAACACATTCATAAAAAAAAATGTAAAAAATAAATCATTTGAAATGCTTATCCATAAATATTCAATAAATGTCTTGATCCTAGAGGGTAAATCAGGAGACGTATCAAAGCCCAGAAAACTTTTAATTAACAGACTTTTATTCATGGTTTTATTTATTAAAACAGTAAGTAAAGTAAAGTAAAAAAAAAAAAAAGAAGAACCTTGCTAAATTTTGACTAATATAGCCTATTACATTTGCAGAATTATTATTATTATTGTTTTTTTTAAATAAATTCTGTCAACTTAAAGGAACACTATAATGTCAGGAACACAAACGTGTATTCCTGTCACAATATTGTTTAACGCTAGGTTTTTGGCCCCAGTTCGATTGCAAGGGAAAGGTGTTTAAACGTACCTTTTTTCTATACCATGCTAATCTCGCCACAGCTTGCTCCACATCCATGGCTGAGATCATCAAACTTGATGATCACAGTCAATCCAATTCTTTCCCGTAGAATGGGAGGCTATTGTGCATGTGCGGGAAAACGCTTCACTGGGTCAAACAGCATCTTCTAATAATTAAATAGCATTTCTATGGAGAATGTTCAGCACAGAGATAGGAAGCACCTCTAGTGGCAGTCTGAGTGACTAGAGGTGTTACAGTGCTCAGCCTGCAGGGACAGGCTATACACACCATAACCACTACATTAAGCTGTAATGATTCTGGTGACTATAGTGCCCTATTAATACTCAAACGATCTATAGCGATGTGAGATTCTGACCATGTAAAAGAATAGAAGAACGTAAAGTTTCATGCTTGATATAACAGTGCACCTAGAGTACGGTGTGTAACATCATCTACATCAATAATCATGTAACATCCCCTACCTTGAGAGCTTTGAAGGTTTCCATGAACTTGTCAAGCTCATCCGGTGGTAGAAAATCTCCGATGAAATGCTTCCCACGGCCCATTTCTGTTAGCTGCTCTGCCCATTCTGCCAGCGTAAAAGAGATCACATTGTAACCGTCCATTCACTTATTATACAGCCTTTTACATTTACTTTTTCAAAAATTGACAACCATGATATTAAAACACTGAAATTATCATGGCTTATCCACTTACTTTCCTGATATTAATCACTATGCCTAACTTGCCTTCTGTTTACCCGCTTAGTTTCAGCCAATGTTTTATACTGTGTGTCTTGCCTCAATCTATTTCACCATAAAATGAGTGCTGTTGTTTTGAAATGCCACACATCTATCCTGATATGAATAAAAATAAAAATAAAACACTGAACTTAAAGGGACACTAGTTTCAAAAATAAAAAAATAAATCGTTATGTGTTAAATGTGCTCCTTAACCTTTTTATATAACTACCCCATCCCTTTTTAGCAATTTTTTTTTTGCAAAGCCATGAAACTTTATTCCAGAACGTTTCCTCATTGTAGCTCAATCCTAACCTAGAGATGTCATCATTATAATGGCATTTGTCCTGTTAGATGCTTTTTACAGAGAAGTACTAAGGACACATGCATAGAATTTGCTGCAATCTGCCAAATCAGTGCGTCTCACATAAAAACACTGGATGCACACCGAGTATCCATCATCATTTGCATGCTGACGCCGGCCATCAAATAGATTAAATTATTGAACCTCCTTTGGACTTGAGCTCCAATAGGCTGTCTATCAGCTACTAGTGGGTGTGGGCACTGCAAAAGGCAAACTGCTGTAATTCAGAAATGTCATGGATTCAATTTGCATGGCTGCAGTGGCAGCATCTATGCCCCAAAATTACTTAATTAAGATGAAGTGATCTTGATGCTTATTGTGTCACTTTATCCAACTTAAAGGGACACTCTAAGCTCCAAACAAACTTTAGCTTACTGAAGTGGTCTTGCTGTATAGATCATTCCCCTGCAGTCTCAATGCTCAATTCACCATGTAGTGATTAAATCAACTTTGTTTCTGTAATACAGCCATAGCCAACTTCCCTTGGCTGTGATTCATATGGCCAACATAAAAAATTATTTTATGCAGCGTTTATGTACTTTAGAAGTTATCTCCTGCTCTGTTAGTTGAACTTTAATAACATGCAGGAGGCTGTTGCAAGCTCTACTAGACTATTAACAGAGCAGAAGATAAGAAATTCTACATTAAACAGAATTCACAACAAGGTAAACTAAAAAAATGTAGTCTAATTTTTAATAGTGAGTTTCATCTGAGTGTTGTGACTAGGGCTGCATAAACAATGTAATTTAACTCAACTCCTAAATGGCAGAGAACTGACCGGTAAAGCAGCAGTGGCATGATCTATACACCAAAATGACTTCATTAAACTTGTTTTGGTGCTTAGAGTGCTCCTTTAACCACAAACGAAATAGTTCCTCCCCCTCCCCCTATTCTTTAGAAGTTTCAAATGACTGTTTTGAATTACACCCTGAACTGTGATTCATATTTGCTTCGTGATATTTTACTACAAATTAGTTTTTAATGTGTATAAAAATAAAACTTGTTAGTAAACTATAAAAAACATGTCCAATCTATCAAAGGCTCAAAGACTGCATTTCAGACAAATGTAACAGTTCAGTTACCTCTAGTCTTATCCATTTCCATCTTTCTAAGCTGGTGTTCCCACGTCCCAAGATCATTGTCCACCTCTTCATCACTGTCATACTCATGCTGGTGTTGTTTCAGAGCTCTCTCCCACATGAGCTGCATATCTTGCATGGCTCGCTTGTGTTTCATAATCATATCATACATTTGCTGCATCTGATCACAGAGAGAAGACAGCTGGTTAACCACAAAATATATACGCCTGCATACAGTAGGAAATGATAAAGATACACAGGATTTTAGTGTGATGAAATGGAGAAACACAGTATGTGTATGTAAGTGGAATGTATAAATGGTGTACATTTTATATAAACTCGTAAATGTTACCAATGTGTTGTGTCAAATTGACAAGTATCTTGGCATGTACACAATATTTGCAGACTAATGAGATTAGAACAGTCCATACTCAGCATTATCAAGCCAATTAATCATGGAGACATTTTATTTCAAATTAGTGTATCTTGTTAATTATTGGTGAGACATTTTTATTAACTACTTGTTGATAATTTGTTCCTTTAACAACATAGTACCATAATCATACATAAATATATTTCTTGATATTTCTGTAACGGCCTGAAAACCGCAATGACGTTACCAGTCTCACACGTTACCATATATCTCTCATCCTACCTCCTGCTGCTCCTTCAGCTGCTTTTTCTGGGCGTCGGAAAGCTCAGTGACACCCACCAGTCCAACTGGTTTCCCTTTTTCATATCCCAGGCCTTTCAGATCCTGGGCTACACATTAAGAGAGATGAGATGTCACAAACTGTCAGTTGAACACACCGTAACAAAAAGGGTTAAAACCCAAAATATATAAATCTGTGCTAAACAAATATACGTTAACTCACAAGGTACTGGATATTAGGTCCAATATTTGCATGATACCTGTAACAGTAGACCCATAAGAACGATATTCCTATTTGTTCTTTACAATGTAATCAAGCTACTGATACTGACCCATTTCAGTTCCCTAGAGACCCACATGCTCAGGTTGACTTAGCAGTAGAGCTTCAAACAGAAAGATTTATTTTGTGGCTAAATGCATTACTGACCCAGAACCAGGAAGTGATTTGGAGACAGTCGGCAACAGCAGCCAGGACAGCAGCCGGAAGATTTTTTACATTGCATGAGTATATGGAACTTTCTTGAGGCTGGTGAGCGGACTAACTACCTCCACAACAAGTTTTGCCGTTTTTAAATTGCTATTAATAAAGTATACTTATCTGAGATCCGGATTGCAAGCTTCTTTTCCACGGATCCCACGCACTCTAGGGGCTGATCCTCCTTAAGGAATTACTTATAATATTTCCACTCTGTATACACCTCATTTCATGTACACAGGGTTACTTTCACTTTCTATAAGAGGTCCATAGTGAATACGATTTTTGTTGTTGCGCACCATCACTACTGTAAGTTATTTTATGTTCAAATCGTTTTACCAGGATTTGTTTTTGTTGGTTGCTGCACGTACTAAGATCCTTCTCCCATTTGCGCCATCCTATATATAATCGTTTTTTCTTGCTACAGTGACTGCAACCAGAGCATATAACTGAAACTACAAGCCTGGCTTTCTATCAGTACATGTCCCAAGCCAGTGCAATATAAAAACAATCCCAAAGGTACATGTCTATGTCACTGCAATCCATGCTATCAAATTTAGAGAAATTTGTTGGTGGAGAAAGTTGGTAACCACCATAAACTCATAAAAGCTTTCAAAGTGTGTCATATCCTACAGAAACAGAGACACTCATAAGACTTTAAAATGCTACCTATAAACCCAGCAAGGTTATTCACCAAACACAGAATTTTTGAGAATTTAATTGGAATCCTAAAAATAGCTGATCTGAAAAAAATTCTCAAATCAAGTTTAGCTATGGCACAACTTGGCTATTTTTGCCTTTTTCCATTCTTAAATTGCTGAAAATGTAAAGCTTGGTGAATAACCCCGCGGAACTCACATGCAGGCCAGAGAGCCCTCTTAACCAGCCCAATATAACAACTACTGATACCACCAGAGAGAGGTTTAAGGACTTGAGACACTATATGGTTATTATGGTACCCCGTGCTTATGGACTATAATCAAGTATCACAATAAACACTCACGCACTGGCAAGTGTAAATTCAGCCCTGTTGAGGTGCCACAAAGACCCCACTGTAGTTGCTCAGTGCTATTTGAAAACAGAAGCTTATACACCGATATCTGCTGCCCCTAATGATTTAGGATTGGGAAGCCGTGTGCTTTCAGAATTACTGAACAGCTCTTCATCCTTTTCTCCTATATGTGTTCTAGCTGAACTGCTTGCAAATATTTATTTAGCTTTTACAGCTATATCGCCGTTTGGATGCAGGGTATCTGGGTGGTTGCCATAAACCTGTCTATTACCAGAGGTTACTGCAGGAGGTGAGTTATAGTGAATAACTTGTAGGCCTGACTAGCAGTACAGGACTTGAAATGCTGTGCCTTGTATCAACACTCTTCTTCAAATAAGCTTATGTTCACCTTACACTGAACATGTTCTTGTATCCAAAAATATGGCATTACAATGGGTTCACATGTCTTGTTAGATTTCTACATACCAAAAATGGCTGTTTAAAGCATTGCAAGGAGAAAAACATATGCTTTGCACATTAGCTAAGAAAGAAAAAAAATATATAGGAACAATGAAAACTTAGAGCATAAATTACTACTTTCAAATAAATCCATCTAAACTTCTAAAATCATGTTATTCTGTAACTGGTGAGTGTTCAGACTTGATGATTGACATAGTAGAAAAAAAAAAATAATAAGACAAAATAGATCAATCATTTAACAACAAATATTCAATATTTAGTGTTTGAAGTTATATTCTTTACAGAAAGACAGGAAGGCTCTCAAGGATTATCCAATTGCCGCCAATCCAGAGTACGCTCTACTCCCACAGCAATCCAAGAGAAATAAGGCTCAGGCATAAAACTGGAATAAAGTTTATGGTAATAGAAGATTCTCAATTTTTATGTCCACAAACTAAATCTTAAAAAATTATGTTTATAATTAATTTATTCTTTATAATGCATATTTGCACCCTTTTGAAAGTTATGAAAATAATATACTTGATTAAGGCATAATTATGCCAAACGTATGCCCCTTATTTGTGATGCACAAGGATTATACTATTCACACTCACTAGAGAAATCTTAATACGCTGCAATAAATCTGTCCCGGATTTCAGTATTCTTCCCAGTCCTTATTTCTGTTGAACTGAAGATTTTTTTTTTGATTTTTTTTTTAAGGGACACTCCAGGCACCCAGACCATTTCTGCCCATTGGAGTGGTCTGGGTGCCAACTCCCATCATCCTTAATCCTGCAAGTGTAATTATTGCAGTTTTTATAAACGACAATAATTACCTTGTAGGGTTAAGCATAGGTATTTTTGTGTTCTAATAAGCCGGAAGTGCCTCTATTGGCTGTCTATAAGCCACTAGAGGCACTTCCGGCTTATTAGAACACAAAAAGTATTTTAAACGACGCTGGACGTCCTCACGCTATGCATGAGGACCTCCAGCGTCACCGGAATCCCCATAGGAAAGCATTGAATAATGCTTTCTTATTGAGAGGTCTAATGCGCGCGCACGGTGGAGCCTGACCCAGCGCTGGATTCAGGTAAGTCACTGAAAGCGTTTTACCCCTTTAGCAACATGGGATAGGGGATGGAAAGGAGGGGGACAAGACAGGATCCTGCAGTGCCAGGAAAACGGGTTTGTTTTCCTGGCACTGGAGAGTCCCTTTAACATAATTTTATGTTCAAAATGTTAGCAAGGCAGTAGTCAAAGCATCACAAAAAACCAAAACAAACAAAATACAGTTCATATACTACAAAATAAAAACTATTTCAGTAAAAAAAAAAAAAAAAAAAAAAAAAAAAATAATAATAATAATATAGTAGTATTGGTTTTGAAACATGGCTAATTATTAAATATAGGTAACCTCTAATGGCATCACTCATGCTTAAATCTAATCATTGATCCTGCATCCATAAATATGGATCACCTAATATTTACCTGGATATCACAAACTCTAAGGAACCCTATCAATTAATCCTGGCATCCAAGTACCCCTAATCCTGGACCACTAACCCTAAAAGTGTGAAGGATGCAGCACTTCTAACCCTGCTTTCACTGTCCACCTAAATGGGGTTTAAACCCCTAACTGATGCTTCCCACAAAATTAATAAGGGACTAGATACGCGGTGAAGGGTAACAGTTTTGGCTACATAAAAACTGCCTTGATTAAGAAACAGTTCCTGTCCCAGCGATGGGTATTTGGTTTAACCCCTTAAGGACACATGACATGTGTGACATGTCATGATTCCCTTTTATTCCAGAAGTTTGGTCCTTAAGGGGTTAAGGTAGACTGTTTATACTAAATGTGACATTATTAAGCTCCTATAACTATCTCTGTGCTATTGAAAACATCACATATTTTAGACCATAATTGCTTTTATGTAGCAGCAGATGAAAGAAAAAAAAGAGTTCTAAAAATGTGTAAAATATACAGTTTTTCCCACCTGGATCTGTCTTTGTACTGCTTACCTGTTAGAAGGCTGGTATCAGGAGGCTCAATGGCCACAGATGCAGGAGGAACGTCCACTTTCTCTTCTTCTGGACCCCAGCGACTTTTCCTCCTCTTCTTCAATGCGGGCTGCTCTATGGCTGGAGGGGGCGATGAGACATAAGAAGCTGTGGAGTTGGAGGACCAGGTAACAGAGGAAGGGGGGGAAGGAGTTTCAGCAAAAATAGGCTCTGGGGTGAACCTGCGTTTCTGCTCTGGTGCTGGTTCAGGTTTGGAAGAGTTCTTCAAAGCTCTTTTATACTCTTCCAGCTTAATTTTATAATGTCTGTGACCTTTGCTGTTTGGTTCATACAAAAATCTGAAAATCACAAAGGTTTCTTAATATATAAAACACATGCAGTTTATTGCAAAAAAGTAAGCAAATATGCAAAATATACATGTTACACATAGAAAAGCAGTAATACGTCTATTACTAACCCTCTGATAACCAGGCTGCTCTGGGCTTTTAGTGCAAGACTGCACAGAGCAATTTTGTAATTTTTATAGTTCGTACTATAATTGTTTTAAAACTACAGCTTCCATAATGCTTTGTCATTCTGAAGGCACATGGGGATCTACCTTTGGGGCACCCCTGACCTAGAGGAATGATAGATATAAGTAGTGATGTAATCGTTAATTAATTAATTAATAAAAAATTTCAGATTACAAATTAAAAAGTCTTCAACTGACTTGGTCATGACTCACAAGCATACTGACAAACATTCTTTTCAATCTATTAAATAACCAATAGCATTTCCTTTAGAATATTTACATTTTCCTTTAGAAAATTTAATTTCAGCATTAAAGTTTATTCAATAACATTCATCAATGAAACATTGAAGAAATACCATTTCAAACCCCTGTGCAACTGATTGAATCTCTACACAAGCAAAGGAGGCATTAGGCATTGTTCTGTTTGTATTCCATTTGAGAATGCCTACATGGTGAAACGCATTATGGATATTACTTTTTATTTGATTAAATAAAGGATTTTGGTTTTACAATATTTTATTGTACTATCACCTTTTTATTTCAACAACATTTTTCCTGGCATTTTATTTCTTTTATCTTTTTTTTTTTAAATCAATTTTATCATCCCTACTCAAGAATATTCCAGGTGGGGATCATACCACCATTATTATTACTATCATCATAGGGCAGCAAGCCTGCTCTACACTTGTAAGTACAATTTTGATTAGTTTCATACAGCTTTTATTGTCTTACTAAGAGCACAATTTGTGGCTATTTTAATCTCCTCTTTGAGTACCTGGACAACCACCTGCTGTGAACGACCGTCACCATACCCCATAAGTGGAGATTATACCACTATATGCGACATACACTAGAGCAGGTCATAGCTCTCTTACATGTGAGTGCAACATCACTATTACCTACGTATTGTCTATTAAAGATCTTGACATATTGCACTATTAGGTTGCCTTGTCTTCTACCCACATACGGAGACTAAAGACACTGAGATCTTCCACAACCCCCAAGCATAAAGAACTTAGAAACCACAAACTGCATCTACTTCTTGATAAGAGACACTTTTTAAATGTGACAATTTGCACTGTTGGAACGAGATTTTCAGTACCGTTTAACTTTATGTGGCACAGCCCTTCTCTATCTCTATCATTGTTCTGTGATATTTAACAAGGAATATAGATGGTTATGGTGTTTTGAATGACGTTTGAAACAGTGCAAAAACTTTATTAATGAAAAACCATGCATAAATATTAGTATGAAAGGGGAAAGGTCTATATAAAGCACCCCAGACAGGTCCCGCACAATAACATTCAATGGAAATTCAAAGCAGTGTGAACAATGTGACATTGACAGCATAAACATTAATGTGAGCGAAAAAGTGCAGCGAGTTAACAGATAATTAACAGTTACCTGAATGCTGGATTTTCTCTATTGTTTTGCACTGCTATAGCTTCTACTTCTGGGCCTCCATCTGCCACATATCTGGCCAGCTTCTCAGCAAACATCTTAGTATCTTCATCAACTAAAGACAAAGGTTATGAAAGACTGTCATGCAGTGCCTGACCTCCATCTTTGAAAAGGCAGATTATCAAGTCATTGAGATATGAAAGTACAATGACAAGTAAGTCATTTATCAAGTAGGTTAAAGGGTTACTCCAAACCTTTTAAAAACAATATTTTGTTTACAATGCCCTATGGGGCGTAACTAATAGTTCCCACATCCCATAAAACCTGTAAAAAGATTTTAAACTTACCTGACATCCAGCGCCGGACAAAGCTCCTGGCACCGATCTTCACATCCAGCACGCCATCATTGCAGCACTCACGTGGTCCAATCACAGGCTTCACATAGAAGCCTGTGATTGGACCGTTTTGTGTCTCAGAGTGCAAGCGCGCACTCTGGACCAGTGCGTGGAGGAAGAAGAGAGGGAAATTCGATAAAAAAAATATATAATCTTTCCCAAATAGGTAGCAGCACTCACGTATTAAAAGTACAAAATGTATTAGTACAAAATATAAAAGACGATCAACGTTTCAGTCCTGCATAGAGGACTTTCATCAGGGTCAAATACCACATATAAATATACACATATTTTACAGAGAAAAGTGGGAGGGAGCGCACACAGGGTGGGAGGGACAGAGAAGGAGCCTGCCAGGAAGAAGATTATTATGGCGGTCGCCAGCTTGCGCTCTGATGACAGACATAAAATATGCACAGAAGTGACATTTTGCAGTCTGGAATGGACTTCTGGGCTTCTTAAGTAACATGTGCAGAGGGTGCAACTTGCCCCTGGCCCACAAGTGGCAATAACTCTGGATATGCAAGATTTTAAGCAAAAACACTGCACATCTATACTCCTACTAGCATGACCACTGTAAAATCACTGAATTGGTCAAGGTGGTTGGATAACCCTTTAAGAATCACCTAGACACCTGTAAGACACTTAATGGTAATGCTATTAATCAGATATGATAAAATAAATCAAAGGGAGCGGTGACATATCTATGCTTAAGTTGAACAAAATCACATCTTACAGGTATTTGGGTAGTTCTTAACTTTTGACTCACCCTGCATTTAACCACACAATTATACAGTATTAGGTTTATATTTACCAAGACTAAATCACAATCTTGGTTTTCTATCCTGCTGTTGACATTATCCGAAAACAAGTCCCCAAAAGTGCAGACCATCAGAAGACATGCTTGCGCTGCGCAAACTACACTAAGAGCTTTCTTTCAGTAGTACAACTATTCAACAGCGCACATGAGGGCGACATGCTCCCTTTCCCAGACAAACCTGCTCCCACTGAGTAACCACAAAAGTGATCTGTATCACAGGCATGCCTGTCACCTCTGTCCAAATTTGTCTAATGCTTTTATCTATCAGCATTGTGTGCCCAGTTAACAGTCCATGCAGGGTCACTTACCCTTGTTAGCAGCCATTTTTTCTGGATCCTCACATTCTTTCCTATACTCTGCCAATTTCTTCCTGTAATAGAGGAACTCCCGGCTGTTATGATCATGTAGAAATCTAAAAAGGAAAAATACATTTAGAAAGTTGTGAAACAGAAATCAGAAACACAGGTTTTTTTACATTACAGCTACGTTTTAGCTCTAGAAGAAACATTCCCTTTGTGATAATTATACCATCTGTAATTTCTTAAAGGGACACTCTAGGCACCATAACCACCAAATTGAGATGTAATAGTTATGGCGGCAAGAGCCCCAGGCACTGTTGTCAGGTAATCTGTCAAACTGTTAACAAGTATTTTGACATTTATCTGTCTGTTTCAGGAGCCTGCGACATTTCTAGCTGAGCTGGACTGATAAGGTGGAAGTTAAATATTTATGCATTATCATCATCATTATTATTATTATTATTTATAAAGCTCCAACAAATTCTGCAGAGCTGTACAATTATCATGCCAAATCGCACAAGGCTTAAACAGTATTCATTGATTGAGTAAGTGGACATCTCTCAGCCAATGAACACTGTTTAAAACGGGCAGGAGTTGGAACGATGAAGGTATAAATGTCCGTTTTATGAAACCAATTCAAACTGAAAGGACCACAGGCACTTGACACGGCAAAGTTAGGCCATTCTGTCTGATAGATTACAGGCAGACATCACCCAGAGACTAGTGTGCAGTAGTGGTTATAGTGCCCACAGTGAGTGTCACTTTAACCATGCCCTTACAATTATTTCAAAATTAAAATCAGAGGTTTGTGACAAAGCAGATAATTAGATCTAAATCAACATCCCTAGAGAGAGCCAATTAAAAAGCAGCACAACAACACAGACAGCGAAATAGGTTTTGATGGTTTCTTATCTAGAATGGGCAAAACTGCCTCTTTGCTTGTTGAAATGGCCTTCAGAATAAAATGGCCTTCAGAATAAAATGGTTTTGACTGCCCCAGCTTAAACCACAGCACTGCTTTCCATATGCATTAATAAACAAACATACAGATATTACAATTTCATTTTCAGTCAATTAGATGTGTATATAGAAAACAAAATAAAATAATTAATGGTAGGATAGTTAGTTGGCACTTAGTGATGGCGCAGGGCCCATGCACAATTATGTACTAATCCCACTCCTACTTGCATTTTAACATTAAAATACTCTAACATTAAAAATATATATATTTTAAACATTTGAGTGTTGGTAAAACATGCCAATTGAGTTCCTCTGAAAAGTCACTGCGCCTCCAGTGAAGTCATCAGTAATGACTTCTGTTCAAACCAAAAGGTGTTCTTAGGTAAACATTAGAGACAAAGGGTGCATGCACAGCAGTCACCACACTCTGCCAATCAAATGCAACTCAAAGAGAAACATTGAATCCAATACAAGCATTAAGAGCGTTCTGAAGACCTTGCCTTATCAAAAGTCTTCATGAGGAAGAGGCTCTAGAGGCCTGCTAGTGATGTGATTTTTGAACAAATGTAAACATTGACATTTCTCTGAAACAGCAATCTTTTAAATTGTCTGGAAAAAAAAAATAAGTCTATGCACCAGAGTCCCTTCATTAAAGATAATGTGATTTTGGTGCTTAGAGTGTCCCTTTAATTCTAATTAAGAAACAGAATCTAATTAATTTCTTCACACATTGTAGATGGTAATATCAATGCAGGTGTTTCTGTAGCCCTGACTATATGTTTGGAGACAAGTCACTACACACTTCTATGCATATGCAAAGATGCACTTTAAAGGTAAAACTCACGTGAAAGCAGGGTTATCCTTATAATCTTCAATTGCCATTTTTTCAAGCTCTTTGCCCCCTTCAGCTACATATCGAGCCAACTTCTCCACCACCTTTCGGGTTCCACTGTCCTCTGGGGGTGAAACTTTAAGCAGGCTGTCAGTACTGGGATTCAATTCACACAGCAAACAGTCAACAGGCATTTAACTGCTAGGAAGAGGGCCGCAGAGGACAGCAAGGGAAGGAAGCGGGAGTGAAACAGTAACATATTGCTTAGATTGTCAAATTGTGGGGCCATGGTGTGTTAAATTTTTCTACACTGAACCTTGTTCCCTAAAGAACTCCAATCATTCATATACAAACATACACCCAGAGAAAATTTTGCAAAATAACTCCAGGTTTGTATGGGGCGGTTTTAGAATAAGAGGTCAAACAGCAAGGGTAGTGAAAAGGAAGGTAAACAAATTAAGGCGTGTGCTAACTGCAAGATCAAGACAAGCGAATTGAACAGACATTAATAAAATGTCTAACATCTAGCTACAGTTTGTTGATATGGTAGATCCAGGCAACAGTGGTTAACACAACAGAAATGGATTTATTCAAAAAATTTCTACTTAAGATTCCACGCTGGAAAAACAACAACTATACAATTTCCTAAAAGGCCATCCCTCGTGTTTTACATACTATATAATGTTATCACAAGATAACATACCCTCTAATGTTCACAGTGAGAAGCAGCTTAGAATACAGAGGTTGCTTAGGTACATCAATCTTTCTGTAACATCTCACAAAAATATTACAGAAGCCCTATGTTCAGATTGTCTCTGATGTCAAATGTTTAACAAAAAAGTGCAGATTGCACTTCTGATAGATTAACAACAGTAATGAATCTACGAGTATTCTGCAAATCTTCCAAACAAAAACGTGGAATTATCAAAACATTATTTTAAAAAAAAAAAAAAGTCTAAATTGTTTTCATCGGATGAACACATGATACTGTTACAAAGTTCAACATCCATAGGAAGGATCATAGACGATGTCTAATACCTTGAAAACTAATAGGACTGGGATGCTACGTGCAGTATACAACAGTAGCTGGAACCCTTTAGTTGCTGATTTTGTATGTTCTGCGTAATATGTAGCCCCAAGAGGCAAACACACATATATCGACAGACAGTATTCAAGGCCATGCATGCACCATTGCAGAGCTAGTCTGCACTGCATTGCAGGAAGTCAGAATACTGTGGTTTGCAATAACTTGGAATGACCCATGGTCAAATTAACTGCTTTAAGCTACCCTAGATGCAAAATGTTTTGTGCCCTCGGGATGTTCATTTAGAATTTCTGAGGAGCGACTACGTATAAGACTTTGTGCTAATGTGACATAATATTTGTCCTATACCCCATGTATGTCTCATTCACACTGATCACTCACACAAAATCTTTACAGTTATCCACTAGTTACAATGTGTTAACCCCCTGGCACATCGTTGGTATTAAAATGTTGATGTTTTGTATGTCTAGCCTAATAATCCTCTCTCACCTTCCACTACTTACTTTTTATTTCAAGCCACTGCTCATAATCTTCCTCATCATCATCATCATCCTCAGGAGACTTAAAGACACTGAGGCGGTTCATTTTCGGGGTTTGCTTCGTGTGCGAATAGGTCTTCATTTGGTTTAACATACTTTCCCCAGAGAGTCCAGGTCTCTTTCCTAAAACAACAGGTTTCTTCTGAGAAGGCCCAGTGTTCCCAGCTGAACTTGATGAGGTATCTGTAAGTAAAAAACAAAACTGCTGTTATTATGGCACATATAACAAAACAAAATAATTGAAAGAAAACTAATATTGGGCATCATAAATTACATTTTAAAAATATATTTTTGGAAACAAAATATAAATAGGGAAATCTCATCAAACACTGTACACAGCCCTTTAGTTATCATTTTGTCAGATCATTTATTTAAGTATACAATTCAATGATTCTCTATGACAAGATTATCACTGGCGGATTGCAGCAATCGCCACGCGTGTGCCTATAGTCCCCAATGCTCCACTTTAAGAGGCACTGGATTGGACTATCATCCTGGAGGCACGCCTCCAGAGTTATGTCACACGACGAGGAGCAGGTGGCAGACGCAGAAGAGACACGAAGCTGAGCAAAGATAAGTAAAATAATATTTTTTTCATTATTTACTGTGCACATTATGGGGGCCTAAAGCTAACTGGGGACAGAACCACTGTAGCATTAGAAATAGATATTTGTATTCCTAACGCTATGTTGTCCCTTTAAAGCAACTCTTCAAACATCAAAAACTCCAAACACCTTAAGCTTGCTGAAGTGCTTGCTGAATGTGTGAAGAGTGTGTCCTCTTTTTTTCAAATGTACAAAAAGTACAGATATCAATAGAAATTGGCACATTTATGAATTAATCTTGTTACACCCCCTGGTTGTCAGACAACTGGTCCTGTTACTTCCTGGTTTGTTTAGCTCAGTGGAGCTAAACTGAAGAGGCAGCAATTGCCTTGCAAGGACGTCTCACTGAGCTGCACTGGGAAGTCTGTGATTGGACAACCACAGAAAGTCTGGGCTAGGGAAAAGGGGAGTGGCTTGCAAAGTCCACAGGGCTATATTTTACCTGTCCTCCAGTGGCTCTCTTTCCTCCTCTCCGGCTGCATCATCCCAGCCACAATCCCCAAATGGCTAGAGGCAGAAGATTTGTTTAAATATAACCCCAACTAAAATACTGTTGGCTCTACAGCTCATTAAGAGGTATGGGAACCCACAATCGTATGCACTCACAGAGTGGTTAATTTTCAGTCTGTGTGAGGGATAAAGGGAAGGGGATTGCAAAGGCAAGCAGGTTTATTTCCATTTATTTACAAAGAAAACATGCAGAAAAAATGAGAGCTGCCAAAGGTGGAGTGACACCTCCAGAACCTATTGTCATTATCTCAGTACATATAGCACTTCATACTGAAACACTGCCAGCACATAAAAACAGCGTTCAAAACACTGAAGAGGTAATGGTGCTTGGAGTAATGCTTTAAAAGTAGTTATCTACTTCCATTGGGCTACTGAATTTCACTATAATCAAGAGGGAGTTGCATAAGTACCAAAATACGCACAGCTCCAGAGCAAACGCATGTGAATGTTTGTGGTTCTAAAATTAACAATGTTTGCCTTGTTGTATGATTTAAGGCACAAAAGAGACTCACAACTAAAAATATGTAAGCTCGAAGTAACATTTCTTCTTATGCTGCATCTTGTACTGAATGATCTAGTGACTATGCTTATCAAGAGGTGTTGTCAGGATAGATTTGTGTGACAATACTAGATAACATGCAATTAATAGACGGGTAATGCATCTGATGACATAAACCCACATTTCATAATAAATCTTCACATGAAAGAAAAAAAAAAAAAAACAACTTGATGGATACATGTCTCTTTTCAGCCTATGTAACTATGTAACTTGTTTTTCCTCTATGGACGGTATTCACTCTTCTGCACATAGAAATACAAAATAATTTTTCCACACTCACCTGTGCTCGACTTTTCTTTCTGTAACTTGAGAAACTGCTGCAGGAAGCTGCCATCGTTTGCAAACTTGTTTGATGTGGAGGATGAAGAAGGTAAGCTATAGATTGAATTGAAAACAACTGATTCTAATCTAAATACATAGCAAGATCAATATAATGTTAAATTATAGAAATATCCCCCTAACATTCTCAATTTGTAAAAAAAATTGCAAGCTTATAGAAAACAGTGTTTCTCACTTAAATGTCAGGTTTTTATATAAAATAAGTTAAAGGATTACTCCAAGCACCATGACCACTTCAGTGATTTGAAGTGACCATGGTGCCTGGAGTCAATATATGCAGCATTTCAATATGAAATGCTGCGGATACAGAGATTAACCCCTCTGCTGCCCGATATGATACTCCACTTCTGGCAGCGACATTGGGATGTTAATATTAAACCTGGAACAAGAGTTCCTGGATAGCTAAGGTAATGTCTGTGCAAACTTAGCATCTGCCATCAGCATGGAGAGTAGGACAGAAGTGTTAGCTATGTGTTTCCTGTGGAAAATAAAAGAGATTAAGTTGTTATCAGACCAGAACTTTCCTTTATAGGTATATCAGTACACTTCAATCTGACAAAAGATTGTGAAAAATCTAAAAAGTAACCCTTATACAGTGTTTAGTGAGCTCACTGGGTTTAACACTTTCAATATATTATGGTGGGGGTTATCAAATCCAGGCCAATTATTTTATTCTGTCAGAACAACAGGTAGGAAGATCATTTATATTTTTATCACAATACTGCTAAAATATTTTTTTTTCATTATAACAAATCATTTTAATACAATTTAAGTAGTTCATTTAAGTAGTATGCAAGGTCCCAGAGGCTGCAGCAATAAAGTAGGTGGTTGCTGAAAAAAAAAAAAAAAACCTCTGTAAATAGTTCTTACCCTGTACACTTTAAAGGAACACATTAATCGCCAAAACAATTTCACCTTTTCTAACTGTGACTCCCATAGTCTCCCAACACCAAGCATGTCAAACTCAAAGGCTAGCACGGGCAAATAAACAAGGTTTAAGTTTACGTGGGCCGCAAAAAAAACCAAACTTACATTTTCATAGAAGCGTAAGTTTATTTTTGTACAGTATAATAAAAAAAATTATAAATAAAAAAACAGCATCCCCTCTTCTAAAGCCCAGTCCTCTCCCCCATACTAAATCCCAGTCCCGTTCCCCCATGCCAAATCCCAGTCGCCCCCACCAGTTGCCCCCCCCCACTCTATGCTAAATCCCAGTCGCCCTCCCCACTCTATGCTAAATCTCAGTCCCACCCCCTCTATGCTAAATCTCAGTCCCCTCTCTATGCTAAATCCCAGTCCCCCCACTCTATGCTAAATCCCAGCCCCCACTCTATGCTAAATCCCAGTCCCCCCACTCTATGCTAAATCCCAGTCCCCCCACTCTATGCTAAATCCAGTCCCCCACTCTATGCTAAATCCCAGTCCGCCCCACTCTATGCTAAATCCAGTCCTCCCCCTAAATCCCAGTCCACTCTATGCTAAATCCCAGTACCTCCCCAATCTATGCTAAATCCCAGTCCCTCCCACTCTATGCTAAATCCCAGTCCTTCCTCCTCTCCAGTACTCCCCAATCTATGCTAAATCAGTCCCTCCCCTCTATGCTAAATCCCAGTCCTCCCCTATGCTAAATCCCAGTCCCCCCAATCTATGTCCCTCCCCAATCTATGCTAAATCCCAGTCCCTCCCCAATCTATGCTAAATCCCCCTCCCCCTATGCTAAATCCATTCCCTCTATGCTAAATCCCAATCTATGCCCCCCCCCAATCTATGCTAAATCCCATTCCCCCCCAATCTATGCTAAATCCCATTCCCATCTATGCTAAATCCATTCCCTCCCCAATCTATGCTAAATCCCATTCCTCCCCCAATCTATGCTAAATCCCATTCCCTCCCCCAATCTATGCTAAATCCCATTCCCTCCCCAATCTATACTAAATCCCATTCCCCCAATCTATGCTAAATCATTCCTCCCCCAATCTATGCTAAATCCCATTCCCCCCCAATCTATGCTAATCCCATCCCCCAATCTATGCTAAATCCCATTCCCTCTCCCCCCAAGTCCCCCCCTCTATACTAAATCTCAGTCCCGGTTTAAAAAAAAAACAGCCAAACAGGCTCTGGCCTATCAGGAGTCCCAGTGAAACTTCAGATATCTGCTAATACGAAAAGGTGGTGAAGGACAATCCTCAATTTATGCATTGCAGCACATAGAGGAAGTGATCTCAGATCACTTCCTCCCAGCACTTGTGAATGTGAAGCCACACTGTAGTAGTGCAGTCTGCAGCTGCTGTTGCAGCTCCTGTCCTTGACCTGTGCCTGCCCAGCCTGGTTCCCACTGGAACCCAGGGAAGCCACCCACACTGCTAGATTTACTCATACAAATAATACAAGCAGCCCACAAACGTAACCCGCTAACAATCCACATACATGCACACAACCCCAAACAGCCCCCACACATACACACACTACCAAACACACAACGTGGCATTTCCATCCACACACACACACACACACACAATTCCACAAGCAGCCCCCATACACAGCCCACATTCATATGTATCATACACGATACCACAAACTACTCCTGAACATATACAATATAATAGCTCATATACGCACAAATACAACCATACAAAGCATTTACAGTATAAATAACACAAGCAGAATACGGCAGCATACACACCTCATTTTAAAAAAATAGGACCGGCACGCCACGGGACATCACAATCCTAGATCGGCACAGTGCTGCTAAAAGGTTGCCTACTCCTGGCCTAGACCATCATGACGAAAATAACTGACAATGGAACAGTAGAAATCAGTGACGACTCACCACTGGCACATCAGAACAATTACTTCCATAACATTAAGTCATATGTATGGCCAGCAGAAACCCAAAAGAACGGTCATCTTCAAAAGCTGGAGTGCCATTAGTATAATCAATAACTCGTTTAATATTAATCCATAAACAGTATGTTTACTCACTCAGCATTTTTAGACTGGATGGCTTGCTGAGCTTGCTTGGCCTGATGCTTTGTTTTGGCTTCAATCTCTTTCTTTTTCTTCTCTATGAGTTCTTCTTGGTAAAGAATATATGCGCTGGTTTTAACCGGTTTAGAGGGCGTAGAAGCAAATCGCCGCCCCCCTATACCTGAAAACAAAAGGAAATTACTAAACCAACCTTGCAGTTTTTTGGTTTTTTTTAATGAATGAGTTCATGAGATTAATTAGTATGTGGTAGTACAGAAACTTTGTAACAATCTAGCATATTGAAAAAGTGTAATTCAAAGATGATACTTAGAAGAAGAATTCTGGGCTGGCTACATCAATTTTATTCAAGTTATGGATGCAGTGCCTGCAAGCTCCACGCTGTACTTGGGTACCAGCTTTCTCTCTCAAGAGAGAAAGCTGAGCCGCAGTCCACAGCTCTGCCAAGAATTTAGCATAGGACATTTCATTAAAGGAACACTATAGCATTAGGAATACAAAACTGCATTCATAATGCTTTACTGGCCCTCTGTCTCAATGGCCCCACAAGCCAGTTAACCCCTATTTTCCCTTATCTCTTCCAGTGCCAAAGTTGCTCGACGCTGGATTGACGTCCTCCTTCAGCAATGTCATGCCAATGGGGAAACCTAATGCACACGCATTAGACCTTCCCCATAACAAAGCACTGAATGAATGCTAAGAGGATTTTGAAGACACTGTACGTCCTCACGCAAAGTGGTTTTACATTGCAGGGTGAATTAAAGGAACACTTAAGGCACTAAAACAACTTCCTATTATTGAAGTTGTTATAGTACCATCAGTCCTACCACCCGTTACAATACCACAAAACCTTTTATTTAAATAATGAGAAGGCTTAGAAATGCATCTCCAAGCCATGACCTATGGGTGTGAGAGCTGGGAATGTTTCTTTCCTGCTCTCATACTGTAACATACCATGAGCACATATGCAGTCATGGTATGTCATAGAGAAACATTGTATTCAATGATTCTTTATGGCAGAATCATAGACACATTGCAGCGAGCGTCACGCATGCCTCTATGGTCCCCAATGCTCCTCTATGACATCACTCGAGGAGGCCGTGGCAGCAAAAAGGGAGACTTGGAGAAAAGGTGAGTAATTAGTTTATTTTCTTTTTATTTCATTTTTTCTTTCTACACAATGGGGGGGCCTTAAGTAAATAGCCACATCAAGACTGTCTTATCTTCATACCTGTATTTCTAATGCTAGAGTGTTTCTTGAAAGAAGGAAAGAAAAAAGGAAGAGTCGTCCCGGAGGATGAGCAGAGGGGAGAGGTCCCATTATTGGTAATCTGTTGCCAGAATTTCCATTAGCCAGCTGCCTAATGACAGAGATGTCTTTATGTGCAGTGCTTCTAAGTGACATGGTGCACATATAGACTTCAAGCATCATGACCACTTCAAATCCCTGGCATGATCATGGTTCTTGGAGTGGAAACACCTGTGCTAAGACCATGCGTGCTCTAGGGCAAGCATGTCAAACTCAAAGGCTAGCACATGCCAAACAAACATGCCCCATCCCATGTCGCACCCCCCATCCCATGTCACTGAAGTGGTTAAAACCCCTTCAGACACTTACCTGAATCTCGCACTGATGTCCCTCGGCACTGGGTCAGGCTCCCCCCACGCTCTTCCCCCACCGACGTTCGTCCGGCGGGAGAGACCAAATGTGCACGTGCAGCAATTAGACCTCCCCATAGGGAGGTAGACAGCCACTAGAGGAGGACTTAACCCTGCAAGGTTATTATTGCAATTTATAAAAACTGCAATAATTACACTTGCAGGGTTAAGTGTAAAGGGAGTTGGTACCCAGACCACTTCAATGGGCTGAAGATTTCTGGGTGCCTACAGTGTCCCTTTAATTAAACGTAATAAAGAATATATTTTTAAAATAAATATGACAATGTGAATATTGAGTATGTTAAAAGGAGTTTGTGAATATTATGCATGTAAGGAGGAGTGTATGAACTATTAATCTGAAGTATAAAAGTCACAAAATATTGTATAATGCAATGTATTCACTTGCCAGCACAATTGCTGACGTATTTGAGGATGTGTGTAAAAGTGAAAACAATAAAAATAGAAACTTTTTTTAAAAAGTCACAAAAAAAAACCAAAAAAACAACACACTTAATAGTTACACACAGATGACACTGAAAAGCCCTGAATAATATGCTTCAAGGTTTCCAGATTAGAGAATATCGAGCGCTGGGGAAATCAGACATGCAGACACAGGCTGTCAGTGTAAGTTGATTTCCCGAGTGCTCAATATTCTCTAATCTGGAAACCATAAAGCATATTATTCAGGTCTTTTCCCTAACACACACGTACAGAGGACACTGACACATTTTCTTACACACACACAAATTATTATTTTTAAGTCCACCCAGCCTCCCTACTTTTGGGAGAGCTGGAGTGGGTACTTGTCATGGGGTCAAGTGGGGCTCCTACCATATTCATGGTCTTCCAGCACTGCTCCCTCACGCGCATTTTAGTAATGCCAGGGCCAGAGTGATGTCATACCCTGGCATCACTAAACAGTGCACGAGGGAGCAGCACACAAAGCACATTCGATTAGCGTAGGCTACTGCCGTTGAAGTAGTCAGGTGCCTGCTCTGCCTTAGCGCACAGCTAGCAAGCTCCTGACATACCCACTGCTTGTGGTGCGTATACCCCCTGGGGTACGTGTTCCATAGGTTGAGAGCCTGTGCCTTAGATGACATTGTAAAAGGATGTATGTTGCAGGCCATTTTCCATTTATAATGCCATATGCACACATGGCATCATGAGATCTTACTGGTTTAAAATAAATGCCAGACTGCCATTTTACAAATGTATATAATATGCCAGACACTACGATTTCACTGATTGCTTTGCATAATATGCCAGCCTGCTATTTCGATGAATTACACCATATACCAGATCACATACAGTAGTTTCGTCCTTCAGCACTTGGGTAATGACTGGTCAAAAATGAACAATTCACAAATTTTCACTCACAGTCTGAACAGACAGCGAGTGATGGGCTGAAAGCATCATCTGATCCAGATTGAAACCTTGGACCTGTATAGAAAGTGGAGGGGCAGAGCGATCGGGTGCCATGTTCAGGAAGTTGGGGTTAAACCATTCATTAACGATTTAAACCCTTACGTTAAGATGGCGCCATGGACCACCTCACATCACAGCAACCTGCCTGTCCTCCAAAAGCATTCGTCCCCCAAGTAGGGCAATCCTCTTCCATGTAAACCTCTTGGCTTCATTACCAGTGCATTGGCATCTGAACCGAGTAACACATTTCCCTGACAAACTAACCGTTGTGTGTGTTCCATGATCATCGACCCTTATTTAAAAATGCCAACATATTAATTAGCACGGATTGCTTTTCAGTCCAAATTATGCAGAATTTACCATGGAATTGAAATTTTTAGGCCAAAATGACAAAGACTAAAAACTAGATTCACTAAATACTTGTTCCTAACTTTGGCCCTATAAGCGGAAATGTGCTTATCCATATACAGTTTCCCAGTTTAGTAAATAACCTCAACAATACAAACTGCCCTGCCAGTAGTTAATACATAGGTTATTGATAAATCTTAACTAGAGAGACCCTCCCTATATGAACTCCGCCTGCATATAAAGCATTCTAGTGAAATTACCAAATATCTATAAACACATTCATCTCAAGCATGCATACATGAATGTGGAGCCATAGCCTTGCCCTGGCTGGGTCTACACACACACACACTGCTCTATCTGCACATATAAACACAGCATGCAGGCAGCCAGCCAGCCAGGCGGCCATGTTAACCCTGAATTTAAAGGGACACAAAATCTACACAGGAGCCAGAGGTATGGCATCCAGCACAGTTTCCACCATTACATATTCTTGGTCAATGAGGGCATATAAACCCTAAAAACTCAAAGCTATTTTTACCCGCTGTCTTCCAGCTCTCCATCTTGGTTTCGTTGTCTCTCACCTCCCTCCCAGCGATGCATAACAAACCACTTCCGGTACGGTGGCTGACGGGACTTGTAGTCCCCCAACAGGAGAGTCTAATTCTGAGCTTCTTTGTTTGGGCAAATAGAAGATGTCATTCCTGCTACAGAGTGACTGCCCCTCCCCGCACTAAATTCTTTAATATTTTGCTATGAAAACATGAGATAATATAACATAAAATTGTACATTGCTGCTGAGTGTTGTGGGGTTTTAGACTATTACAATGTGGAGAAAATGGCATATTATTGGGCTAGTCACTAGTGCATAAATGTATATATGTTGAGACTGTATGAAATTACTGTAATTTAAAAAGTTCCAAGAGGGATGCCATGTTACTGGATGATGGAAACATTATTTAAATTAGTTTTGGAGAAAATAGCACATGCTAGTCGTGCTGTAAATAGCAGGGAAAGAGAGTGCTGGCAATATATCCTATAAGATACTGGCCCAGGGAAATGCTTACTGACTTCATGTACTTCACATTCCTAATTTAGGGCTAGGGGTTTGTTCACACAGTTCCAAGTTGTAGTGAACTGGAAAGCTGAATGGCAGAACTTGCTTAAATTAACATTTTGAAAACATTATTCTTCTTAGCTATAGTCAGATCTTTGCTGTTTTACCCAGATTTTCCAATATGGATTTTAATTCACTACAGTTCAGAGTTTAGTACATAACTATGTTAGTGCTCTAGAAATCATCCATTCTACTATAGTGTGAACTAATCAGGAAAGTCTAAAATGTTATGCCAAATTGCTGAAGTGGAAAAAGCTCTCAGGGTTATTCACTAAAGCAGGGGTATCCAAAAGGGAGACTCCTCCAGATCTTTTAAACTACAGATTCCATGATGCTTTGTCAGTCTAAAGGCATACAAAGCATCATGGAAGTTGTAGTTCTACAACATCTGGGGATCTACCTTTTGGGCACCTCTGCATTAAATTAAGGCTTTCTAGGAATATCACATTGAAAACCATAATCGCTAAACTGGAAGCATACCTGACACGATTGTTCCAGTTCTGCAATATTTGCTTTACATTTGAAATTCACTTTGACTACCTAACAATTCTCACTTTAGCTAATAACCCTGACAAAACCAGACATTGTACCAGCTGAAACTTAATTTGCAACGATTAACAGTTTACTGAATAGCCCTATTTTGTTTATTCACTACTATGAATTGCTGGAAAGTCACAATCAAGGTCATTCACTAAAGTGCACATTTTTGGCAAATCAAAGAGAATTAAAAGTGAATTTTAAATTCTAGGCCACAACAGCCAAAATGGAAAAAAAATCTCTTACTCATTTATGTTTTCAGTTGGGCCACAAATTTGAAATTCTCTTTAAATTCTTGGAAATTTACTCTTTAGTGAATAACCCTGGATGAATTTAAAATTTTAGGCCAAATGGTCAAAATTAAAACAGATGCCATGAATATTTTTTTCAATTTGGATATTAACTCCCAACAGTTCACAATTTAGCGAAAAACCTTCTAAGGTTATTAATTAAACACTGAGTTGTAGTGAACAGAAATGATAATTGTTATATCAAGGCAAAATAAATCTGATCTGGAAGATAAAATACCAGTACATTTGCTGTTACAGCTTTGTTATTTTTCACAAGGTATGTGTTTAATAAATACATGTATGTATGTAAGGTGAGCATACTTTACTTAGAGACACATATATGATCTACTGCGTTATTCACTTAACAATGAATTCTAATAAGTTAAAGTAAGAACGGCATAATGTAAGAACAGAGAGCTGATTTGGAAATATTCTCCATCTCACAGCTTGCCTCTTTTTGCCTAAATAAGGGGTGCCCAAAAGATAGATCCCCAGATGTTTTAAAACTACAGATTCCATGATGCTTTGCCATTCTACAATGTGAGGGAAGGCATGCAAAGCATTATGGGAGTTACAGTTTTACAATATCTGGCAATCTACCTTTTGGCCAGCCCTGGCCTAAATGTTGCCATTCAGATTTCAATTTGTTACACTTTGGAGTATTGTAAGTAACTCTCACATAAAGTTAATTGCAATGCATAAGCACAGTACACACATAAGAATTTGTAGAAAATCAACTTCCACTCAAAGATAATATAGAATTTGTTCTTGCCCACATATCAGCTACAAGTGTGGCATTATTAGTCATATTTATATACATATTTATATCTAGTATTTATTTAGTCATATTTAGATTCCTAAATCATGGAAACACAAACAGGCGGTAGCTTTTTTGGGGCACACTTTCCAAGCAGTGCGTTCTACGGTAGACAAAGCAGTAAATAGCAACGTTGCAGTGTGTAGGGTAATGAGAATTAACATGTGGCTATGTTTTGTAAGCCAAGGCAAACTTGCTAGGCACAGAGGCATAAGAAATGGGTACTCTGCAAACAATCCTTACATTTTTCTTACATCTCTGTGCACAACATTTTTTAAACAGTTTCAACCATCTTTCTGCAGCACTTCTACCAGGGCTCTGTTAACGCATGGGCACCCACAAGCATAGGGGCCCCTGCCAAGTTTTCAGTATATTATTCTGGGAGATTTATTTAGAACCTTCAAACCCACCATTGTTAAGGTGGACTAAAGACCTCAGTATCAGCTGTTATCTGTACATGCGATCTTGCTGTTGCGAATATGCATCTTGATTTTGACCTTGATGAAAACAACATACACATACTAATTGTACATAAGCAAGACAAAATCAACACACATTTATTTGAAGCTCTAAAGCTATACTAAAGTTCTTGTAATATTTTCAACAGTCCATGTCAGTTTCCTCCCCCTGCTACCTACTAAACCTGTGTGTGGATTAATATCTGCTGTACAGCATGTTTTTAATGTTTAAACACCGATTTTGTTGGAAGTACCAATAAATATAACCTTGATTGTATTGATAATTTACTTTTTTTTTTTCCTGTGAGAGGTTGTGTATGCAGGGCCCCAGTGCACTGCTTTGTCCAGGGGGCTATAATGCAGTTAAACTGTTCCTGACTTCTACAGCAAATTAATTTCTATGGCTAGACCCCAGCTCATTGTTTGTATTTGTCTGTTTATATATTGTACTGTTTATTTTCCCCAATTGTATAGCACTGCGGAATATGTTGGCACTTTATATATGCCAGTAATAATAAATAATATTATGGCATTACATTTTAGAAATTCTATCCATGATAAGGACTTTTAAAGTGTCTGATGAAAGGGAAATTATGGTATTGCTAACCCAGTACTCTTTCAGTTAATGAGAAATGTTTACTATTCATTACCATTCACCGTTTAGTAACGAGTAAACCCCAAAGAATATGCACAATACAAACAATAGGCCAGTCACATGTTTTGCAATGAGAGCTTCAGACAGTGTTTATTCATTTATTGAAATGCTTGAAAAAAAACAACTGAACTTCCCAAACTTGATGCACTGAGCATGTCATGTGAGTGACAATACTGACTGACTGACTGCCCACACTGACTGCCTGCTCGGCCTGCGGGAGAGGCTGCTGAGCAACCTCCTAGAACTACAACTCCCGAGCTGCCCTGCGCGGGGCTCTCGCAGGGTTTGTTGCGGGAGGAGGGCATGGGGCCTTGTTGTTGGTGTCAGTGATGGCGGCCGCGGCAGTGGTCGCTCCCCAGGCTGAGGCCTCGGAGTCCTGGTACTTAGCCCTGCTGGGATTCGCCGAACACTTCCGAACCTCCAGCCCGCCCAAGATCCGCCTGTGTGTGCACTGCCTGCAGGCCGTCTTCCAGTTCAAGCCGCCGCAGCGCATCGAGGCCCGGACTCACCTGCAGCTGGGCTCGGTGCTGTACCACCACACCAAGAACAGCGAGCTGGCCCGGCAGCACCTCGAGAAGGCGGTGAGACCCGGGTCTGGGGGGTAACAGAGGAGGGAGCAGGGCTGGGGTGACATAGGAGGGAGCAGGGCTGGGGTAACAGAGGAGGGAGCAGGGCTGGGGTAACAGAGGAGGGAGCAGGGCTGGGGTAACAGGAGGGAGCAGGGCTGGGGTAACAGAGGAGGGAGCAGGGCTGGGGTAACAGAGGAGGGAGCAGGGCTGGGGTAACAGAGGAGGGAGCAGGGCTGGGGTAACAGAGGAGGGAGCAGGGCTGGGGTAACAGAGGAGGGAGCAGGGCTGGGGTAACAGAGGAGGGAGCAGGGCTGGGGTAACAGAGGAGGGAGCAGGGCTGGGGTAACAGAGGAGGGAGCAGGGCTGGGGTAACAGAGGAGGGAGCAGGGCTGGGGTACATAGGAGGGAGCAGGGCTGGGGTAACAGAGGAGGGAGCAGGGCTGGGGTAACAGAGGAGGGAGCAGGGCTGGGGTAACAGAGGAGGGAGCAGGGCTGGGGTAACAGAGGAGGGAGCAGGGCTGGGGTAACAGAGGAGGGAGCAGGGCTGGGGTAACAGAGGAGGGAGCAGGGCTGGGGTAACAGAGGAGGGAGCAGGGCTGGGGTAACAGAGGAGGGAGCAGGGCTGGGGTAACAGAGGAGGGAGCAGGGCTGGGGTAACATAGGAGGGAGCAGGGCTGGGGTAACAGAGGAGGGAGCAGGGCTGGGGTAACAGAGGAGGGAGCAGGGCTGGGGTGACATAGGAGGGAGCAGGGCTGGGGTAACAGAGGAGGGAGCAGGGCTGGGGTGACATAGGAGGGAGCAGGGCTGGGGTGACAGAGGAGGGAGCAGGGCTGGGGTGACAGAGGAGGGAGCAGGGCTGGGGTGACAGAGGAGGGAGCAGGGCTGGGGTGACAGAGGAGGGAGCAGGGCTGGGGTGACAGAGGAGGGGGCAGGGCTGGGGTAAGAGAGGAATTGTACAATTTAGGAATATACATGCATAGGGGGTATTAAATGAAAGTGGCTGGTGGCATTGAGGAAAAAGCAGGACTAGGGTTTGGGCAGTGCAAGTAGAAGAGATGGGGGATACAAATTGGATGCCAAATGGATGCAGGGGGTGAGAGTTGGGTAGTTACCCTTAGATGTGAAAGTTCATGGTCTAAGTTTATGAAAGCAAAAGTAGAGCAAGCATGAAACAATTTTCAACATTGAGAATCATCAGTCTGAACCTTTCATATTTCTCAAAGTGTAAATTTAGAATTGATACCTTGGTAATTAGGCTCCTTGAATTTTAGCTTAAAAAAAAAAGCCAGGGAACTATCTTTGTATTCCTTGAGCTGTAATGTTTATTAACTGTGTGTTTTAGCGATTATGATGTTTAAAGGAATAGTATCCGTTCATTCACTCTCGCTATCCTAAAGTGATAATGGTGGAGATGTAAACAAATCCACTGTTAAGTTGTTTTTTATTTTGGGGGGGTTGGCACATACTAGTGATTGCCATAAATCAAAAGTAGATTTTTGCACAAATGTGTTTCAGCTGCTACGAATGAATCAAATAATCTTTTATATCCGCACAAAAGAATCAATCCGTCCAGGATTTACCTGTACTTTAAAAAAAAAAAAAAAAAAAATTTAACTCCACAGGTAAATACTGGATGGATCGATTTGGCTTAGGCATTTTATTCATTCGTAGCAGCTGAAACACATTTATGCACAAGTCTAGAAAACAGTCCTCGGTGCTAACATTGTGACAAAACAGTGCAAATAATTAAATATATTTGATCCAGGTTCATGCCGGAGTAAAATAACACTTTAGTAATGTTAAAAACAAGAACTGCAGTGTGAATATAATAGTAGCTTTGCTGCCTGTTTTGTAATACAATGTGTACCATTCACAGAACCTTGCTTTACATTGGTACACAACCTCTTCATTCTTGTAAACAAATGTGCCATGTAATGCATAACAGTAATATGGCAATTTTCATGCCATATATTAAGTTTCTGTCTGTTTTCTTAGCACTACGTTTTGACTGTTTTGCTTAGTTTGTTACTATTGTGACTTGCACTGGTAAGCTATTCCACAAATCTCCCAACTACTAAAAGTAAGGATTATTAATTAAAATAAATGGCACACTCCTCATTATAAGTGGAATAATTATAATGAATAATGATTGCTAATTTCAGTTAAGGGAATATTGTTGCAATTACTAAATCATTTATGCAGAATAGAAATGTGGCAGGGATAGCGGTGACACTGCTTCGCATCTACTCTATCCTTCAACTCTGCACAAATTTTTTTTATTCCACAGCTAAATATAGCATGGCTAGCATCAATCATTCCATCTACATCATACGTTTTTACTCCATTCATATTTTTAGGGCATAGCGATCTCTAATTTTCTATGCTTGACAATCTTATTTAAATGTCTTAGTCGAGCTGCCCCTACACAAACTTCCTATAAAGTATCACAAAAAAAATAGGACCTGGTTTTAGTAATCTAAAGCATGGATCTGCATCCGTTAAGTGCCTTTTTATGTTTTTAGTAGCATCATCAATGTAAAGAAGCAATACATTTGGAACTCGTTTGGAGCAGATTATCGAAAACTTACAAAAACACCCATAGTCAGGCCCCCTCTGCAGCCACACGTGGAATGTGTGAATTACACTTCCACGTTATTAGTACAAATCAGTCAGTACACCTAAAGACAACAATGCAAGGCTGAGAGTGCTTTGCCGATATGAAATATATACACACGCACTGATGTTTGTTTTTTGAAATATACTTAAAAGGGACACTATACTCCCCAGAACAACTATGGCTTATTGTATTTGTTCTGGTGAGTATAATCATTCACTTCAGGCTTTTTGCAGTAAACGCTGTCTTTTCAAAGTAAATGCAGTGTTTACATTACAGCCTAGTGATGGCTCCACTGGCCACCCCTCAGATGGCTACTAGAGGTCATTCAGTGTGATTGAAGTGATGCTGATAGGCCAGGGTTGTGTTTTGCTTGTGCTGGCACTGCTCCCGATCTGCCTCCTTGACAGTCTCAGCCAATCATATGGGAAAGCAGTGTGATTGGCTCAGAGAAACACCTCTGATGAGGTCAACCAACAGACAGCTCAGGGGCAGAGGCTGCAGACTGGAATACAAGTAAGATTTTACTATATTTAGGGAAGCAAGAGTGGGGGGCAGAGGGGCTATATGGTGGTTTTAATATGGGTCATTAATACATGTTTGTGTTCTCTACCCTATAGTGTTCCTTTAAAGGGACACTCCAAGCACAACACATTACAGCTTCATGTACTGTCATGGTGCCTGGGCACTGTCCTTGTAGACTAACAATTGAAAGCATTCCTGCATCTGAGGAACTGCAATGTTTACATTTGACAGTCAGTGTGTCTGTAGTTGCTTTCAATCAGATGGCATTAGAGGAACTTTCTAGTGAAGAATGTAAAGAAATTACAGTCTTCACTTTCTCTATGAGGAGAATCCTATTTGTGGATGGTAGTGATTGCTTCTCATGTGCAGTACAGCTCTCTATGTAGAAGCATTTGGATGGCTAAGATCAGCCTTTTGTGAGACCGGGGCACTGTTTTATAAAAGGCGTTTATAATTGAATTTTTAATATCTGTGCATGGGCCCAACAATCAAAATGGCATAATGGATACTCTTCCACGCCATATCTATGTGTATTTACACTATTGTATAACTATCAGATTGTTCCTTTAAAAGACCACTATAGGCACCCAGACCACTTCATCTCAATAACTGCTATGTTTATACTGCAGGGTTAATCCAGCCTCTTGTGGCTGTATTCCTGACCGCGATTTACACGGAGTAAATCGGACTTATTTGACGCTGGACATCCTCACAGAGTCCAGCGACAAATAAGATCCCCATAGGAAAGCATTGAGTAATGTTTTCCTATTGGCGGGTTTTAATGCGCATGCGCCTCTGGCTGCACATGCGCATTTAGTTCCACTTGGGAGCTGACGTCGGCGGGGGAACAGAGGTCATCAGCGCCTCAGCGCTGGATTAAGGTAAGTGGCTGAAAGGGTTTTAACCTCTTCGGTGCTGAGGGAGGGGGGCCCCTAGGGAAGGGGGCACTCCAAGAACCTATAGTGCCAGGAAAACGGGTTTGTTTTCCTGGCACTATAGGATCCATTTAAGTGGGTTTTATATTGAGGTGACTGTAAGAGAACTGTAAGCATTAGGCTGCAATTGTCAAAAATAGGTATAATGTCTCCAGCTCCTGTCTGTGTGTGTTTTTATATATATATATATATATATATATATATATATATATATATATATATAATATGTAGAGATTGTAGCCGTATTAGTCCAGTGATGTAGATGTAAAAAGAGCTAAAATTCTGTGTGTGTGTGTGTACCTTGCAGTGTTTCAGTATAGTCCTGGTGATGTTTCGGTTTGGGTGCTGTGAAACTAATACTACATAATTGTGGATGTATATTGTTACAATGTTTAACTAATGCCTTTTTTTTTTTTCGCCTTTTTTCAGTGGTTCATATCACAGCAAGTATCCTTTTTGCGTCTGGATTTCTAAATGACAATTGTCACACAGTTTAAACGTTTGCTTCATACACTTTGGGCAACTTTGCTTTTCACTTAACAAATCAGACTTACGCATTCTAAGTGATTTAAAATGATTTGATCGTAAATTCTTGAAGAAAATTTTGAAGAGCTCCTGAAATAGATGTAACCAAACCTATATTAATCTTTGGCCTTGGAGAAATATTGTGGCCTGGGTTTTAAATTTCCATTAGTTCACTTGCTTGTGAGCAGTAAGAAAATATAGCAGCCAACTAAAAACATTTTTTTGGTGTTGGTTAAATTACCTGATCCATCTGGAATCAGCAATATATTACTATCAATGCTACTGCTGGCTTCTTGCGTAGCAGCATTGAGGGGTCTTTCTCGCCCGCTCTATATTATTATTATTATTATTGTTATTATTATTATTATTATTATTTATATATATATATATCGCCAGCAAATTCTGTAGCGCTGTACAATGGGTGGACTAACAGACACGTGGTTGTAACCAGACAAGTTGGATGTACAGAAACAGAGTGGTTGGTTGACGGCCCTTCTCAGTGAGCTTACATGTATAGTGATGCAAAGAGCAAAGGTAGGGGTACGAAGAGGCTGGAGTAGAATATGTTGATAACAACATACTCTCACTTTTAATGATGCACTAAGAAATGACAGGTGACAGATTGCTGTTATACACACACCCATTACTCACTGCTCCTGCACAAATACTACCAATGATTGACGTGGTGAGAAAACTCTAGTCTTAAAGTGTTACTCCAAGCACACTGACAATTTCAGTGAATGTGGTGCCTGGAGTCTGAATGCAGTGTTTCACCTATGCCATCCCCTCGTAGAAACAAAGAATGTGATGGCAGATCATTCATCCCCTCTAGTCTGCCTAATTTTTGAAATACTTTCATTAATCCCTGGCCTTATGCCTATCCCTCAGCTAGTCCTCCTCCTATATCCCTCCATCCTAAAACTTAACCTAAAACTTGCTTCATCTAGAACAGAGGCCAAGTTCTCCTCAAGCCTGATCCCCTGCAAGAGGGTGTAATGTCAGCAGAGTATCAGGCTGGGGGAGAATGTGGCCTCTGTTCTAGATAAAGGTAGTTTTTATCTCTAGAAGTTGTTTTTTTAGTTTTGGATGGAGATGAGAATAGGAGGGTTACTCTATCCAAAAACAGTGCTTTATGAAAACATTGTTCTTTTTGTTGGAGTAACCCTTAAAAACAAACAAACAAAAAAACCTTCGTCGTGGGATAACTGCTTCACATGACTGTTAGATTTTCTTACTCTTAGAAAAGGAGATATTGTATGAAGAGGGAAGGGAGACATAAAATTAAGGCAGAGAATGCATAAGGAAAGGAGAATAGAGGTTGGGTGATAGATGGCAGATGAAATGAGTTAAGAAAGATATTGTCCTCAATCCATCCTTCTACATTAGATATTTAAATGCAATGCATTTTGTCAATTAGTGGCAATTTCCAGTCTTACATTTCCCCCCTTTTTATATAAACCTTGGCAACAATTTATTAGCACGGTGTACCTTATCACATCATGTTAAGATTAGGTTTCCAGGATAGCTGTGTGATGGTGTTTTCTGGTTAGTTTGTTTTTTTATTTTGTTGGGTTTTTTTTTCTCTTTCTTTTCTTTTTAGTGTTTCATGGTAGTTTGGAATATATCTAGGGTCCTCAAGGTCTACAATTTACTGATTAGATTTCCTTTCTACCCACATTTTTCCTTTCTTTTTTTTGCCATTTTCCTTCAATATTTATATATTGATCACTTCTTTGTAAGTCCACTGGCAATTGTAATTTTCTTTAATTTGACACCATTCTCTCTTGGCAGTTCTTCTAAGTTACTGTATTTGTGTGAGGACATAATTATTATTATTATTTTTTTTAAAGATTTGTTGTCCTTAACCCAATGCCCTCAGATCCCACAGTTTGAAGATGTGAAATTTGAAGCAGCAAGTCTTTTGTCCGAGTTATATTGTCAAGAAGTAAGTTAGATGCTAAACTGCTGATTTAGTACTGTCCAAGTCTTTCCATGATATGTGTTCTACTTAAAAAAAATAAATAAATCTTAGTATGGAATGTAGCTGTACAACACGTAGACTGCCTTGCGGAACCAACAAGAATTGACTTATTTGTGTACTCGTCCTCCAGCATTGCTTAACATACAATGAGGAGAAAAAGTATTTGGTCCCCGGCTGATTTTGAACGTTTGTCCACTGACAAAGAAATGATCAGTCTATAATTTTAACAGTGAGAGACAGAATAACAAAAAAAAATATCCAGAAAAACGCATGTCAAAAAAGTTATAAATTGATTTGCATGTCAATGAGTGAAATAAGTATTTGACCCCTTCGACTTGGTGGCAACTCTTGTTGGCAATCACAGAGGTCAGACGTTTCTTGTAGTTGGCTACCAGGTTTGCACACATCTCAGAAAGGATTTTATCCCACTCCCCTTTGCAGATCATCTCCAAGTCATTAAGTTTTCGAGGCTGACGTTTGGCAACTCGAACCTTCAGTTCCCTACAGATTTTCTATGGGATTAAGGTCTGGAGACTGGCTAGGCCACTCCAGGACCTTAATGTGCTTTTTCTTGAGACACTCCTTTGTTGCCTTGGTTGTGTGTTTTTGGTCATTGTCATGCTGGAATACCTATCCACGACCCATGTTCAATGTCCTGGCTGAGGGAAGGAGGTTCTCACCCAAGATTTGACGGTACATGGCCCCGACCATCGTCCCTTTGATGCATGTCCCCTTAGCAGAAAAATTTGCTGATAGGGGATCAAATGCTTATTTCACTCATTGACATGCAAATCAATTTATAACTTTTTTGACATGCGCTTTTCTGGATTTTTTTTTTTTTTTTCTTCTTGTTCTGTCTCTCTGTTAAAATACACCTACCATTAAAATTATAGGCTGATCATTTCTTTGTCAGTGGACAAACTTTCAAAATCAGCAGGAGATCAAATACTTTTTTCCTTCACTGTATCCCAGCAGCAGAGCATAAACCTCTCAAATGGATTTAAAAATTTTTTTTAAATATATTTTATATATATATATATATATATATATATATATATATATATATATATATATACATATATTACAATAGATAATTATAGCTCTAATATGTTAATATATCCTTATAGAACAAGATATTTTTTATTTTATCATTTGGGAAAAATGGGAGATAGAATTGTTGCTTGGTTTCTGAGATTCATAACATAACAAATTCCCATTTTGAGTTAAACAGGATTGGTAGTTAATTCAGATTGACATAAATTTAAACATTTCAAGTAATATTTTTTTAAAATAATATTTTGTTAAAAAAAAAAAGATATATATATTTTTTTTTTTTTAAATCCCACTTTGGTTTGCATTTGGAAATGCATTTTTGCAAGAATTTACTTGAGCAAGATTAATTGTACATAATATATTGCCATTTTATCTTGCCGTATTTAAACCATATTATGGTTGCAGGCTGGTATCAGATGTCCAAATAGGGTGTCATTTCCTGGCCATTTGTGCTTTCAGAATGTTTTATGGGCAGTGTTTCAGAAAGGAATTATCTATATGAGCAGGGTGTTAAAATACCATGTGTTATGTCAAAGTTAAGAAAATTTTATATTTCATAGAGATGTTGTGACCCGTGTCTCTGGTATGGTGGAGCTGTCGCAATTTCTTCTTTTTACTTTTTTATTTTTATTTACTTATTAGGAATAATATTTCCTTTTTTTTTTTTAAATTAATTTTTATGTTGTAAGGCAATTGTGTGCTATATATTATCCATGAAATAAGTTACATCTGTGCATGAAAATCTCTTTATTGTAGAACTCTGTGGATGCTGCTAAACCTCTTCTTCGTAAAGCTATTCAGATCTCCCAGCAGACCCCTTACTGGCATTGCAGGCTTCTCTTCCAACTTGCTGTAAGTATATGCTTCTGCCCAGCAGAGGGGGCAGATTTCACCCTGTAGAAGTTTTCACCTTTAGTTCCTTTCATGTCTTTTTGTATCAAGACACTAGGTGAGGGTTTTTGGGTTATATCCGTGATGAACGAAAAGCTAGTTTTTATTTTATATAGTCCATTAGGGTTGTCTCGTTTTGAATTGTTTAAAGTCCTATTTAAAATGTATTTTTCTAAATCATTAAAAAATATGTATATTTTTTTTCCCCACCATATAGCAACTACATACACTTGAGAAAGATTTGGTGTCAGCCTGTGACCTGTTAGGAGTCGGAGCTGAGTATGCACGTGTTGTGGGCTCAGAATACACCAGGTAGCAATAAATATATTTTTAATTCTCTATTGTTCTAAAGTTGTGTTATCTGGGGTATATAAAAGCTGTAAATACACTGACCAGTCACAACATTAAAACCACCTGCCTAATATTGTGTAGATCCCCCTCGTGCTGACAAAACAACTCTGATGCGTTGAGGCGCAGACTCCACAAGACATCTGCACATGTCCTGTGGTATCTGGCACCAAGACATTAGCAGCAGATCCTTTAAGTCCTTCAAGTTGCAACGTGGGGCCTCCATGAATCTGATTTGTTGTTCCAGTACATCCCACAGATGCTCAATAGGATTGAGATCTGGAGAATTTAGAGGCCGGGGCAACACCTTGAACTCTGTCATTTTTGTTCCCCCAAACCATTCCTGAACAATTTTTGTAGTGTGGCAGGGTGCATTATCCTGATAACAGGCCACAGCCATCAGGGAACCCCATTGCAATGAAGGGGTGTATGTGGTGTACAACAAACTCTAGGTATGTGGTATATGTCAAAGTAACCTCAACTTGAATGCCAGGACACAAGGTTTCCCAAGAGAGCATTGCTTTCGCCAGTCATTTTCTCCATTATCAAGTTCTGATGCCCACTTTCCTATCTGAACCACTTTCAGTGGTGAGCAGAGGTCTGGATCACGCTGACCATTCTGTGGCTGACACCTTTCTGTCATGGCCAGCTAGAAGTTTTCAGCAATTTTAGCTATATGAGCTCTTCTGGGCTAGCCTTCTCTCCTCAGGTGAATCAATAAGCTTTGGGCACCTATGATTCTAATGACGATTCACTGGTTGTCCTTCCTTGCATCACTTTTGGTAGGTATTAACCACTGCATACTGGTAACACCCCACAAGACTTGCCATTTTGGAGATTGTCTGACCCAGTCATCTAGCCATCACTATTTGGCCTTTGTCAGAATTACTCCGATTCTTTGACTTGCCCATTTTATCTGCTTCCAACACATGAAATTCAAGAACTGACTGTTTGCTGCATTATATATCTCACCCTTTGACAGGTGTCATAGTAATGATATAATCAATGTCATACACTTCATCTGTCAGTGGTTTTTAAAGGGATTCTATAGTGTCAGGAAAACAAAGCTGTTTTTCTGGCACTGTAGGTTCCTACAATGCCCCCTTCTCTCGCACCCCTCCTCCTCCTACGGGGTGTCCCTCTGTGTTTAGTTAGTCTCCGCCTACTCTCTTCCCCCACCGACTGTGGTGATCATGACATTGTAATGTAATCAGTCTCTGTGAGTAAATCTCTTACATTTTAGTGCTCAACTTAATTGCTGTCCGTCTCCTCACCTGATACTTTGTGTGTGCGTGTTTTTTTTGTTTTTTGTTTTTTCTTCAAAGTATGTAAAAGCAAAAAAATGTGTAAACTTAGGATAACCTAATCAAAATACTCTTAACCAGTCTGACTTCAAGCCTTTTGAAACAATAGTTATGTCTTCAAAGGGCCTTAATTGTGCATAACTGAAGTACCTTGAAAGCCAAAATGATTCTTCAGATGTGCTAATAAACCTTGTTTTTACGATTCAGTATGTTTGTGCTTGCCTCTTTTACGTGGACTGCATTGTTAGTATTTTTCCTTTTGATTTGAGCACCTGGATCTTGGACCAGTACTACTCCATTATGTCAGTGGACTACATAGAGCTTTCTCAGTATTTGAAGCTGTTTGATAATGGATATGTTTCATATAAATAATCATCTAGGGGACAAGTGGCTACATATGTTCCATCAGTGAGACTGTAAATTAGACATGTGCAAACATGTGTATTAAGAGATTCATCCGAACGATTTGTGGCGATCGTCAAACAAATCGATTGTTATAATTCAGTTAGTTTACAAACGAATCAAATCATAATTATTTAAATTAAAACCCTTTTTTGAGTCCTTTTTATTAGGGCTGAATTGTTTAAAATACATTTTTGCATATATCTAGCCAAAAATAGATCAGAAGCTACACTTAATCCTATATAATAAGCAGCAATTTGAAGTTTGTGGTGCTGTTTTATGTGCCACATGTTTTTTTGTTTTGTTCTTTTTTTTTATTTTATTTTATTTATTTTTTTTATTTTTTTTACTCCTTCTGGCTATCTCTATGGTTTTGGGTTTATCTCTGCATGTCCTAGGAATCAAAGCTTATTCTCTGAAGTGTTCCTCCGCTTGTATATCACGTAATATACATTCACAACTAAGCTTTTACCTTTATATGTCCTCCATCTAGAACTTAGTCATGTGTTGGTTAACCTTGCATCAGAATATCCCTACCTCTCTGGGGATTAGTTGTTCTAAAGGTGTCTCTATAAGAGAAACAATGTATTTTTAGTTTTGTGGCTCGATAAGAAGGGTGTAAAATAGAAGTACAACACAGTAATTCAACAAGATTGTGTATGTAAATAGTGACTTGTGTATCTTGCATGACATTTTTTATTTATTATTTTTATTTATTTTTTTTAACCTCAAAAAAACTAAATAAATCAAAATAGAACAAAAATCAGAACATGCTCTCACACATTACATATCTAAAGTAGGATCCATAAAAAATGGAGCTTTAATGCATTTGTAGGCCAGATCAACATGGGTTGTTAAACAGTAATGACCCATATCAAAATAGCCGGTCAATTCACAGAATGAAAAGGTATATTACTCTAGTCAATTTAGAAATCTGATCAGACTCCTCAGGCAGCACCCCAAATTATGCTAGTAATGGATGCATGTGGAATGGTCTAACCAATAACATGGTTAAATAATGTGACCTGTTTCCAAAATACCTGAATCTTCACTCGCTCCCAGAAAAAAATGACAAAGTACTGCTCTGTAGGTCCCACGTTTTAAACACTTGGCAGTATCTCTAATTTTTAAAGAAAGTTTGAGGGGCGTACTAGGCGGATATACAATTTTTTTAAATGCATCTCCTAGTACGACGTGACTGGAAGTAATTTAAGTAATATTACAGTATATGTTATAGGTACATCGGGGATTAAACGGACACTTTTTGTCGCCAGAACCACTACTGCTTATTTTATTTGTTCTGGTGAGTTAAATCATTCCCTTCATGCTTTTTCATTTATTATTTTCAGAGAAAATGCAGTGTTTACATTACAGCCTAGTGATAACTTCACTGGCCACAACTCATATGGCTGCTGAAGGTGCTTCCTTGGGCAGTCCTGCCTAGTATGCATCACAACATTCAGTGTCTCCACCCTCTGCATGCAGACACTGAACTTTCCTCATAGAGATGCATTGATTCAATGCATCTCTATGAGGAGATGCTGATTGGCCAGGGCTGTGTTTGACTTGTGCTCACTAAGCCCCTGATCTGCCTCTTTGACAGTCTCAGCCAATCATATGGAGAAGCATTGTGATTGGCTCAGAGGCAGTAGCTCCAGACTAGAAATTAAGTAAGATTTTACTATATTTAGGGAGGCCAGGGGGCTAGATGGTGGTTTTAACACTATAGGGTCAGGAATACATGTTTGTGTTCCTGACCCTATAGTGTTCCTTTAATGTAGGTAAGAAAAAATTGAGAAAATGTATTGGGACTAGATATTCCTAATTTGTGAATCAATAATCTAAATGGATTAGGACCATTGTATTAAAAGCTGTAGCCTGGAAAATTTCTGTCTTGTATGCTTCTAGTTAACCAATATTATTTTGTTTTATTTAGGGCATTGTTCCTGCTCAGTAAAGGAATGGTGAGTATGTCCCTATTTATTAACTTTGAACAGGTGTATTGTGATTTGGGGAGAAGATGCACTCGATCTAGACCTTCTGTTCGCTCCGTGGGGTCTGACAGCTAGGGAGCTGTTTCATTATTTTCAAAGTGCACTTTTTAAAACTCTAGTTAAAATGAGCATATACTGGGCAAACTTTGTGTGTCGTTTTGTTCCTTAAAGTTGTACTGACTGTGTTGTATGTAGTGTGCCAAGTGAATGATTTAAGCACCATTAGAAAATTACACCGTTAGTTGAGATTCTTCTCAAACAGTCTGTTACCAGATATGTTTTCTGAAAAAAGTGTGTATAAAACTGTCTATTTTAGCTTTTATTGATGGAGCGGAAGCTGCAAGAAGTACACCCTCTTCTCACACTTTGTGGGCAAATCGTGGAGAACTGGCAAGGCAATCCCATTCAGAAAGAGTCATTACGAGTCTTCTTCCTGGTTCTTCAAGTGACACATTACTTGGATGCCGGGCAGGTACGTTATATTTGTTTACAAAGTGCATTTTAAGTAAGTACCACATTCAGAATGTAGCTGTGCTTAAAGTTACTTCTATAACCGTTGCTGTTGCCCAAGCATAGGGGAGGTGTCTCATGGATTTCTGCCTATCCAACCCTTTTACTACCTGCTGTATAAATTGAAAGCATACTTTCTAAGTATTTCACCAGGGTTTCCTAGGAAAATTATTCTCCAATCTGAAATATCTGTACTGTAGTAATGAACGGAGTCAATATTCTATACTGCTGTTATAGCAAAATCATTGTTCTGTCTCACAGGTAAAAAGTGTGAAGCCATGCCTTAAACAGCTGCAGCAGTGCATCCAGACTATTTCAACTCTCCATGATGATGAGATTCTGCCTAGCAATCCGGCCGACCTCTTTCACTGGCTACCCAAAGAGCACATGTGTGTTCTTGTTTACTTGGTAAGGATGTGCATTTGAACTCTGGACTCTGACATAGGTTTGATGTTCTCCCAATCTATTTGGAGTGTGATTGTGTATACACATTTATTTCTGACCGCCTGATTGATAGTTTCATTGGTGTACCTTTTGGAAACAAATATTGAATATTGTGCTTAAGAGAATACTCTTAGCACTAAAACAACTGTAGCTTAATGAAGCAGTATGCTTTCATGCAATTTTCTTAAAGGGACACTAGAGTCACCCAGACCACTTCCGCTCAATGAAGTGGTCTGGGTGCCAGGTCCCCCAGGTTAAGCCTTCAGAGGTAAACATAGCTGTTTCAGAGAAACTGCTATGTTTACATTGCAGGATTAATCCAGCCTCTAGGGGCTGTCTTCCTGACAGCTGCTATGGGCGATGCTGGATGCGAAAATCGCATCCAGCGTGCAGAACATCCATAGGAAAGCACTGAGAAATGCTTTCCTATGGACTGTTTGAATGCACGCGGCCCGCTCCACTCGGGAGCTGTCGTTGGCGGGGGAGGAGAGGTCACTAGCGCTGAGGGAACCCAATGCTGGATTAAAACAAGAAGCTGAAGGGGTTTTAACCCCTTCTGCGCCAAGCAAGGGGTGCCCTGAGGGTGGGGGGTACCCAAGGGTTATATAGTGTCAGGAAAACGAGTTTGTGATCCTTTAGTGCTGGTAAATATGTATTGAGAAAATCTGCATTTCACCACTATATTATAGTTTTCTGTACTAGCCAGCCTTTTAGATGACATAATTGGACATATATATGCTTTATCAATGATGTATCTATTCCATTGTTCTGTAGTCCAGTTAATTAAATTGCATTCTTACTGTATCCTAGCCTATAATCCTTTGGTGTTTCCATATGTAATTAGTGCTTGAATCATTAACTTTCTCGATCTACGCTGTGTTGTTTTACAGGTAACAGTCATGCATTCCATGCAGGCAGGCTATCTGGAGAAGGCCCAGAAATACACAGACAAGGCTTTAATGCAGTTAGAGAAACTAAAGAGTAAGTACATCATTACTAGATTAAGATATGAAGTCTGTAGAGGCCAAGGGACTAAATTACATTCTTATGAACACTTTTGCACTGGTATCTTTTCAGCTATTTACTATGTAAATGTGCATTGAATTTGCCCACTTCTCTTTTCAGTGCTGGACAGCAGCCCGATACTGTCGTCCTTCCAAGTCATCTTACTGGAACACATAATTATGTGTCGTCTGGTCACAGGACACAAAGCCACAGCATTACAAGAGGTTGGATACTGTGTGTGCTCTCTAAAGAATCACACTTGGCCTCGTTGACTTTGGAGCATTCTAACAAAATGATATTTATTTTCTAGATATCCCAAGTCTGCCAGTTGTGTCAACAATCCCCAAGGCTGTTTTCTAACCACGCTGCCCAACTGCACACATTGCTGGTAAAAACAGAATACAATTTGATGTTGTTGAATTCAGCTCATATGCTTGTATAACATTTTGGAAATGTTATTTGTGTTGGTGGGGATAGCTGTAATTTTTCTTGATTGTCTTTAATTTGCAATTACATAATACATTATTCCAGTTCAATTGATGCATTTTAATCACTCAATTTTGTTAAATACATTAGAATGCCAAATCCAGCTGTAGTTTTGCTAGTTTGGATCAACAATACTGGAAGAAAATGCTAATTCACTTTTATTTTTGTGCAGGGTTTATATTGCATCTCTGTGAACTGTATGGATAATGCAGAGGCCCAGTTCACAACAGCACTGAGGGTGAGTTTCTATTTCCTTTCCTTTATGCAGTGGTTACTGTTTAAATACTGTTGTATCTAATAGCCATTTGTTATTTTCAATACTGCATGAAATTCCATTGATGATTAGAAACAAATAGTAGCTTGCATCAGAGTTTAGATGAGTTTATATGCAAGGTAAGTAATTATTGGACTTTCAAAAGCAATATGTACATTTTCAATGGTCTGCAAAACATATGCATTTGATGAGAAAACAGCCTCTTTAATTACTGAAACTAAAGATAAAATTGTGGGGACAAATGCAGAATTCTTAACCACTTCACTACCGAGCACTTTCCAATTGAAAACAATATTATGAGCATATAGACCTATCATAGCACAGTAATTTTGTGTCTAGATTGCTTTACAGACAAGCGTAAAAATTAAATTTTATTTAAATGAACATTATAGGGTCAGGAACACAAACCTGTATTCTTGACCCTATAGTGTTAAAATCACCATTTAGGTGGCTTGCTCCTCTTAAAAGGTGAGAAAACTTACCTTTGGCACTGGCCCCACCCATGATCTGATTCCTTGGCTGACATCAGAATTGATGATCTCAGTCATTCCAATGCATTTCCATAGGAAAATTGTCACATGGGTGGGCCAATCAGCATCTCCTCTTGGAGATGCATTAAATTAATGCATCACTATGGGGAAGTTCATCGTCTCCATGCAGAGCGTGGAGATGCTGAACATCTTGCAGCACTGCCCTAGGAAACACCTCCAGTGGCCACTAAATGTGTTCCTATGGAGAAATGTAAACACTGCCTTTTTTTCTGAAAAAGTAGTGTTTACATTAAAAAGGCTGCAAGGACAAACTACACACTAGAATAACTCAATTAAGCTGTAGTTGTTCTGGTGACTAGTGTCCCCGTAATTTTATACATATATATTTTTTTTCTTTTTCTCATGTCCGTTCATCCTTCTTTATTTTTTATTTATTTTTATTTAGAGTTTTTGAATATTTGGTTTAGTGAAAGCAGGGATTACAGAATAAAGAAAGGGAAGTGGGTACATTTCAGGGAAAGTACAGTATCATTGGTATCAGAAATAAAAAGCGTTTCATGTGAGTGTACAGCAGATTACATAGGTGCAGGTAATTCAAACATCGAGGCATACCAAAGGTACAAATGAATGCAGGTACACATAGGTATATTGATTACACTAAGAGACAACACAGCTGTGGTATTTCCCTTAACGTAAAGGAATAAGTATAATAAATCAGGGAGAGGGGATTACATGGTTAGGGGAGGAGGAAGATTCACATCTTCATTGGGTATGGGGGATGCAAGCTCAGAGTGGGTAGGAATATGTCGCAGGTTAAAACCATAGTGCCGATAATGCATTGAGGGATTATCAGCCCCTGTGGTGGTGCTTCTTAAAGGGTATTTAGAGTCGCATGATTATGTAGGCTAGTTACCCATCGGGTCAGTTCTGCTGTGTGGGTTTGTGTTGAATGAAGTCTTAGGGGACTAGCCTTTCAGACTAAGGGTAAGAAGAAAAGGTGGAGAAGAGGGGAAAAGAGTCTGTTCATTTTTAATGAAAATATTTTAGAAATGAAAAGCTTTAGACTTTTTTTTTTTTTTTAAGTATTCAACAGGGTCTAAAATGTTAGAATAAATTCAAAAATGCATTTTTATCCTCACATTTTCTAGGTATGACAAAAATAGATACATAAAAATGCTCTAATTACCTTGCTTATAGATATTTGAAAGTACCCTGAAGGCATTACTAGTGCAGCCTACTGAAAATGGCAACAGATGTTTAAACAGAATGTCTGCTTTGATGCATAATGTCCACATACAGTTAACGGCACACTTCACTGTCCAATGCAAAAATAAACACTGTTTAGGAGATGCACTCCAATGAAGACATGCATACTAAAAACAGCTTACAAATTTTGTAGAAGTCTTGTCTGAAGCCATTGCAAGCCCTTCTCTTCTTCCCTAGACCAACAGGCGAGTAAAAATATAAATATTGTCTTCTTTCCAAGCCTGACATTTATAACTTACCTGCAGGTTCCTATTTAAGTGATGAACAGAAAATGATGCAGTTGCATTTGTAAAGGATGTTGTGGAGGTTGTTGTCTGGCTTGTGGATTTTATTTACTATATATGTTTTAGGGTAAACTTTGTAAAGTTAAGGTATCAGTATTACAGTTCAAGGCTTTCTTTTTTCTTTCTAGCTCACCACGCACCAAGAACTATGGACTTTTATAGTGACAAACTTGGCTAGTGTTTACATTCGGGAGGGGAACAGACATCAAGATGTAAGTAAGATTAGTGTGCGTTATTTATGTAAGAGACTCATTCTCTCCTGATTTACTTTATTTGTTTTTCCTAAATGAATTAGACGTACCATTTTTGACACAAATGCCCCTCTGCCACCTTTCTTTACTTTGATATTTGACTGATATTTTAGTGACTATACTCCTCCTTTTTTTTTTTCATCCTCACTGTAATGATTGTACAGACCATGTGACTTCATATGGTTTTATTTATATTTTTCATATTGGAGTACTTTTTTTTTTTCTTCCTGTTTTTGTTTTACATTACCTAATCTTGCATACAGATGTGCATCAATAAATTCAAATATGTCTTGTGTATTACACAGCCAGGGTTATTCACCTGAGTTATTTATTTTGTGCTTTGTCTACTTGGGGTCTTTGGATCATTATTTCTATTACCCATGTCACCTCTCCTTTCTCTGTCTCCAAAGCCATTTTGAGCAAGCTTTTGTCATAGTCTATCTGATTGACTTTCACTTGCTCAGGCTGATTTCACAGAGTCTCTACTTCCCAGTAAATCTGATCAGTTGTGAGTACCATGGGCTCAGCAGAGAACTCTCAAGAAGGATGAGCACTGCTCACAGGGCAAGGACAAAGTCATCACTTGTAAACATTCAGCAGCTGGGCAAGTGAGCTTGGTTGGATAATGACTGGTTCCTACTGTCCTCCAGACAAGGTCCTTCCAAATTCTACAGAGACAGGGGGTCAGTGAGGAAGAAAATAAAAAAACAATATGGATGATTAAATGCAAATGATCTAAATTCAGAAAGAAAGTGCATCAAACGTTTAAAAGCTAAAGAGAAAAACTTTCTCTTAAAAATGTAAATGTAATAATTATGAGGTTTTTTGTTTTGTTTTTTTTTTTATGTTTTACTGTGACAGTGCTTCCTTTTCGTTTTGCCAAGTAAACCAAACGGAATAAATGAGAGGTTAGATTCTCATAGCAAATTGTGTAAAAGCACATTTATGAGCTCAATTGTTAATAATTTGATTGTATGAACTTTATTTTGAACTTTGTCTCTTTCCTTTTTTAAGCTTTACAGTTTACTGGAAAGAATTAACCCAGACCACAATTTCCCAGTAAGGTAAGCATGATCTCATATGGAATATGTTTTAAGAAGTTGTATTTTAAGCCTTTTTTTATTAAAAAAAAAAAAAAAAGTATTTATTCTTCTCCCCCCCCCACGAAATTCTTTTTTTATTATTATTATTGTTATTTATATAGCGCCAACAAATTCCGCAGCGCTTTACAGTTTATATTTGGGGTCTGAACGTGTAGGTCAACATTGGTGCTCTAGACTAGTTTGACGAAATTGGGGGGAGCGGGGAAACATCTTTTAGACTGCTAAATTTAGCCTGCACGGTAATGGTCTGGGGACCCGCGATTTGTGACATCGGCACTGATTGTGGCAGGCAAAGGTGAATTTAACTTACTTGAATCTCTTCATGGGTGCCGCCATCTTCTCCCGGCCAATGTAACTGCTGGACTCTCGTGAATTTAGGGGGGGTGACCGTGTCACCATAGACTTTTTGGGGGTGGAGTATGTTTGTGTGCTTTATTATTTTTATTTAAAGAAAAAAACAACAAAATATTCTTTTCCAATTCTAGCTCCCACTGCCTCCGTGCAGCTGCATTTTACATCCGTGGACTCTTCTCCTTCTTCCAAGGCAGATACAATGAAGCAAAGTGAGTGATGAAGAATATCAATTATTGCTTAGACTAAATGAATATATCCAGAGAATACTCAAACTTGTAGCTGCAGATATGATGCAGATCATTCTGCATGGATTTATAAACTGTCTTAGCTAGGTATCTATCTATGCTGTCATTGCTATGGTGATTGCTATAGTTGGTATTTTAATAAGTTAACATTGATCTTGTGCTGGTAAAAAAGCACATTGTCCCATAGAGTTTAGATAAAGCACAAAAACGAAAAATAGGTATGAGCCAGTCGCAGTAATTCTGGAAAGCACAATAATGTGGACACAGTGTATTTTACCTTGTTAGTGGCTTCATCAAGGTGCAGTATGCACTCTTCTATTCTGATCTCACACCAATCTTATTCTTGCTGCAGGCGTTTTTTGCGTGAAACCTTAAAGATGTCTAATGCTGAAGATCTGAACCGATTGACGGCTTGCTCCCTGGTGCTTCTGGGTCATATCTTCTATGTACTGGGGAATCACAGGGTAGGAATAATATATAACAATATTACTGTTTAGTAAGTTGCTGAGCCATGTGCATCTCATAGGTTACCTTTTATTTAGTTTTTCTCGAATACAGTATAACAGTGTTTTTATAAGTTATTAGTTATATTTTGAAAATCTTAGGGTTTTAAATGGGAGAAGGAATCCATACTATTCCACACAGCCAAATTTGCATTGTCACCAGCCTTGTATCAAAGAACAAGTAAATGGTATACATATTAAGTTTTTAAAGTCCTACTGTAGGAAGCATTGATTGCTTGACAGGTCCTATTTCTTTTGTATACTTCATATTGTGGCCATATAGACTATTAAAAACAAGAAACGTAGCCACGGGTTGAGAAATCACTCCAGAGCAGCAAAGAATCTTTGCCGTTTACGAGAAATGTTCAGTATATATGACAACACAGAGGGTAGTCAAACCAAAACCTTACCTATAATAAAGGTAAAAAAGGTCTGAAACACATTAAGTTTTGGATTAGCTCCCATTTTGATGTCTTATATGGTACTTGTCTCAAGTTGGGGTTTTTTGTTTTTGTTTTTACTGTTCAACTTTTGCCTTTGTGTGCTTTGCTAAGCCCTTTGTCATCCACCCCCTCCCCAAAAAAAGACCCACAAAGCCAACCAAAACCTTAGAGCAATAAATATGTCACATGACGTGATTGCTAAACTGCAAACGTACCTTATTTGAAAACTTCTACTGCTTTAGGTTGTCATATTGTTTAACCTATTACAGTCTCAAGCTGTGTGAGCAATTAATGTAACTCTTTAGTAGATAACATTTTTCTGAAATGGGCTTTACCAGTTATTAGATAAAGTGATCACGAGCAGCTTCAGTAATGCATAACTTTCAAAGTTAATAATTAGCAACATGTTTAATATTCTTTTCCAGGAGAGTAACAATATGGTTGTCCCAGCCATGCAACTGGCCAGCAAGATTCCAGACATGTCCGTGCAGCTATGGTCCTCTGCTCTGCTACGAGGTAAAAACTGCCTTGTTTCATACTTATGTTTTGGTATATTCCAGTGAAGTGGCAGCTGAGCTTCATGTAGCCACCAAGGCTTCACTAGCACATTATTCCTTGTTGGAGGAAGGTTGAGAACAGATTGCAGGAATATGCAGGATGGAATATTTAAAACATTTGGTTCTTAAGAAGTGCTTAATGAAGCTCCTAATAGTGCTATCAGGATGGATTTATAAACTAAAGTGCTGCTGGTGCCATCAGGCAGGTAGTCATACACGCCATGCAGCTCAATCCCAGAATGCTTTGCATGTTGGCACATCTGGAATTGAAATGAGGTACATTATACTTATTTCCGTTATTCTGGTTTAATCTAGTAGTTGATATATGGAAGGGAGCAAGATTGAAAGACAAGCTCTAAAAGCCAAATATATGATAACTAATTGGGAAAGGGTCTGAAGATTTGCTTGCTGATATTTTTTGTTTGTTTTTTTTTTAATAAAATGCATAATCATGTTTTGCATGTTGTTCTATAATTTGTATGAAACACCTGCTCCCTTTTAATGTGTAGATTTAAACAAAGCCTGTGGGAACACAATGGATGCCCATGAGGCAGCCCAGATGCATCAAAACTTCTCCCAGCAGCTGCTCCAGGATCACATTGAGGCCTGCAGTCTTCCTGAACACAATCTTATAACGGTACGTATCTCACTATGACTAGAGACTTCTCATATTTTGCACACCTTCTTACCTAACATCTCGAGGGTCTAATCTGTTGAACCCTTATCCTATTTTTCCTTTTCTACTTGACATGGCAACTAAAAGCAAAGAAAAGGCTATAATCTATAATTCTGACGCTCTCCGTTTGTCCCTCTATCTATTTAATAAGATTTATTTTAAAGGAAAACTCTTGGCTCTTATCATTTCACTGAATGCATTACAATGCATTTAGTCCCTTGACCTTGTCCCTCCATTCAGTGTTGCACATTTTTTGAACAGTTTAACCCTGAATGAGAGTCTGTTCTTACTCTGTTATTAAATAGAGTAACTTTTCGCCATAATGATTTAGCTCCACAAAATTTTGTCCATGTGCATATTTTGCTAAATTTACTATAGTTTGATGACATTGAAGCAAATATTTCTGCAAAGTAGAAGTGAACAGAGTCACATATGAAGTCAAAATTGTATCCGTATTGACAAATGCTCTAAGATTAAATGGTAGGATTCTTGCAGTCTTTATTCAACTTTTTTGTTTGTTTTTTTCCGCCTCTCTCCTTTCTGTAGTGGACGGATGGTTCTCCCCCTGTACAGTTTCAAGCTCAAAATGGACCTACTACCAGCCTAGCCAGCCTTTTGTAAAATCTTTGCTAAAATATTGAAGGACTGATCCAGCATTCAACTAGTAGCACCCTTTTCATCCCAGAGATCCATAATCGCGAAAGAACTCCATGTATTTTTATAACTTGCCATACCACAATTTAGTTGACACTAGACTCTGAGAGTGTGGTCAGGATACACCATGCAGCTACACAATGGATGGGAATGACTTTCCAAATGTGTGCTCTAAAGACTCTGAATTCTGGAGACAGAGCTACTAAAATTCTCACACCCTCCGACAGTTCCACCTCCAAAACTCACTGTGTACTGAAAGAATTTGTACCTCCACTACTTTTATGGAAAAAGAAATTGGAAGAATATACCACAACAACAAATCACAGCGGATTTAATACCTGCCTTTCACGTTTTGTCTCCCCTCCCTAATAGAATTGAGAGAAGGGCATTTTTTTAGATTTTATATCCATAAATATAAATATATATATATAAAATACTTAAATTTTATCAACATTTAGACTTTAACATGCACACATACGGTTTTATGATATTGCTCCCCCTCTCCTCCCTTCTCCAGTGTGGATTATATTGTAATATTTGCAAGGGGATCAGTCATTTTTTTTGACATTTGGATATAGTTTTGTAGTTTGGAGAAATGCCTCTTCAGACTTAAGTCGTTATATGCTGAAGCATCACTTGGGCCCCTTTGCAGCCACAGCACAAGCTGTCGGCTGCCAAATGGGTTAATTTATCCCTCATGTGTAGGGATACTTTAATAGCTTAAATAAAATGATTAAGGTCGGTCTTTTTTTTAAATTATTAGGAAATATTTTTTAAAACCTTTTCTATTTATCTTGATAAAGAAAAAAAAAACTGTACCTATTGTAACCTGAATAATTTTTAAAGCAATTTTGGAAGCCCTAATCTGTTCCCTAACCTGTTCATTTTCATGCTTCAAATTATCTGTGAACTTCTTAGCTGCAGTTCTCTTTTAGTTCTCCACTGAAATGCACCTAAAATATGCCCCCTGACTCATTGGAACTCATTACTTTGGTTATGTGTTTTTACCGTGTTCTCCGTCGAAGTATGAAAGGTTATGCAGTTATATTTTCAGATTTCATCTTTGTCGTCCATAGCCAGTTTTTTTTTTTTATAAGTTAGTGTTTGTATTCTCTCTTCTCTTTGAGTGTGTTCATGGAAAAGGTAGGGTGTATTCCCTAAGCTGGGAATTTAACTAGGGCATTGCAAATTTTGGGCTTAATTTTAGAACAAAAAAAACTTCTTGTAAACATTGCGGTAGCAAACATTGTAGAGCATTTCTAATTGAGTTTGCAGCGAATCATAATTAATGCTGGGATATATTGGAATGGGGGTTTTTAAACCCAGTATTTATTGCACGAGCTTTGTAGAAGTGCACACACAGACCAGTATGCAAACCTACTGGTCATATTTTCTTTAATTTATTTGCTGGCAAGTTTAATAGCTTGGTGTATATTCATTATTATATATTTTTTTATTTCTTACCGAAAGAAAATCATGTCATGCAAACAATATACATGACCGGTCCATATTAAAAGAAAGAGAAAAACCCTGCCCCTTCTCCCTTTTAAGGCTTGCACAGTATAAAATATGCAGCCAAATCAGAGAGCCCAGACTAATATCGCTTAGGAACAAAGTTCTGCTTGTGGCATTGCACGAGCATGCTCTGTATCCTCTAAACACAGCCTTTTCCAGAGATGGATTTTCCTAGCTAAAACAAGAAACAGGAAAGTAGGATTTGTAAATGTTCCCTGAAGAAAGATTGCACTGGAGAATTGTTTTGCAGGGACTTCAAACTTACCTTTCTAGTAGAACGTTTCCAGACGTCACTCTGGGCCTATGGGTTTGCCACCTAATTGCTGGGGTTTAGAATGGGACATCTGTCTTGCAATGTTGTGTATAACAATCCACTCATAGTCCAGCATGTAAACAGAATATGTACATATTTTCACAGTACTACTAGCACATTCTAGGGAGTTCCACCAATTCTAGTGTGAGAAGAATCAGCCACCTATGTCCGTGCCTTTCCTAATCCTTGTGAAATTTACAGTTCTAAATGACATTTCCATGTAGAACTGATGATCCTGTTTTCCATTATATATGTCACTGGTTTAACCTAGTAAATTGGATTGGTCACTTTGCCACATGTTGGCAGAGAGCAATCCACCATACTAAACTGCTATAAGTCTATTACTAATTGTAAATGGTCTGCCACCATGTGCTGAATGACAGAGAAGCCAACATTGTCCAAGGATCCCAGAAGTAGTGTCTGTATTGGCTGTATCTGTGTAACTCCACTATAAATGGTTGAATCCAGATAAATTAGGCAACGTCATTTGGAATATCTATGAAACTAACAAGCATCTTGCCATATTCTTTACTGAATAAAATACTAGATTTTAACCTGGCTTTACAATATTGGTTATAATCCATTTTATGTGTTTTATAAGCAGGCTGGAGTCCTATATGGCACTTGAATTAAAACTACACTACTAACCAAAGTGATATTCCACTAATGAAATAAAATAAATAGAACTTTTTATGACGCAACATACCATAAATGACCAAAATCCTAAAAACAGAAAACTTGTAAATTTTGGAGCTCTGTCAGAAGACAATGCATATGTTGACTTTAAACTTATCCCAATGAGGGCAAATGTGTATATTACCATTCTGTTGACAGGGCCAATATGTGTGTTGTTGTTTTTTTATTTTATTTTATTTTTTTATATATATATCTCAAGGACTGGACAGAATCTATGATCCAAGTATTGGGAGCCCATAAAATTGTGCTGCACTTGCTGAACGTTTAGATTTGTTCACTAACGTGCGAATTGTCAGGAATTCAAAGTGAATTTCAATATTAAGGCCTACAAACTGAAAACATACCTGACTTGGAAATTTTTCCAGTTTTCAGGTCCTATTTTGATCTTAAATTTAAATTTCCCAACAATTTCCACTTTTGTGAATAACCCTGTATGTGATTTATATTGATCACGATTCCTTGTTCCCAAAACATGTTGTTGAAATGGCTCCTAATATAATCTGTCTGACTCCGAAACGGAACATGCATTTCACCAGTCCTTTCTGTTCTGCGTGTGTTCCTGTCTGTATATGCAAACGCATTTGTTTCATTTAACATAACAAAATATTTTAACAAGTAATGCATCTTAAGTGTATCAAAAGTACAGTCTTACCTGCAAGATATCGTTTTCTAATAACTTGTCTCACAGAATGTTTAGATCTGGCTGGTGCAACCTCAAAGATATGGTATTTTTATTATCAAATTTTCCCCTACAAGAGAAACGTGAAACCAATACCTATTCATGTTTTACTATTACAGCAGGATGATACTATTACTGATAAAGGATTTGTACTTATTACAATTGTTGCCTTAGTGGTGGCGAACCTCTGGCTCTCCACCTGTTGTAATACGGAACCTCTTGCTCTCCACCTGTTGTAATACAGTTTTGTAATGCTTAAGTGTCAAGGGCTAGCTATCACTGCTACACTGCATGCTGTAAAACTTTACCTCTCCTGTTTTGTTTCTAAATATTTTTCACGTTGGATTGTAATAGAATGGCGTTGGGCTTGTTTGAAGTGTCCTAATTTTGTTGGGATTACAGGAGTACAGCAGTAAAATAATGATCCAGATGTAAACTATGTATATGTCCAAATTCTTCATGACAGATCTTAGGAAAATTGCACCATCTGCAATTTAATTTTCTTACACTTACATTGTGACTAAAGTGCTTATTCAATATTTTGATTCAATTCATTGGCATTCTCAATAGACTATTTTTGCATTTACAACTTTATATTAGCAGGGTTGTTCACGAAGTGAAGTGAGCATTCAAAGTGAATTTCAAATTTAAAGGAACACTATAGAGTCAGGAACACAAACGTATTCCTGACCCTATAGTGCTAAAATGACCATATGGCCCTTCCCTACCCCCTAAATATAGTAAAATCTAACTTGTGTTCAAGTCTGCAGCTGCTGCCTCTGCCCCGATCTGCTTGCTTGACTGACATCAGAAGTGATTCTCTGAGCATCACAATGCTTCCCCATAGGATTGGCTGAGACTGTCAAGGAGGCAGATCAGGGGCAGAGCCAGCACAAGTCAAACACAGCCCAAATCAATCAGCATCTCCTCCTAGAGATGCATTGAATCAATGCATCTCTATGAGGAAAGTTCAGTGTCTCCATGCAGAGGGTGCAGAAATGTCCCAGGAAGCACCTCTAGCAGCCATCTGAGGAGTGGCCAGTGGAGGTATCCCTAGGCTGTAATGCAAAACTGCATTTTCACTGAAAAGACCGTGTTTACTGCAAAAAGCCTGAAGGGAATGATTTAAGGTCACTTATTTTTTCTTAATCGCTTCCTCTTTGCTACTTTATTTTTTTCATTTTTTTACATCTATTTCTAACTAAAAACAAGACAAAGTAGGGACTACTTTCTTATGTAGTTTTCCTACCTCTGAGTTTCTTAGACACTGGGTGGAGCTATGGTGTCAATCCTGACAGCCATCACCAGTGACAGCTCCGGGGTATTGGATCTGTCTATGCTATGACTCGCAGGATCTTCCATAGACCTGAATGCTGTACTCTAGCACATGTGCAGGAGTACAGCAGTGACATGTCACCGTTGGGGGTCTTACCAGACGGTGCCAGTGGTGCTTTAAAATAGCCGAACTGGCTACTGCTTTCAGTTTGACTACTCTGACCTTAAATTTGAAATTCACCTTGAATTCTCACTTAAAGGGAGACTCCAGACCCCTAAAGCACTTAAACTTGCTGAGAAGATTTATGGGTGAAGAGGGAGCACAAATCATTTTGCAAACAGTGCAGATTTAAATACAAATTTACACTTTTATAAATTAGCCTGGTAACAGCCCCTTGGCATTCAAGCAGACATGTCCTGTTACTTCCTGATTTGTTTAGCTCAAAGGAACTAGACTCAAGAACACATGTCTTGCAAAGACTTCTCATTGAGCTGTTTTGGAAAGTCTGTGATTGGACAGCCACAGAAAGTCTAGGCGGGGTTAGAAGGGGACGGCTTGCAAAGGCATCAGACAATAGATCTGCAGGTTTTTTCATGCTGTTTTTAAATATAAAGTATTTATATGGAAAAATGCATAATTAAATGCACGCAAGTTTTCATTTGGTGTATCTATCTACTAAACAGTGATTTTTATTCATTTTGCGTTTGGGCAGTGGAGTGTCCCTTTAAGTAAACAACCCGGTAGGTATTTAAAACTTCCTTAAGTAACAGTGGTTTTAAAACCATATTACCAAGAGGGAGCTGTTATCCAGAATATAGTGATATATCTGTATTTGGTTATCTTGGAATTTCATTACAATTTTCAAACCTTCTGGTTTAGTGACAGAAATGGGAATTGTTGGAATATTTTTTTTATCTAATTGTTGGAATATGTCCAGAGAATTTCAAGTTAGAGGCCTAAATGTTCGAACTGAAATAATAAAGTACATTGGAGATTTTTCCCAGTTTCACTAGTTTGGGCTATAATTTTAAATTCCCTTAATACTTCCTGTTTCAATTACTGATATTAAATTGACAAAAAAAAAGATGCAGATAGTGTGTGATTTTAATATGTTGGGCAGTTTTTAAATTGCTATGTGATGGTGTATTACAAATCTCTGATTATGATGTATTATTTTCCCCTGCCTAAAACATTTTTTGGTGTGTGTGCCTGTAAGAAAACAAAATGTGGCCAGATTTACAGAGTGTGCTTCATGCCCATATATACTTTGTTAAAACAAATCAGCTGAAAGTTTTTCTGAAATTATGGTGTTTCAGATGAACTTTTACCATTTTCCTCCTGACATTTGTTTTGCAATATAATAATATAACAAAATAATAGTCCGTCTCTGCTATTATGAGTTTCCTCTACCAAGGCAATCATGCCCAACCTGCTTGTATTTTCCATATTAAACAGCATCTAGGAATATCCAGCATTTGGTTTACTTATTATCTGTCCTAAGAAATTGAATGTTTCGGGGGGATTTATATAGTACCGGTAATTCCTTTTTTGTTTCATGCTACTACATGATACAGCCACATCTGTGGTTGTTCTGATTCTTACCAATCTCTGCAAGTTGTCCAGTATACCATCCTGTATTAGTTTTAAAATGTCTGTGCAGCTTGTAGTCGGTGAGAATCTATTCCTAAAACCTATATTTATGCTTTTTATGCTCCTGAAATAACTGGATATAATCTCATAAATATAAATGTAGTGCAGACAGACACCATAGGTATGCCTCTGAGTGGTAGTGAGTTACTGTATATACTCGCGTATAAGTTGACCCGAATATAAGCCGAGGCCCCTAATTTTACCACAAAAAAATGGGAAAACTTATTGACTCGAGTATAAGACTAGGGTGGGAAATGCAGCAGCCACTGGTAAATTTCTAAATAAAATTTAGATCCCAATAAAATTACATTAATTGAATATTTATTTACAGTGTGTATATAATGAATGCTGTGTGTGTATATATAATGAATGCTGTGTGTGTAAACTGGGTGAGGGGAGGGCATTTTTATTTAAATTTTTTTTATTTTAAAATATTTTATTTTAATATTATTATTTTATTTTAATATTTATTTGTATTTTTTTATTTAATTTTTTTTGTACCCCCTCCCTGCTTGTTAGCTGGCCAGGGAGGGGGGGGGTCTCATTCCCTGGTTGTCCAGTGGATGGGCAGTGCAGTGGGGGGGGGCTGGCAGCGAGCTGTTAATTACCTTCCTGCAGCTCCTGTCAGCTCCCTTCTCCTCCGTGCAGCTCCCCTGTCAGCTCCGTTCTGCTCCCAGTGTAAACCTCACGGTCTGTGTGCCGCGCAGAACGTTGCCACGGTAACCCGTGGCAACGCTCTGACGGCCGCGGGTGTCGCGAGATTTACACTGGGAGGAGAAGGGAGCTGCAGGAAGGTAACAGCTCGCTGCCAGCCCGGCGGTCCTGGTCTGTATTATGGCAATGTAACTCCCGAGTGGGGGGTTTTCAGCACAAAAAAAGTGCTGAAAAACTCTGCTTATACTAGAGTATATACGGTATATACTGAATTGCAAATTTGAGACCAAGATTAGAGAGTACAAATAAAATATCTGAATGTAAGACCTAAATTCTGCATGTCTGTCTTTTACAACGTAAAGGAACACTATAAGGTCAGGAATAAAAATGTGTATTTCTAAGCCTATAGTGTTAAAAAAAAAAAAAACACATGTAGAGTTTCTGGCCCTTAAATAATGAGAAAACGTACCTTTTTTCCCAGAACCTCGCCCCTGATCTGACTCATTGGCTGACATCAGTATTGATGATCTCAGCCAATCACAATGCTTTCCCATAGGAAAGCATTGTATTAGCTGATAACGTCAATTCTGATTGTCAAACAAGGGGGTGGGGTGGGGACAGGGCCAAACTCTTCCCTAGCCAATCAGCATATCCTCATAGAAATGTATTTAATCTATGCATCTCTATGGGGATATTTCAGTGTCTCCATGCAGAGGGTGGACACCCTAAATGTCAGTCACACTGTGCAGCACTGCCCCAGGAAGCACCTCTAGCAGAAATCTGAGGAGTGGCCAGTGAAGGTATCCCTAGGCTGTAATGTAAACACAGCATTTTCTCTGAAAAGACGGCGTTTACTGCAAAAAGCTTGAAGGAAATTATTCTACTCACCAGAAAAAATACATTATGCTGTAGTTATTCTGGTGACTATAGTGTTCCTTTAAAGTAGTAAATAAGCCCAGTAACTATTTACCAGTCAAAACGAATTTAACAATTCCTTTAACTGATAAAGCATAATCCTATTGAAATGCAATACTATCAATGTGAGAAATGCAATATTATCATAACCTTTGATTTAAGGGAGATGTATTTCAGAGGCAGCTAGTAAGCAACCCATTGGCTAGCTTTTTGAATGTTTATGTGTCATAATCTCCAATCTTTCCCACAGTTAATATAATTTAAAGGGGAACTGACAATTCTCAGATATTTTATCATGTTTACCTATCCTATATATTAACATATGTAGTTGTGTGGTGTGAAAAATTATCCTGCAAATTAACAAATTCCTAGCTATCGATCATTGTCATAAGATCTGTTTTTCACCTAGGAGTCAGCACAGAGACAGCACACAAAGATAAGAGACCTTAGATTATGTTTCTATTTCTCCTCTTCATTTGCAATGTTTGCCCAGGCAAACTGAACTATGATGGATTATCAAATCGTTTAAATTCACAGAAAACTCTGAAAATTTTATAAAATTCTATAAACAGATATCTAATATTTATCCCCTTAAGGACACATGACATGTGTACTATGTCATGATTCCCTTTTATTCCAGAAGTTTGGGCCTTAAGGGGTTAAACTTAATTTTAGACATTTTCCTGCTCTGTTACTAGCTTTCTAGACCCTGAAGGAGTCCAATGTATGTGACTTAGTTTAATTTACAGAGCAGGAGATAAAAAACTTCTAAAGCAAGTTAACATCTAATTGAATTTTTTTTTTTCCCATACAGCCTCTGACATTCACAGCCATGGGAGGTGTGGCAAGGGCTGCATAAACAGAACAAAAGTGATCTAACTCCTAAATGACAGAGAATTAAGCAGTGTGGTTGTATGGGCATGATCTACACCAAAACTGCTTCATTGAAGTGGTCTAGGTGCAGTGCCCATAACAGTTTTACCTGTGGCTGTCTGGCTGCCATGCATACGCATTTAACCCCGCTCCTCGCGGAAAAGAGCAGGGGGCTGAGCCACGACCCAGCGCTGAGGATCATCGGCGCTGGTAAAAGGTAAGTAAAGTGGGGGGTGCAGTGGTGCCAGGAATACAGCTTTGTATTCCTGGTACAACAGTATTCCTTTAAAATTCCAATACAAAGACCAATGATTTTAACAATTCCCACCCATTCCTATGAAAAGAGCATGCCATTGTAAAAAAAATAAAAAATATTTTTATATATATATATTTGTGTTAGGTGCATATGATAGTACAGTGTGAAATACCATGAATAAACGTAGGATAATAAAAAGAGCAAGTCGGTTGTGGTGTGCCGAAACCGACGATGAGGTAGGCCTGAGAAAGAAGAGGGCCTACCCAGGAACAGAAATAGAAAGGAAATAAATGTTAAACTGTGGTGTGGTGGGAGGGTCATTCAACGCTGACTTTGAACGGTAAGGAGCCAGGTAAGGGGAGTGCCTTAAGTAGGCTAGGGGTAGCAAACCAGCACCTCCCACAAATCCAGACAAATTGCCTTAATACTTGTGTTAGGTGCTTATGATAGTACAGTGTGAAATACCATGAATAAACTTAGGATAATAAAAAGAGCAAGTCGGTTGTGGTGTGCCGAAACCGACGATGAGGTAGGCCTGAGAAAGAAGAGGGCAAAAATTAAGTAATCAAATTTATTACAGACAACCAATACATATACATTTTATCAACCAGACATGTTTTTGAAAGCATCCCTTAAATCTTGTACTGGGTTCGGTATGTACCGTGAGTAAGCGGATGACTTCCAGCGCCCCAGTGTTTTGATAACATGAGTTGGTATGTTGACACTGGAGGCTGTGGACGCGGCTCCTATACGAAAGGAGTGTCCTGAGTATTTGTCTGCGTTGAGACCCAGTTGTGTGAGCAAGAACCTGACGTAGGTCATGAAGGTTGCAGTGGTGAGTACTGCACCTTGTAGTTGTAGTAACGGTTGCGAGGGCAGTAAGTTATGATGCTGTATGTAGGCATCAAGAACCCTGACGGGACACCATCTGTTGTGCGTCGGATAGTACGGAATGTTTGCGGGTATGTGCTGACTGGTTTTGGAGTGAGGTAAAGTCAGGATGTAATAATCCATATGTTTTGTCAAGTGGGAATAGAGGAGGAACGGAGTAGTTTGGGTCGTGGAGGTTGTAGTGAATTCTCTAGGTTTTAGAAATCCATAGAAAGTGATGTATATTGCTGTTTTGATTATATAATTTGTATTGGTGTCAAGCAGGTTAGATAATGCTTTGAAGATATGGTTATCTATGGGTAGCCTCTGGTCTGTATGTGTGGGTTCTGATTTCTGAATACCTTTGAGTATGGTCTTAATTTGGTGAGAGGCCATGAAACTGTTGTTATTTGGGTTATATGACATTTTGAGTTTAATGTGGCAAAAGGAAGCAAACCCCAAAAATATGTCATAACAAATGGTTGCATGATGTTATGTTCCAGAAGGAATTGTTTGAATAGTGTGAAAGCCCTGTTGTATGTTTTGTTTGTATTGTTTGAAAGTGCCAATTGGGACAATGTCCTGCTATGCTGCATGATGGTGTCTAGTCCAGTATGAGTTGTTGAAATGTTGGAGTGATGGTGGCTGTGGGCGCCGCTGACGGGAGTGCTTGATGAAACTCTTGAAATTTAAAGCGAGACAAATTGTCAGCAGCTGTGTTACATACACCTGGAACATGGAAACAACATAGGAAGAAATTATGACAAGCTGCCAACCAAGTGAGTTTCCTCAGAAATCTCATGATCGTGAGGGATTTGGAACGACCTTTGTTGATGATGTGACAGGTTGCCTGGTTGTCTGTGTAACAACGCACTGGCATATTAGCCCATAAATGACCCCATGCTACGGCAGCCGCCACGATGGGATAGATCTCAAAAAGAGCTGAGGTAGTGGAAAAAACCTTCCAAATCCTGAACTGCTGAAGGCCAGCTGCCCCAAAGCCATTTGTTCCCAAAAATTGCTGCAAAACCAGTGGTAGATGCCGCATCTGACCAAATGGTAGGAGATGAGTCAGTCAATTGAGGGAGGAACATACTTTTACCATTCCAAGTGGTTAAAAATCTCTTCCACATGTTTAGATCTGCCGTAGCTTGGGCATCCAAGGACAACCTGTGTGTGTCATGTAGGAAAAGATGCAATAGTCGTGATATAAAGGAGCGACCTTGAGGTATGATGCGCATAGCAAAATTTAGTGACCCTAGCAGGGACTGTAGTTCTTTGCGGTTGCAAGTGCCGAGCTGAAGGTAGCTGTTTATGTAAGTGAGAATATTCTCTATGTTATCGTATGGTAGGCTTGCTTGCATTGTGGCGGAGTCTAATTGGATACCCAGAAAGGTGATAACCGTGTCTGGCCCCTACGTTTTCTTTGGGGAGATGGGTACACCTAGTTGCTCAAATAGCTTAGTGGTTTCTTTGAGACTAGAAATCGTCCAGGTAATGTAATACCGTAGGGCATTTGGCAATGTTCAATAGTAACCAGAATAATGCTTCAGCAAATGTGTCGAAAATAGCTGGGCTACTTTTGGACCCAAAAGTTAACCGGGAGAAAAAATAGCAGTTCCCGGACCACTTGATGCCATGCAGGTGCCACAGTGTGGGGTGGATTGGGAGTAATTTAAAGGCGTTAGTAATGTCAGTCTTACTGAGCCAGGCTCCAACCTCTGCTTGTATGATAGT